CCATGTAATATGTTTGTGATTCTACAAAAGCTAATCAAAAGATTTGGAAAAAAAAATAGACATTTTCCACTAATATTTGCAAAAAAATATTATTCCATGTAGAGGATGGTAAGTTATTTTCACTTAGAGAATCTACAAAACACTTTACCCAAATAAAAGTACAAGTATGGAGGTAAAATATTGCTGCTGTCAGAAACAAAACCTTGTATCTCCAAAATGACAACTTTACAGTAGAAGGAAAAAACACTTTTCTTTTAATGTGAGTCAATGGAACCAGACATTTTTCCAATTAATTTTGGTCCAATTCTTTTGTTCATTCATCAAGAAATGTACACACAATGTAAAGGAGGCAGGCATTTTCAAATTATGTCAAAAACTGAAAAATGGCAAAAATGGAGATACGAGGTTTTTGTTCTGACAGCAGTGATATGCTTGAGTGAAAGTAAGAAAGCATCGACATCTGAACACAGTCAGCTATGTGAAGTGACATTTTAATATGAATAAATTAGTTTTCTTTCGTTGATGGTGTGTTGACTAATTAGCAGTTCATTTTCACAGCCAATTGCATTTTACGCTGAAATGAATGTTGCTAGTTGTTTTAATTACAGTAACAATAATAATAAAATCTTCAGCAATTTAATTGACTGGCATAAGAAAAGCAGACAAAATATTATAGTCTTTGAGTTTTTTACTTTGTACTGTGAAGGTCTGTATGAAAATGTAATTGAGTAAAAGTACTTTTTCTATTCTAGTGTTCTATTTAAATAATATAAGTGCAAATCCTCCAGGAGAATACTTAATTAAAAATACTCAATACTCAATTAAGAATGCTCAATCACTATTACTCAAGTGTTAACCCATGTTAATAAATATATACAAGACATTTACAAATAATACACAAAATAAAAATAATAAATACTACATACTTTGGGGCACATGGTGGCTTGGAGGCCCAAAGCAACTGTTTGTACTGTAAAAATCATCTATCTCATAAATAAAGGTAGTAAACTGACACTGGGGCAGGACCCCTCTTGTCACTGGGGTGGTACCCTCAAGGGAACATCTCAGTACCTTTAGTCAGTGAATATAATTGTACCATAATCCACTGAAATGATATTTCCCAAGTTGTATTGACTCCACACACCCCGTCTCGTCTCCAGGCTTTTTATTTTGTTGTTCTGATTTAAAACATTAGGTTATGAAAAGACACTAATATGTACTTTTCACCTGGAAAAATTTATTTAAGGTGGATCTTAAATTGGACCTTAAATCCACTGTTGTACCTTTGAGGGAACATTTACATTGTTTGTACCTTGATGAATGAAAAATGTACCTGCACAGCACCTTTATTTCTAACAGTGTAGCAGTTAGCTGACAAGTAGCACTGAGCATAGTGACCTTAGGCTCATGTGCAGCTGCTCCAGAGCATCCCATTCTATTGGCAATGCCTCCCTATGGAGATTACATTCATACGCAAAAGTTTGAACACCCCCTACTAACATTTTCAACTTTCCATTTTCTCAGGCAGAGCTTCACTAGAGCCTAAAAAACTAGACCAGACCGAGGCAGGCCCCCACGTGTGGTGATTACCGGACTACAGAGATGGATCTGAGCTTTCTGTTCAGACCATAATCCGTGCATGTAGGTTTACACCGCGAGCCAAATCCTCCTGAACCCCCTGGTGAGCCAATTAAGCCTAACAGAAAAAAAAGTGGAGGAGCTTCATATTAGCCCAGACTCCCTGCGGTAGCGTAAAGTAACCCGTACAAAGAGCATTACTTGAGTTCCAATCGCTGCAATTGGCAGGCCAGGCTTTGTAGGACACTGCCTGAGTTTTAAGAAAACAGAGGCCAACAGAATATATGATGATCAGGGCTCGAACCGAGGGGTGAGAGGTCATCCCCCTGGTCAAAAAAGAAACTAGTGTTACTGAAGAAGAATTTTGAAGTTCGGAAAGGATGTGAGGTGCTGGCTAGAGAGAAAATACTGGTGAGTTTAATTGCTGTACATGTTTTGGTTCATTAACATTATTCCTACCACAGCTTAGAGAAGGTACATGTGAATCACTGTACCCTTAACGCTTGTGTGGTGTTGGGGTCTGTGGGACCCATTTTCAATGTTTACCAAGAGAAGAAATGATGCAATTTATTATATTTCAACCCCAGATTTCTTGGCCTTTGCTCATTTTCTGTGAAGAACATATAAAATAACACATTTTCAGTGTCTTCACACTGTTCACCCCCCACACATTTATATTACACATGTGGGGTTGGGGTGAACCAGCGGGGAATACAAGTGTGGAGGTGCTGTGTCCTTCACTCTGTTCTCCTCCTACATGGCCTGCTGTTAGTGTGTGTATGTGTTTGTGTGTGTGAGGGTGGACAACATGGACAGGCTGCTGACTGGCTACAGCTGCTAAAGGAGAACCCTACGCTGGTCACTGGTGATATTTTAAACATCTGTTTTTTTTTACATAAATCGTTATGGCTGCATTGACTTCAAAAACTAATAATATGGTGGGTCCACCAAACCACTGAGTAACAAAAACATCAACACCACGTAAGGGTTAAAATGTCTGGTCCATTCACCACTACTGTGAACAATTTTGAATGGATAAGTTTCCTTGAACAGAACATTTCAGATGAAATCATTCTGAATGACTTTGTTTATATTTTAATGACATAATTATGAAGAAATTTTGAGTTTCTTTCATTTGTGCCAGTTTTTTTCGTCGATAAAACTGAGTCCGTTGGCTTTTGAAAAGGAAAATTAGCTTAAAGGAAAGGATTTCACAATTTATGTGGGGTACTGTAAGAATATTTCCACCCAAACTTTCAGATTGTTAAAAGAATTAACATACAAAAGGATTAAATGCCAAACCACGGCTTAAATCTTGGCCCAATTCGGCCCAATTATGAGAGAAGTAAGTCAGTGTTTTGAAGCTCCAGTGGCAAAAACTCAGTAATGAACTTGGCTCCTGACAGAACAGACACATACACTTGGGGCAAGAACATGGTGGGGGGAAAAAGATGAATTTTTTACTTTAACAGCCTGGAGAGAGCCAGGCAGAGACGTGACCTCCACTCTGACCACGCTGACCCAAAGCCAGCCATGACTGGACTGAACCATTTTATCACTCCTAACCAGTGCAAGAAGCAAATTACAGTGACCTAAGAGGAGGTTATGTCTAAAGTAAATTTCAAAACAAAAGACTATCTCAGAAAACGAGTAGGGCAAAGCGGGTTCAACATGAATGCCTACAAATCCCTGTGCTTTGTCTGCAAAAATGAAAACAGTGCATTTCAAGGGGCTCAAACGCTCTGAGTACAAACATTAACCGAGTCTCATGTTCCCATCAGAAAGCAGCTGACTTCAAAGGCTTCAGCACACAAGCTGAACTCTCTCGCCTTTTGCTTGTAGCAATGCAAGAATCACTGATAAACAGTCTGCTCCTCATGGATGAAGCTTTTTAATGTAGGCCAGTCTATCTGTCGACGCACTACAAGGGCCTTTTCTGTTCATGCCTAAACCGGTCACTTTCTTTCTGAATCATTCTGTGTACGATTCTTGCTGACAGTATTGGGCTGCTTTGGGGCTATACGCAAACTGGTGGACTAAACTTTTGGTGGAAAAAAAACCCCCTGGTGAACATCTGAGTGTCCCCTGCTTAAAAAACACGCACAGGCCAGCATGCATTCCATGCTGGTTTAACTGGTCACCCTGCATTCCATGCTGGTTTAACTGGTCACCCTGCATGTTTATGCTGGTTGACCAGCGTACCAGCATCTAAAACACAACATACGCTGCTCCATTCTGGTTTTTCTCACAGGGTGCTTAGCTGGACTTACTGCATGCAGTGGTCTCACATATTTAACAGAGGCAAAGATAAGCATCAGGAGATTCAGGCAGAAGAGATTGAGCATATCAATCATTTCGGTCTAAAGGAAAGTCCGTTATGTGTTATCTCTTGCATTGTGGGTGACAGCTTGAGATTAATGTGGTAATAAATAGCCTTAAGCAAGACCAGACTAATATAGACCATATATGTGTAAATTTCTTCCAGCTTGTTAGATCTGTCTGGAAAAATGATCCTGTCTGGTTTGTGCAGCGTATATGTTTACCTAATATACCATAATATAACAGCACCATCTGCTGGACATAACGGGGATGACAGCACACATGTACACAAAATGAAATGGGATTTTTTTTAATCTGCATAATTCAGGTGTGTGATTCACATAAGTGTCATTGTGAAAAAGGGAATGCAAAATTATTGCAGAGAGTAATATATTTTTAACCACCGCCCTTCAGGGGCTCCTTATAAAATAGTAGAAAATCTGAAATTGTACAATAGGAATGTTCCTTACCTCTTGTCCTACTGAATCAAGTTATCAGGCCAAATGCTTTGTGACATGACAAAAATTGACCTCTGAAGTCCTGTCATCATTCTGTAGTCGCATTTATGCCCATATTAGGAACTCTGGGTCTAAACTGTTTTTCTCCATGACAAAAATGAAAGGAACTTTTCAAAATCATCGCTATCACACCTGTAGTGTTAAACAAAAGCCAAAAAAATTCTATTCATTTAATCATGGAGAAATACAGAGTTCCTAATATGGGCACTGACACCGACCACCAAATAACTTCAGCAACTTCTACACCACAGACTGTATATATACATAATATTAAGTACACCTCCTTGTTTCTACACTCATTGTCCATTTTATCAGCTCCACTTACTATATAGGTGCACTTTGTAGTTCTACAATTACAGACTGTAGTCCATCTGTTTCTCTGCATACTTTGTTAGCCCCCTTTTACCCTGTTCTTCAGTGGTCAGGACCACCACAGAGCAGTTATTATTTGGGTGGTGGATCATTCTCAGCACTGTAGTGACACTGACGTCGTGGTGGTGTGTTAGTGTGTGTTGCGCTGGTACAAGTGGATCAGACCCCACAGTGCTGTGTACAATTGACAAAAAGGCAAAGTGAAAGGAGAAATGAGTATATATGGTCCACTTTATTATATACTTTTTGTCAGAACACAACAGATGACTGAGTTCAGTCTGCTCACATAAGGCCAAGGTTCAGGATTATGTTACAGTGACCAAGTAAGATAGTAAGACATAGCAGTGTTGCACACAAACACAGACATGTGGGGGACGGAGCATGACATGAAAAAGCACCAAGTAAAAGAAAAAAAGAAAAAAAAAGAAAGGAATTGGGATGAACATGAACTGGAAACCAGCAGTAGTATCTTGCTCTGAAGTGGGTGCGCTCTATTAAGGTGATGAAAAGTAACAAGTCCAACAGAAGAAGCATCATATTCCACATAAATACACTCTGTCCTATGTACAGAATGCTAGTTACTGTTACACACATACTGCATTGTTAAATGAGTGCAATGAGCAGGCGTTTAATATCTACTTACACTGTGATATAGACTCCTGTTCTAGAAAACACTTTACAGTTATCCATGTAAGATGGGAATGCACATCATATTCCATACAAGCGCTAAATGTTGGTGGCTACGCTGAGATCACTGGCTGGAGATGATACAACCATTGGCCTTAAACTTGCTTTTTTGGAGTTGCTTGTCAGTCTTGTGTGAGTCTCCATGAACACCCCCCCCACAACCACCCTCCACCCCAACATAAAGCACTTGATTAACATTAAAAATAAGAAAAGTCCACCATGCTTACAGTAGAATCAATGGCTTAAAAACTGAGTAAGAACATACAGTCCAAATGGAAAACAGAAGCCCACAGGAGGCTCCGATGAGGTTTCAGTCTGACTCTCCTCCTTGCCCCCTCAAATGCCAGGGTGCTATAGGCCCTCACAGCACCAGCTTCCTGTCAGGGTGTTCAGCATGGCTGGCCCGCTGGTGCCGCACCTCCAGGTGTTTGCTCTGAACTCTGTCAAAGTGCTGCAGCAGCTCCTGGTAGTCTACCTGCGGCTGAGTGGCACGCTTGGCACTGGCTGGCTTTGGAACCTCCCTGGAAAAGCGGAGTGATCTTAAATTATACCATGCCATGTGAAGATGCTGGGAGGTTGCAATGTTGCTACTTTGAAGTTTACATTTGTGCAATTCCATTGTGGTCCAAAATAGAGATGCACTCATACTACATTTTTCAGACAGAATACAAGTAAATGTTTTTAGCACTTGCCAGTACGGATCTCAATACCATACTGAGTAACCTACTTAGAATTAAGTCATTTTTAGTGTAATTGAGAGAAATGTACCTTAACAGTTAAATCATTAAAATCTAGCTGATTTTAAAAGATGTGCATTAGCTAGCTATGCTACATTAATTACTTTAAATCGATCAGCATTGCAGTGGAGAAGAACAGGTTTTATTCAATGTCAGAAAAGAGTTCCTGTACAGCTTTAAGTAAAGTATGTTTCATAGTTTTGATCCTCATCTGGCTCAACAAAAGTCTCACAGTGACAACAGCAATCACATCCATGGCTAAAACATTTGAAGAACTCACTTGTGGAGTTTTATGTCTTGTTGGAGTCTTTTGTTTGGCTTGTTGAGCTGCAGCGGAATTTCCTTATACACTGTGCAATTTTTGAAATCTTGTTCTTTGGTGACACACTGTACATCTGAAATGACCTTTGTGTGCGGACAAAGCCTGTGATTTATATGCTGAAACTACAAAAACACTCAGTCCACCTGACATGCTATGTGAAACGCAGCTTCTACAGACAGCTCTGTCTTTGGACAGTTTGTGTCCCAACTTGTGCCACACTGTGCACTGAAACTAAACCAGGCAGTGATGTACATGGCAGGACAATATATTCTCTGTACAGCCTATTTTAGAAAGACAATTTTAAAAATTAATATATTAATGTTTATACCTCTCAATTCTGTTCCATCAAATAGAGTAAAGCACATACAAACTTTGGTAGCACATGTCAAATTTTTGCCTTTGTTTTGCTAGCCTATGTGTCTCCACCTGTATTGGGGAAGTGGTTGTGATTGTGTTTTTGTGTTTAAAAATGGGCTAAAATCACACAGTGTATGTCTGGAAATATGCCAAGGCAGAATATTTAAAGTGACCTTTGTTGTCATGGTGTCAGCAACACTTCTCTCTGTGGGCAGACCTTATTCACTGCCAGCTTGAGTCATTAGTTGATTAGCACGGCGGTACACACTAGGCTAACGTCACATGGTATCAGGTGGTATCAGATGTTGGTGTTGGTGCATTTTAAATAGGAATAAATAGGAGTTTTACTCGTTTGTTTTTTTAAATATTCCGAAGTATTAGGGCTGCAATTATTAAATATTTTCAAATATTCTATTCAATATTATCTTGAATATTGAAATATACTAAGAGAATAAGGAAGGTTCGAGATGTATTTTAATGATTAAATGAAAACAGTATTGTTTTTATCATGTCACTACTTACTGTCATTATTACAGTTTAGCACTGCAGCTGCTGACTCTTTTCATTTTCATACTGCCTCAAATATTCTTTACGCTTTGGTGAAAGTTAGGCAGGGTGTGGTGGGTGCAGGATGATGTGAAGACTTACACTGTCCTCATGAGCTCCGGGTTGGGCACGCAGCGTAGACGATGGGACAGAAGCTGGAAGGCTTGGCTCTGTGGCAGCAGCATCAGCAGGCCGTACAGAGCCTTGATCAGATAGGGGTTGTTCTCTACGTCCAGCAGCTGCAGACGAAGGTCTATGCAGATATAAAACAGCATGAGGAGGTGTAAAGAACTACTATTATTACTATTACTATTTATTAAAAAAAAAAGTTTGGGCTTAAAGTAGCAAGTTGAGATGAAAAAATTTCATTTGAACTGCCCAAAGATGAGCTGTGAATTTAGGCCATTTCTGCCCTGTGTTGTTATGAGCTATTCCAGTGGTTCCCCATTTCAGGAACAGGGATCAATTCCATTCAAGCCAGTCTGATTTTTTACAAACCACAAAAAGCATGTCATGTTTTTAAAAATGAATGCACATATATTGCTGCCATCGTTCATATTGTATCTGAAACATATGGATTACGTCATTTAATTTCTTGGAAAAACTGCCTTTTACTTTAATTAATTTCAGAAGTTCAACTAGATCTGACATAGTATTTTACCAAAAATGATAAAACAACAATTAAAATAAATGCAAATGTGAAACAAAGGTGATCTTTAATTTTATGAATTTATATTCTATTTCAACAGCAGTGTTAAAACACGTGGTTTATAAGAATCACAAACTGGCCATTTCATTTTACAGCACTTTAGCAGTGAAAATGCTTTTGTTTTTACAGCATACATCCGTAAAGTGGCAGAACAGCTATAGAGCACAAAATGTTCGACAAAAAGCAATGAGTACAAAAATGTGGAGGCTATAGAATGTATACGATGGACCACAGCTGACATGAGTTTCCCCACAGACATGTGACAGTACCTTTGGAATAACTCACTATACAGCCAAGAACTCCCTCAGTCTTTTTTGTAGAGTGGAGTGTACTCAATGTGCTCACCTTTTAGCTGGACTGCTTAAAAGAAAAAAGGTCCTTGAGCTGCTACTCAGGAAAAATGAGGCACTACTACTCTTCTTTTTCTTCTTCTGTGTTCTTCCATCATTGTCAGAGTGTTAATAAACCAGGCACTGGGGCCTGATGTGAAGGTTTCACTCCATTAAAACTGTCTGATAAAATCTTACTTGGTGTAAACAGGTCTTTAGTTCATGAAATCACACTCTGTATCTCATTTGTCTGCTTTGGATGTTAGTGGTGTAGTAGGAATAGGAACCAACTCACATGTGAAAATGGGGCTCTCAATTAGTTGCACGAGTTTGTCTACTTCGATAAGGAAGTCCACCGTCACCTCCAGGTCACCACTGTTCAGTTTAAGTTAAGGGTATAAAAGATGCTGGTAGTTTGTCAAAGATTTGAATGAAAAATAAACAAACATGCATACAAGACATTCAACGTTCAGCGATCATTCTCTTAGTTCCACTCAATTCATACCAGCAAAGACAGACACAGGAAATAAGACACATTAATGAAGGATACAACTTCTGAATGAGGTCGTATGCATGGCGGTAGTTCTGGGTCAGGAAGCAGAGAGAGACCGTGGCCACTGGATTATGGCACCAGGAGCGGTAGAGGCAGCAGAAGAGAGTACAGCTCTCCTGCATAACATAGGAAGGGGTCAGATGCACCAATGGGGAAAAACAGTGTCTGCTAGTACTGCAATTACATTTCCTCATATTGTAATTGCAATATGCCTTGCAGTATATTGAAACACACTGTTGAATCAATGTGAAAAACATCTGTAATGGCTTGTATTACATGTAGAAATGGTACCAATCCAATCCTATAAAAAAATCTATCCTGAATCAGCACTTCACTCACTCAGAGTAGCTGTGTAAGTTCTTCCTACAGGGTTGTAGAACGATAAGGAGTTTAAGCATCATGATAGCCTACTTTTAGATGCTCATCTTAAGTGAAGTGCTTCAATTAAAGGCTTATTTTAAAGCTAAGAAGCTTTTAAAGAAAAAGAAATGTTGAATCAGTATCATAAGTGGCCAATAACATCTAATTGTCAGAAAAAGCCATCTGGTATTTCCAATGTTTAATGACTTTTTGTCCTGTGTCAGTGCTGTGTGGTTCTCACAGGCGTGCGCAGGTCTTTGAGTTGGTTCCTGAGCTGGAAGAGCTCAGCTGAGGTCAGCAGAATGGTGTTGAGGGTCTGCACCATGGTGGATGCAAACTTCAGGTCCTCCTCCTTCAGCAAGATGTCTGCCATGGAGTGGAAGATGTTTTCTGCATGCAGGAGAAGACACAGCTGCCTGTAGAAGGAATGGAGAAGAACAAAGGCCCCTCTGTTTAGTGTCCTGAGGCCAGGTTCACCAGTAGTGCCTCTACAAGGGCAAATGTTTTCTGGAAATCTCAGGGTTTGCTTAGACAGACTATTCAACGGTAATTCCATGCGGGCTCTGGGAGTCACAGTCTTTGCCAGCAACACCAAAAAACATGGTGTGATTTGATATAAGTTATTAGTCATTCTTATTGACCTAAACATAGTAAATTCAGTAAACATTGTGAAATTGTGTTTGTGAGCAGAAGCATATATTTTATTGTGATTTGCATTTGGTGAAAAATGATTGTATTGAATTCAGTCTTGTTTTGCAGAAATTAAAATCCTCTTTAAATTTTTGCTATGTTTTTATCTTTAACATCTAAACAAACAGAAACCTGCTGATGCTGAATGCAAGTATGTAAGTTAGATGTAAATGTAATTCCTTGCATAGCTATGTAGTTAATAATGCCATAACATTTAAGTAGTATGGCACAATGACAGTAATAAGTCTAGAACTCTGACGGTAAAACTGCACTTTTTTCTGTTTGTTATGATGGCAAAAACATAGCAAAAATACTTCTCGATCCTCTATTCTCTGTATAATCATCAATAACAGCCAAAAAATCTTTAGGCAGTATTTCTTGTTTTTCTTTTCTTTCCTTTGAGTGCTCTATGCTCCAATCCATGATCTGAAACTCCAGTCCTATTTTTACTTCATTAATACACGCAGCAGTGAGCTGTCCTGTGAGCCACAGTGCCAGTCCATGTCACTGGTGTGCTGCCACACAGAGAAAACTTCATCAGAAAGAGTATATTTCAGTATTCATTTAACATTAAGTCATCCTGAAGTCTGTTCAAATCAAGTCTATTTTTATGGATGAAAAAGCAGAAAGTTTTAATTTTTAAATGAGACCTTTGCATCAAGTCTGATTCACTTTTGTTATTAGACAAAAACGAAACGTGGGAGGACTGTATCCACTGAACAGTACGAGTGATGAAGTTACCATTTTTTTTTTAGACAGACGCATAAGCTGTTTAACCACACACTGACAGAGAAAGTTTTTTTGGTCTTTCCACGTATATGAAATTCAGACTTCGGGTGAAAATACCTTAAAGGGCCCACATTCCACATTTTCTGTATTTCAGTTTTTTCTCTGAGCTCCACTTCTAACATTTATGTGGCTTTATGCCCCAAAAAACAGCCATTATTCATTTTTACATGGCCATTTTCCAACCTTGTTTATCCCTTAGACTTAAACAAGTCTCCATACATGGACTGTATGTGAGTGGTAAATTTAGAAACTCTTATTTTAAGAAAGTAAGGAAAATCCAGTTGTCCATGATATGGGCCCTCTAAGGCTTTGTCGCCTTAAAGAGTCTTAGATGTACGGCACTCATAACTGTAAAGCCCATGTTTATGTTTCCCACCTGATGATGAAGGCCCCCCTCGTTTCCAGAAGCTTCCTCTCCAGACTGAAGCGCTTGAGGAGGTTGATCATGAACTTGTAGAAGTAAGAGTTCATACTAGGGGTGGAGGGAGAGGAGTCTGCTCCTTTGGAACCTGCAGCAGTGGGACAATGATTCAATGAGTACATGACAAACACTCATATTTGTATGCCACTGATATCTGGGGAGTGTCATAGTGCCAGAGTTTTGTAATTGTGCTGAAAGAAATTAATGACAGCAATGACTGCTTAGCAACTTGAGTGAACATAATGCAAATCTGAGATTCTCCTACAGTAAGATAAGGAACCTCACAGACATCCATTTATTTGTATTTTTTGCCAGTCATTAAGTCTTTCTAATGACTTACTTTATCTTTAGTTTATCTTTAGTGTGGTTCGCTTAATCACACAAAGGAATTAGGTTTTGAGACTCTCTTTGTGTCATCACACAACTGATACAGGGCCAGAGTCTGAAGTTCAAACTGAAATAATTAGCCGACTTGATCACTCACCAACCCCCAGCTGCTGCTGGCCAACTTTACTTCCATCTGGAACGTGAAGCTCTGTTTTATCTGCACTGTCACATGACCCAGAGGACTCCGTTTGTCCCGCAGGGGATGATGCAATCTCCGCTAGAACCTCCAAGTCTTTCAGGATGACCTGCCAGTGATTCACATGCATTGGTCTACTGGCTTGTACAGTCATATGCAAAAGTTTGAACACCCCACATTTTACTGATTTAAAAAAATAAGTTAATCCATCCTCAACAGTGAAAAAAAACAGGGCACTTTCTGCAAAATTTTGGGCACAGTTTCTACTTGTTTGCTAAGTTTTCTGGAAAAATTAACATGAAATCTGTGCCATGACTATTGTCCCGGCCAGATGTCATGTTTGTACAGAAGTGTGTACCCTGTAGACTAATTTAACTTATTTTCACTTCAACAAAACATGTAATTTGACCAGGTGTGCCCAAACTTTTGCACACTACTGTGTATTGGATTTTTTCACTTGCCTCTTAAGAAGCGGTCACAATTAGGCTTAACAACAACAAACCATGAGTGACCGCACCATTAAGAGAGACATGCTAAACTTATCATAGTCTAATTAGCGCTCACATATCACTTGAACACTTTCTTTATGAAATTAAGGCTACGTTCACATTACCAGACTGAAGTGGCACAAATCAGATTTTTGCCTTAATGTGATGCAGATCAGATGTTTTCAGAGCTGTATGGACATTCAAATCTGATCTTTTCAAATCAGATCTGAGCCACTTTGGCTATGTTCACATTACAAGCCTTATTTCTCAAATCCAATCTCTCTGACGTGATGGTTCACACTCGTTTAGGTAAGTGAATCAAGTCTGTCATTAACGTCAATGAACTGGTGTCCTGTTTACAGGCTTTAACGTCGTGGTAACGCTGAATGATGGCACACGTGCAGTGGAAAAAAAGCACGAGCGTTCACATTAAGCTCACATGGCCACGAAACGGTTACATATCCAATCTAGGACCACATATGAAAGTGACTCAGGTCAGATTTGAAAAGATCAGATTTGTGCGTTCACACAGCTCTAAAACATCAGATCTGAGTCATATTAGGGCAAAAAACGGATTTGTGCCAATTCAACCTGGTAATGCGAATGAGGCCTTTCATATGTGGTTCTAGATCAGACACATCCGATTTGTGGCCATGCGACCTTAAAGGGGAATTCCACCAATTTTGAGATAATTGGAACCATTTCTACCAATAACTTTTTCTAAAGGTAGCTTTTAAAGATATTAAACGCTTCTGACTTCTGGTTCCCTTCACCACCATTAAACAATTCTGACTAATCTTCTCTAGAATGGATCATTTCACATAAATGCAGCATTGAAAAAAAAACTGTGTTCTCCTTTAATGAGACCACACAGATTAGAATTCCTGATTTTTTTTCCACTGTGTATGTGCAATCTTTCAGCGTTAACGTCTAACCTGAAGTTAGAGCCAGTAAATGGTGCAAAGACAAAGCATCTGACCCTTTTTCGCCTTCGTCTTGCTCTAATAATAACTTGCTGAGCGCTGATCAGATCTAATTTGATGTTACTGAGTAAGATGTGTGCATGTGGGTCATTTCACGACACAAGTTTGTTCACATTAATGACAGATTTGAGTCACTTACCTACACAAATGTGAACCAAGTTAAAAAATGAGTACTGACCAACGAGGCTTGTAATGTGAATGTAGCTTAACACAAAGATACTTTTGGAATCTGTTGGAAAAGATGAGGCACTCACTTCATCAGACTCATCAGAAAGGGTCTTCAGTAACATGGGAAACAGACTGTCTGTATGCCGGAACATCTAAAGACAAAACACACAGGTTATAAACACTTTATGTACTACAGTGTTTCACATAAAAGCATGTTTAAAGAGTCTACGATTCCCACATTGTTAACTTACCTTGCGAGGTGTCTTGATGTAGAGATGGTAGAGCCACTTCAGCACAGCAATGCGTGTCATCATTCCAGTCGAGGAGTCGTGTAAATGTCTGTCCAGAACCTGCACAATGCCGTCCAGGTCCAGGGTTACCTGAGTCTTGTCATTGCTAAAGAAATAGCACAAACCATGAATGTCCAGACAGCAGTGAATGAAGCCGTGAGATGGTCCTCATCCAAGTTTCACAAATTTGCATTCAATTGTTCATTCTAAATACATTAAACATTTGAATAGTGTCATGAGTTTTATAGTACTCAATAGTTCATTTATGAACCACCCTGCATGTATATAAAATATTAAAATAGTTGTCTAAAAATCATACTTTACAGAAAATGTACATACATCATTTACTTTAATAATATGTGAATTTGTCCTAATTCCAAAGCCCCTTCAGGCGTCCCCACAACCATACACTTAAGACTAGGTCATACCTTGTTGGTGTGAAGAAAGAAATGTTGCTTAAGCCCACTGACTCCTGAGAGGCATTCAGAGAATCTGAGAAAGAAAGAAAGAAAGAAAGAAAGCCAGCCAATGTGAGAGGAGCTTAAAGAGATGTAAATATCTGTGCATATGCAGATATGATTGTCTATACAAATGCTGAGGAGAATCTGAGGAGGCATAATATAATATTTATAATATTATACTACGTTTTATAAATGTTTACGCACGGTCATCAGCAGACGTACACAAAAATATCAGCTGTTAGCATTAGCCCAGAATTCTCACACCAGTGCATCTCTAAAATATTTCTTAACAATGGATGGACATTATAGGATGAAACTGAGCTTGTGTTTTCCCAGGAATGTCCAGTTCATTCAATCAACTCAATAAAATAGACTCCTCACCTTTGTTTAAAGTTACTGATTTCCAAACGAGGCATGCTTGACGTTTACCAACTACTGGGTTAAGGTAAAATCCTAATCTACATGGCTGTGCTCCTTTATTTCCACATATACGGTTCAATTTATTATGCTGAACATGTTTCAGATGGTGAGAAAAACACTGGACACCTACATTTAAACAAAAATCAACGCACCAGATGTCACATCATTTGTAGCTATTAATATTCTCTTACTCAAGAATTGACGTTTCTTTGTCCTAAATTTACAATTAAACTAACCCTCATCATAATCTCTATTGCTGTATAACTGGAGGATGGTATGGTGTCAATAAGATCAGGGTCTGTGAGAGACATTTTAATATAAAACTATCAGTGCTTACTGTCTGCTTTTCTCTGTTCAACACCAATAAATCATGTTGGTGTCGTTTCTCTCTAAATGTCTTACCGTCTAAATAAAAGTTGGTACTTAAACTGTAGATTAATGGTTATACTGTGGAAAAAAAACGAAGCTTGCATTGGCCGGGAATCGAACCCGGGCCTCCCGCGTGGCAGGCGAGAATTCTACCACTGAACCACCAATGCTTTGCTGAAAGATCCTTTTTCCATGCCGCTGAAGAAACGAACCCGACACGCGGCCTCTTCCCTAATAAAACACAACGCCCTATGAAATGAAGAGGGGGTCGACTGCAGGACCAGCCCACTGGATTACCAGTGTCGGGGGAAGAACTCTGCTCTGCGCGTGACGTGTGGGAAGAGATACACACGCGCGCGCTGTGCTAGCCCCTCATACAGAATGTGAATGAGTCGTCTCGTGTGCAAAAAGCTACTGAAATGTGTAAAGAACGGTTAAAGTAAGCACATAAGACACCGCTGCCCCCCCTAAAACAACAGAAAGAAAGGGGGGTCAATAAAGGCGATAAATCCTTTAAACAAGCCCCCTTTATACAATAAAGACTGGGCAGGAGCCTACTAGCTAACTAGCTAGCTAACCTATATAGGTTAGCTCCCAAATCTGAAATGGCACCAATACCATTGCAAGTGCTAGTATTGAGCCGATTCAGACAGAACATTCTTCCTGTGAGGTAGGGTTAGCTTACTAACGTTAGTTTCAGCACGGTTGCCTACTTTATTTAAAATAGCTCATTTTGAAGCTTTGTAGTTTGGAATTTTGGGTCAGTACCTATATTGGCCCATTACAAGGGTTTCAAAATAGCTAGGTTAGGTGTTATGAATTAAAAAAACAGTAATGTCGTGTCAGTCTTCCTGAGCCCACGTTGCGTCACCCCCTTGTTTAAGCCAGAGGGCACTCTCTTTTCTTTCAGCAAAGCATTGGTGGTTCAGTGGTAGAATTCTCGCCTGCCACGCGGGAGGCCCGGGTTCGATTCCCGGCCAATGCATGCTTCCTTTTTCTCAACTTTTCCTTTCTGATTGTGGTACACATCCACAAATAAACCGTAATGCATTATTTTTGCCAAATTTCCATTCCTTCAATTCACAATTTAGAAAGCCACACATCACGCAAAAACAAACAGACTAAAACCATGATAACCAAATCACGAGCTCGTTTCTGCACATCTTTGTACTGTTTTGTGATAAGCAGCATCATACATACCAAAAGCAACTCCATGTATATAATATGCACAGATGAAAAAAAAGTCATTCTGATTCTTACAGTCTAAATATTCATAATCCAATTACATGATGATGGGATGTGGATTTAGAGATACTACACTTATCCATTGTCAGAGATTAGTCAACAAAGTCTGAAACCACCTGGCACCAAATAACCCAATAAGCTATTCTGACAAGCCTATAATGAGCTAATTATAGATTAATGCCCTAAAATGATTTATACAATTGACCTTTTTTTAGATTAATCAGTGTACAACGATCCATCAATACACAGTAACTACCTCTACATGCACACCAGTGGTCCCACATTAGTCTAAATCTGCTGATCACGTAAAGCCAAAAAGGAGCTGAAAAAGACGACTCTTATTTATGTAGTTTATTTTTACTTAGTAAAATAATTTACTTAGTAAAAAGGTCAGACATAACTCACCATTAAGATCCCCCTCTTTCTTACTTGACGCGTCTTTGCTCTGAGGTGAGGTTGTGGACTGTGACTCTTCTTCATCTTCGTCATCCTCAGGTGTCACAAGCTTCATTAGGCTGTGGTTGCAGGCGCTAGCAGCTTCTTTGGTGCCTGTGTACTGTGGGTTAAGGGTTTAGCATCAAGTGATCTGTTCAGTGGCCTCACCTTGAATTATTTTAGTATTATCTGGGTTTCATCTGTGTTTTGGAAACTCAGACCTAAAACTGAGCACAATAATATGTTCAGCTGGTTTGAACTGTGTTGCACAAACTTGCTGCAATAGACGTGTTTAAGTTGTGCACAAGCCTGAAAGGGTATAAACTCTGTGCATAGCATAAAAATAAGTTCAGAAGTATAATCTCTTCTAGATTTTGTTATGGATACTCTTCTTGCGGTCATCGTAGGACAAGCAAGGCAGCACAGCCGTCAGTATGCCAGAGGAGTAAGGCAGGACCACTCGGCCTGCTAGCTGGATAAACTCCCTCATCCATGTCATAGCGGTCAGTTGGATCAGGTCATTAGCTGATGAGAGAGGGAGGACGAAAGATCAGTGTACCTTTTTAAGACATTTTTTTTAACTTTCTAGGCTTGTTATGTCTCATTTTCCTGCTATTTGTAAAGTCTTGGAAAGGTAAACCATGCACTGTAATAGCCTAGGCATTAAAATAAACTGCATGATCTACAGACTTTTTAAATCCAGTCAAATGCAGTCTTAGCATCTTGTGTCTGTTATGACTTTGACAACTGAATATTTCCTTACTGAGTTTGGACTCATCAGACACCTGGCAGTGGATAACAAGGATGTTTGCCATATCAGCAAACTTGACACTGGAAGGAGTTTTCTTTATTTCCTTTAGAAATTCTCCCAAGACCACCTCACACCTAAACAATAGAAGAGATCACCTTCCTGTTAAAACATTTCCCAACAACAAGATGTAAGATAAAGTGAGAAATGTGATCAGAACCATCCAAGAAACATCTGAAGGAAAAAAAGCAGTTTTTACATCCGCCTGATCTCCTTGCTGCTGTCTCCCAATATCTGGAAGAGGCCATCCAGAATTTCAGGCAGATATTCCAAGAGGTTGATGTCCGGGACTGACTCCAACACCAAGATCTGAAGCAGAAAAAAGGTAGAAAGACATTAAAAATAAAATATAAATAAGTAAATACACTGATCAGGCATAACATCCTTGTTTCTACGCTCACTGTCCATTTTATCAGCTCCACTTACTATATAGGTGCACTTTGTAGTTCTACAATTACAGACTGCAGTCCATCTGTTTCTCTGCATACTTTGTTAGCCCCCTTTTACCCTGTTCTTCAGTGGTCCGAACCCCATGGACCCTCACAGAGCAGGTACTATTTGGGTGGTGGATCATTCTCAGCACTGCAGTAACACTGATGTGGTGGTGGTGTGTTAGTGTGTGTTGCGCTGGTGTGAGTGGATCAGACACAGCAGTGCTGCTGGAGTTTTTTAACACTGTGTCCACTCACTGTCCACTCTAGTAGACACTCCACAGTCCACCTTGTAGATGTAAAGTCAGAGATGATAGCTCATCTGCTGCTGCACAGTTTGTGTTGGTCATCCTCTAGTCCTTCATCAGAGGTCACAGGACGCTGTTGGCTGGATATTTTTGGTTGGTGGACTATTCTCAGTCCAGCAGTGGCACTGAGGTGTTTAAAACCTCCAGCAGCACTGCTGTGTCTGATCCACTTGTACCAGCACAACACACACTAACACACCACCACCACCAAGTCAGTGTTACTGCAGTGCTGAGAATGATCCACCACCCAAATAGCACCTGCTCTTTGAGGGTCCATGGGGGTCTCCGCATACTGAAGAACAGTATGCGGAGAAACAGAAGGACTACAGTCTGTAACTGTAGAACTACAAAGTGCACCTATACAGTAAGTGGAGCTGATAAAATGGATAATGAGCGTAGAAACAAGGAGGGGGTCATAATGTTATGCCTGATCAGTGTAAAATTATGAGTAATCTATGTGGGAATTCTAGAGAGCAAGAGAGTAATTTTTCCAGCATATCAAAATAATACCAAACTGTATCAGCCACCTTGTCACATGGCAACTACAGGGCTACGGCAGAGAGAATGCAGAATCATTGATGAGCACATGTTCTCAGTAGAAGAGCTGCTCCACTCACCCAAGATATGATGAACTGACGGGCGTACTGATTGTTGGAGTAGATCCTCTCTCGTAAAAGAGGAACAAAAGCCACCAGGTCAAACTTGTTACTCTCTGTTACAATGTCCTGCAGAGACAGGGAGGAATCCATAAAGGGAAGTTATGACAATCATGTGACATCACTAATGATAAAACAGTACATGTTGGGGTGAACAAACTATGTGCTGAATGCAATTTTTTAAACAGTGGAACTTAATTGGTGGTTATACATACAATATGTACAAGAAAATAATCATTGAAAACTGCAGCTGCAAAATGAAATAAAGCATTGAACATACTAGCACATGTACTGTACCAATATAAAATGAACAGGACATTCCACTCATCCTTTAAGTTTTTTTTTAATCACTAATACACTACTGATACACTGCTAATACACTTATTACTAAAATTAATCATATTTTATTAAATACTGGGCTTACTGGGAATAATACAGGGGGCTTGTTTAAGCCCAGACCATTTTCTGTTCTGTATATTTAATTAATCAAATTTTTTTTTAAATAAATCATATAAAACATGCTTGATTATAGCTGAAGAAAGATGAATCTTTTATTTCATTATGGGATATATAACACAAGCCAGAATTCCCATGCATTTAAAGCTAAATAGAGCTGCATTCTCCTTCAGATTACCTTCAGAAGGCGATCAAGAAGCTCAGAGCCACTCTTCACGTTGGGATCAGGGTCTGCTGCAAGCTGGGAAGTAAGTAAAAAAATCTCTTTTTTAGAAACATATGTTGAGACAACAGATATTCTGTTATTGTACTAACAGAGGAAACATCTCAAAATGATTGTCTAACATGGATCAAAAAAAGCAAGACTTAATTCAAGTCTCTCTGTATCGTTTACCGTCAGTTCTGGGCTAACCTATAGGTCAACGTCATTACAGCCACACACACCTTGCTAAGGCCATCAAACAGAACGTTGAAGTGGGGGAGCACAGCTCCTCTGGCCACCTTCACAATGTTGTAGAGAGCTTCGCAGGCGTAATATCGCAGACGGCTGTCAGAGTCGTTAAAACATGTGAGCACTGGCTCGATCAGCTCCTTCAGGTACAACCCAGAATCCTGCAGGACACAGGGGCACACGTGAGACACCAGCAGCAGAACATAATTCAGTTCTACCACTCAAATACATCAATGCATGCAAGGGTTACACAACTATTTGGTTTAAATGTTAAACAATTATTCATTACACACCACAGTCCTGTTGATCAACCCAAGATAACAGGTAAATTATTGTCCATAATAGTCAACCGTATGCTACACTGCAGCAGACAGGGATTTGACTGACACTGGAGTATCCTGTTAAATGTTGAGTAATTACCATCAGCCGAGAATCTAAAATTGAGCCTTTTTACCTTGTTAGCTCATGTCCTTGGTCACATTAAGCGAGATTCATCATATCATACAATTTGAAAGACCAAATTGTTTTCCTGTAACCTTCCATCAAAATTTTAAACAATCAAATCTTAATTTTAAATTTTAATCAATGTGTTTCACTTCTACCCCCAGCTACCATTGAGAGAAAACACTCGCTCAGAAATATGTTACAGTATGGATTAAATGGGAAAATGCATTATGATTTCCATTCATCTTGACTTTAAGAGTCAATGTACGTTTACATTTGTAGTTTGGTTCTCTTGGTCCGCACCAAAGTGATACACTCAGTGTGTTTACATGCATTCAATAATCCAATCATAATCGGATTTCCGCAGTTTGAATGGTCATGTAAACAGCATACTCCGATTTCTTAGATCAGAGTAAGGTCTAGAAATCCTATTAAGAAATCAGATAAAGAGAGCAGGATTTTAGCTCAGTAATCAGATTCCTCAGTGCAAACTCTTACTTTGATTTCTTTCGGATTTTTGAGTCTGCACATGTGCAAAAACGTGGTACAGGAAATAAGCAAGCAGCATTGCCGCAAAACACCTTTGGAGTGACTCTGAAACCAAATACAATCTCGACGAAATGAAGGATTTAAATATTTTTCATCGTCTAGATGATGTAAGCTCATATTTTCAGGTAAAGTGTTTATTAATAAAGCATGAAGTTTGAGTCTTATGTCACGTTTACGTCATGTCTTCTTCAGTGAGTTTATTGGCCGGTGGCAAAGTAGAAATTTGATTACTGCCTGACTCATGTAGACCTGGAGCTTCCCCATTTTCTGATTCCTCAAGTGCATGTAAATGTGTTGATTACTGACAAAGTCTGATTTCTGAAAAACTCTTAACAATAACAGGGATAATATTCAACAAACTCTCTGAAACATGCTGTACTCTGGCTAAATTGAGCTTTTTAAAACTCTGGTTTTATGTACATCTTGTTTTATGGATGTCTTGTAATATTCTACAGCAATAATAGCAAGAGTAGGTTTCTTACAGACAAAGGTTTACAAATTCATAGACGTGACATAATAAATGCATAAAAACAAAACAATGAACATATGATAAACATTAATCTCCTGAATGTGTAACTTGTGGAATCTCTTTCTACAGAATTTCAGGAACTGATTTTAAATCATTGTTGCTAAACATATTCAAACAAATGTCAGTACTTTGCCCAGGGCGATGGAGCAGGCAGCCAGGCCGATGAGGCCTCCTTTGCGACTGTGGGGGTGCTGCGACAGCGCAAACTCTGACGCCAGGATCTGGATGACATGCCGGATCTGAGTCGAATTGTTCTGAGCCACAAACTCCCTCACAAGTCTGCAGAGACAAATCAATATGTGAAATCCATGGCAAAAAAGATCAGAGGGATATGCACACAGCAAATGACTAAGACAAGAGTATGACCATCACTGCTTCTAAAAATATTACGGGTAGTTCCTTTGCTTAAAACTGTCACATTTCCTTCACACACTGGCCTCCTGGTAGTCACATGGTGGTGCTCAGGAACTGAGAAGCAATACCACTCTAATGGGTGAACATACTATGACACTGGGTGGTGGAAAAAGCCCTAAGCACTTTCATTTCTCAGCACTGCATAAAACTCCATAACATTTCATACACAGCATTCATAAATAATAGTATTTTTTCCTCAACTTGGAGAAATTTCTACTTAAGGTGGCTTTTATTTTCAGATATACTCTGTGGCCACTTCATTAAGTACACCTCATTGTATGTACACTCACTGGGCTTCATTCACCAATATCTTTAAGTTTTTTCTTAAATTTTATATTGAGAAAGGTCCTAAGAAAAAATCCACGTCAGATTCATGACGTGTTCTTAAACCGCATAATCTTTCACACCTTTCAGGGAGTGTGTAGATCCTGTTCTTACCTGAGAACAAATCCCAACTAAGAAAATATTGGTGACTGTCAAAATTTTAAGTAATTTCTTCTTCGGAACAGTTGGTGAAAGAGGCCCAATGTCCATTTGATCAGCTCCATTTACCATAGTGTACTTTGCAGTTCTACAATTACAGATTTCAGTCCATATGTTTCTTTGCGTAATTTGCTTTAACATAATGTTAGTGTCACTGCACTGGACTGAGAACAGTCCGCCAGCCAACAGAGTCCTTTTGCCAGAAAATGACCACTGATGAAGGACTAAAAATGACTAACACAACTGAGCAGCAACAGATGAGCTATCATCTCATACTTTACATCTACATGGTAGACCAACAAGGCAGGAGTGTCTAATAAAGTGGACAGTGAGTGGACACTGTTTAAAAACTCCAGCTGCACTGCTGTGTCTGATCTGCTCGTACCAGCGCAACACACACGAACAAGCCATCACCACGTCAGTGTCACTGCAGTGCTGAGAATGAGGCACCACCCAAATAATATCTGCTCTGTGGTGGTCCTGAGGGGGTAGAATGAGGTAAAGAAAGTCTAACAAATTATGCAGAGAAACAGATGGACTAAAACCTGTAATAGCAGAACTACTAATGCACATATATAGTAAGTGGGCCTGATAAAATTCGTGAGGACAGTGAGTGCAGATACAAGATAGACATATCCAATAAAGTGGCCAATGAGTGTGTCATAATGTATATGTAATATTTAACGCTCGCAGTTCAATTTGCTCAGTTAAGTTTTGGTGGATTTGTTTTTTTCTGGGTACTAATGGTGATACTTCTATTCGTAGTTAAGTATATTTGTAAACAGAATATTCTACACATTCTTCTTTCACCCAAATTACTTGTTTAATTTTAGCTCTCTGACTGCTTTGCAGCTTTATCATATTATTTTAGACTGAAAAGATCCTAAAAAAGAGAAGAACAAAACTTAGGAGCTTCACCTTAAAGGGGAATTCCACCCATTTGTCAAAATTTCACCATAATTAAACCATTCAGATGCAAACATAGTCATTCAGACTGGTGTGATGTTAAATGCTTCATTCTAGATGAATGAAATGAGTCAGAATCATTCACACTGGTGGTGATGATGATAGGGACCAGATGTCTGAAGCGTTTAAAGCCTCTGAAAGCTACATCACAGAAGATTAAACCCCAACACCCAAAACATTGTTTACAATAGTTTTAAGATATTTAAGGTATAACAAAACAAAGAAAACATATATGGTCTGGTTTACTACTATATTAACATTATCAGTCTTACATATATAAACTCAGAAGACGTGGTTCACTGGTGGTTTTGGATAGTAAATAAAATAGCTATATGTGTGTTATAGACATTGTGACCCCTGGTTCCCATCACCACCACAGAGAAACCAGAGTCTCTAAGTTCTCTACAAAGAACCATTTCACATCAACCCACTCTAAATGACTTTGTTTATGTCTCTATGACTGACCTAAGCAGAATATTTGAAAAATAGGTGGAATTCCCCTTTAACTTTAGCTAACAGGTGCTGGCTTTACTAAGTAGTTCCACTCAGGGAACTGAGTACATTTTCACTCTGCCTTCCTCTCTTAGGAGTAATAAACATCACTAGAAAGGGACTTTTAATTTTAGATGATTAGCCAGGACATCCACGTCTGATCACAAGACTGAACAACTAATAGGATCACGTGGCCTGTCAAGTGATGATTAATTTTTGTTTTCAGATCCACCGAGCCTTTAATATCCAATCCAGTGAATACAGGACAACGTTAGAGGTTTCCTACAGAAATAAACGGTTGTTTTGGACTCACTTCTCGATCTCTAGTGCTGCCACTTTCCTCTTCTCGTACAGCTTGTCGTTGAGAGCTCTCACAATGTTGGGGGTCAAAGGGGAGAAATCCTTCTCGGTATTCATTTTTCAAACGAATCCAACAACAGCTAACGTTACAGTCAACGGGGAACGGAGCAAGTAAAAGAACCGGACTCAGCCTGGTTCGATTCCAGTTTCGGAGAAAACAAAGTGGCTTTAAAAAGAATTAGCAGCCTTAAGCTTCATAAAAATAAGACTTCATACAAATCCAGCTCTGCCATTCACTCCACCGAGTCCACAGGCGGGAGTTAGTTAAGCCTGTTTTATAACGCACACGAATAAACCGTGTTTAAACCTCGACTCCTTTGACTCAGATCAAATGCATAATTATATTCAGTTCTATTTTGCTGCTGTTACTGAAGCACAGCTGATCAGGCAGCAGCAGCAGGAGGAGGAGGATGAAGAGAGTGAGTTACAGGTGATGCAGTCCCTCTTTCTCTTCCTCATTCAGCGACTTACTGAAGCGACAACAGGCCCGAAACCCGCAGTTAAAAAGTACGAAAAACCATGAGAGCTGAACAAAACGGAAGACGAAAAACCGCCTACAATAACAATCCCCACAGCCTCTCAGTGTGAACTGGTGAGCTGAGCAGCCATGTCTCCCGGCTCACATGACTGCTGACAAGCGCCCAGGCCAGATTAGTCGATCCCCGATCAAAGGATTTGTTTTGATTGGCTGAAAAGCCTTCAGGTCAGATGTGCACAAGTATGTTAGGAGCATTACTGCGGTATATTTCATACAGGAGGGGTTTTCAGGACTGTTCAACACCATAAAGTCCAGTCCGAGTCCAAGAGATGGGAATCGATGGAGTCGATTCCAAGAGTCGTTTCGTAATACAACCAGAGCCGGTTTAAGGGGAATTCCACCAATTTTTTCAAAATGTGTGCACGATTAAATGATGAAGATGTAAGCAGTGTCATTTAGGGCGATTTGATTGGAAATGCGTTCTAGAGGAACTTACCAAGTCAGAATGGTTCACAGTGGTGGGAACCAGATGTCTTAAGTGTTTAATGCGTCTAAAAGCTCTAAAAGAAAGTTACTACATTATATAGTTTTGCTAATGTTTTGAGCTAATGATTTGACGTCAGACATATATTTTTAAAAAAAACATTAATGTAATGTAAAATAGTCAATTATTTTCCATATTTCACACTATTTTACCATGATTAACATCATATAAAAAATCAAAAGACACATTTAGATTCTCTGGTAGTTTTGGACAGTAAATAAAATGGCAATTTTTTGCGTTGTAGACGACACGACCCCCGGTTCCTATCATCACAATTGTAAAGAAATTACAGTGTGCATGTTTCTCTACTACTACTCTGAATGACTGGTTATATCTCAGTGACTGAATTATACAGAATTTTTCCCCTCTAAAGGAGCATGGCCACTTTTCCCATTATGTCAAAAACATGACTGCAAAACGCCAGAGGGCGCCCACAAGCGAGTCCTCAATGAATGGGGATGAATAGAGCCAAACGGCTAAAAATAGAGCTAAATAGTTTCTCAATATTTGTCAAGGACTTTCCTTTAATTTTATAAAATAGAAAAATGTATTTCACTAAAAAAGCAAAGACAACTTACCTATATGCTTCCTTTTTTCTACAGCAAACAGGTTTTGAGCAGCAGGACGCTAGCATTACTGCTACTGAGTGCTGATTGGTTATCTTTACTGCTGCTGCATGCTGATTGGTTGTCAAGCAGAGCAGCTCATTGGCTGAATGAAGTGTTTCAACTCCAGTTATAAAGTCCTATAACTGTTCAAAAGCGCTCAAAAATATAACAGTAGTGTTAAAATGTTTTATGCTGTTCTGTGTTCGGGGATGAATGTATTCTTCTATATAAAATTGTTTAAGCATTTACAAACTATTAACTTGCTGAAATGCTCCGTATTAACCGATTCATTTTGGACTCACTCGGGAGCGCCCTCTAGTGTTTGACAAACGTGGAAGACATTGCAGAGTGGTAATTCTCCTCTCTACAAATTCTCTGATATAATGTTACCATTATGTTTTGAATAACAGGAGATCTAGACATATTCACAATGCTACCACCTCAATTGTTCCTTGACACAAAATGTGACTTTAATTACATAAAAGTCAAAATAATTTAGCTTTATTGTTTATTATATTATTATATATTATTACTAAACTGATTATTGACTGACAAGTCAATGGTAAAGGGTAGATGCTTCATCCCTGGCAAGATTTAGTGTAAGGCATTTTGTCCAAAGTAAAAGCAAATCAGTGTGCATGTTGTGGAAGAATGCATTTTCAGACAGGTTGTCCAGACAGTCATAGAATAATATTGTAGTGATGCTGCTAAGGAAGAGACAAGTTTATGCACAAGTTATTTTGCTTTATTAAAGGTGGCAGTTTGTCCATAGCCACGCCTTACACAAGAGAGAGTTTTTGTCTTGCTTCATTGACCGTCATTGTTAGACTTCATGAACTACACATAAACACAGCGAGGGAAGACTAAGAAGAATAAGAGTCCTTGTCAGACTAAACCAGATAATAACTGCTGGAGAACTAAACATGTAAACATTTTCTAAACACACTATTTTCCTCTCTGTATGGGCAAACCTGAATGTCACTTTGTCGAATCAAGTCCAAAGCTTTGGAGTTGACTCCCAACTTCCCAAATGCCTACAATCAGAGAACCGACCGGCACAATGTACCAGCTTTCCTCTGAAGACTCAAATATTATTTACTCTTCATGAGACACAGTGGTGGTGATAGGAACCAGACATACTAGGCGTTGTGAGGCAAAATGGTTTTCAAAGATTTTTTTAAGGATTTATCACTATTTACCACCATCAACATTCCATATAAAAACTCAGAGACGTGTAGGTTCATTGGAGGTTTTGGATAGTAAATAAACTGGCTATATTTTTGTTGTAGATATGATGACTCCTGGTTCCTATCACCACCACTGTAAAGACTTTAGAGTCTTCTCTTCAATGAATCATTTCACATCAAACCACTCTGAATGACTTTATTGACATCTTAGACCAAATTATACAGAAATCTGGAAAAATAAGTGGAATTCTCCTTTAAGCTACTAGACTAGCAGATTTCTGTCTCTAAAACAGGGCATTAAATTTTGTGAACATCACTTCCAGGATTTTATATATTTCCCGGGGCCTGTATTTACAACATACAACGCAGACGTGGTTCATTAAGAGAAGTTAGAGAGGCCAGTGCGCTGTAGGAGTTTATTTCTATCTTGTTCTCAGTTTCTTCCAGTTCCTTTCAGATAAATGTTAAAATATAGGCGACTTATTTTCAACAAAGTTAAAAACAACGTTGCACACTTTACCGTGCATTTGGAAAGTGGATATCTTTTGTAGTTTATTAGGTCAGTATACTAGTTAATTCTATGCTTAACATAAAATTTTCTCCTTTCAGCAGTATGTAATGTTTGTCAGTGTTGGGACCCAAACTCAAGCACTCTATCGCAGCTGCACATGCACAGTGGGATACTTCAGTGACCTGCACAACAAGCGTATCCTCATTCAGACTGGTCTCAACCACCTCTGCTCAGTCTTTCCCCTAAAGCAGGCATGTCAAACTGGGGACTTTCTGGGCCAAAGGGCTGCGGAGATCAGTGTTTACCCTCATCTGACGCTGAATTCAATTCATGAAGGTCTTGCTGATGAGCTGATCATCTTAACCAGGTGTGTTTAGTGAGGCAGTGTGCTTAAGTCTGCAGTGTTTTGGCCTGTGAGGACTGGAGCCTGACACATGTGCCATAAAGTGTGATTTCTTTTTGTATTAAATATTTGATTATGTAATAACAATACAGACATTAGTCATCACGCTGCTCTAAGCTCGGATCAAAGCACATATCATATAATTGTAAATGAAATACAGCTGGGGGAGAAATTAAATAAATAAATAAACAAATCAGAAGAAAAAAAATAAGCAGAAACTATTAAAAAAACTGACAGAGAAAAATCAAGAAAAAAGGGAAAGAAGAGAATCTAGGTACAATATTATAGATCAGATTGTTTACACAAAAATGCCAAAGTTAGAACGCAGGTTCCAGTTTTTCACAGCTTACTGTAGGAGGTAGATAAAGTGACAAAATAGGGGTCTACTTTTTTGTAACTTGCATTAAAAATACTCATTTTCATGATATGTAAACCCAAATAAAACACGGTCTAAACAAAGGTCAAATTCACTCAAAATAGAGTTCAAATATTTTGTCATAATCTTTGAGTGTGCTCACAAAGCCAAAACAGATCCAAAAGGGTTCCTGGGTAAGATGTGATTGGTGGTAATCTCATGGAGTGAAATATCTTCTCTTTGAAGATGTAACCATGGAGGTAATATGAGCCATGGATGAGCGTTTGGAATCACCAAACATGAGCCATTCATCAGCGTCTCGACTGAATATGATTAAAACCTCTTCATGATGTCCACTCCGTTCACTTACCCTCGCTGCTGGTCTTTAGTTACATTTAGAGAATCATATGCCTTCAAAGAGGGGGATACGACAATTATTTATCATCTCTAATCACCCCTAATTCTTGGGTGCTATTCGCCAGCTTCTTGTTCCAATTCTCCCGTTCCACCTTAAATGGTGCAGCAGTTGTATTCTGGGGCCTACTCAACTAGATTTAAGGTATGGTTGGAAATTGCGTAAATGTACATTTAGGCCAAACCATTACTTTAAAGCAATCATCTGTACCTCACATTGTTCATACTCTCATTTGCAGCTACACTATATGGCCAAAAGTATGTGGGCACTTGACCATCGCACCTTTTTGAGCTTGTTGGACATCTCATTTCAAAACTATGGGGCCAGTGCAGACCACTGGAGTTCCTCCACACCAAACTCGCCAAACCATGTCTTTATGGACCTCGCTTCACTTATTGCCACAATGCTGGAAGCATATAATTTTCAAAAATGTCTTGGTATGCTGTAGCATTAACACATCAATTCACCATAATAAAAGCCTAAGTATGCATAACATGAATAACACCCTATATGTTGTACACTAAAGTACCAGCTCAGTTTTCTCTCTCAGATCATCAAACTACATTTAATATTAGACAATGATAACCCAAGTAAACACAATATGCTCTTTTTAAATGCTGATTTCATTTATTGAAGGAAAAATGCTGTTCAGCCCTACCTGGCCCTATGTGATAAAGTAATTGCCCCCTTAGCCACTAAATCAGTTAACCAAATTCAGTTGACTATTGGGTTCAATTTCACTATCCACCCCCAGGCATATTACTGCCAGATCTGTTGAAACTAAACACCAGTTAAATAAGGCAGCACATGATGCCACGTTTTAAGATTCAAAAACAGATGCAGAAAAACGTCATTGAAATCTACCAGTCTGGAAAGGATTACAAAGCCATTGCTGAGGCTCTGGGACTCCAGCGAACCACAGTGAGAGCCATTATCCACAAATGGAGAAAACCTGGAACAGCGCTGAACCTTCCCAGGGGTAGCCGGCCTACCAAAAATTTCACCAAGAGTGCATCATCAACTCATCCAGGCGGTCACAAAATAACCCTAATGAACATCTAAAGAACTGCTGGCCTCACTTGCATCAGTTAAGGTCAATGTAGATGGCATCCATGGAAGAGTTGACTAATCACTGCTGACCAAAAAGAACACACAGACTCATCTTGCATGTGCCAAAAAACATCTAGATGACCCCCCCCCACCCCAAGAATTTTGGGATAATAATAATATACTTTTGACTGACAAGTCAAAGGTGGAACTTTTTGGAAGACATGGGTCCCGTCACATCTAGCATAATGCTAACACCACATTCCACCATAAGAACATCATACCAACAGTCAAACGTGGTGGTGGTAGTCTAATGGTCTGGGTCTGCTTTGCTTCTGCAGGACCTGGATGACCTGTCATCATTAATTCTGCTCTCGATCAGAAAATCCTGAAGGAGAATATCTGCCTGTTAGTTTGTGACATAAAGCTCAAGTGGAGTTGGGTTATGCAGCAGAGTTGAAGTACCAGAGAGGCCCACGTTCAGTAAGTGTGGGCTGTAAACCATAACCTGTGTAAACTTGTAGTAAATCAAACATTCCACATTTACTGAATCGAAATCTAACTTTGATTTATTTGAAAACTGGCTTTCAGATTGGCTCCTTGATACATAATGAGATTTTCAATTATATGGAGCAGTGGTCCTTCCTCCTGGAGAAGTGCTTTCTTGCAGAGATTTTTTTCCAGCCTGAAGCCCATCACCTCCCTTTTTGTATTAAACAGTAATGCATCTGATTCTGCCAGTGAAGGACTTCTGAAGAAGTCAGTTAGGTGGAGCATGGTTGGCAGATCATGGCTGGAACTTTCTCCAGAACCAGGGCTGGCAACCATTATCATAAAGATGGTTCACTAGACCAGAATAAATCCCAGGTTTGGTGTAAACTGCAGTGTCAGTGGTGAATCACCAGTGGAAATTCTAGGAAACAGTCCAAGACTAGACTCAGTATCATAACAAGGACGTTGTGGGCATCTGTTTATCTGTGTAGATGGAAGCGAACTGGTGACTTATGTAGTTAATAAATGGGATCATACTGTAAGTCTGTGTACGGTTGTCAGCATCTATATGATATGAGGGAATCAACAAAGACTTTGCTGACCCCCCTGCATCATGGGCAACAGTGTGATTGCTTCTCCTGCCCTCCCAGTAACACCACTAATTAGACATAATATATGTCTGGGAAACTGACCAAGAATCAGAATTCAGAATGGTATACCACAAAGCATGGCAACATAGTCAATAAACCAAGCATCACTCGTTGGGGCTAATTGTGATTTGCTTTTTCATTTAATTCTTAATCTTTTAAGAGAACAATGACTTGCAAAAATGAGATGCTAAAATGTGCAGTTCCGCAGAAATCCAGGACCAGGTTTGGAAAACTCTTAAATGCTGGATTAAATTATGATCATTTACTGAATATGACCCACAGATGGCAGCAAATCCTACGAAACAATGACTGTAGATGTAAAGCTACCAGGACAAAAACCTAAGTGATGATTTCCCTTGCAGAGCTACGGTGGAACTTCTCAGTACATCCTGCATCTATAAGTGGAGGAGCTGAAGTTTGGTAGCCTGTATTCTTCTCTGCTTGGAAACCCTTTGGTCTCAAATGAAGTGCTAAAACTTGGAGGGGTGAAGAGTGAGCCCCTGTAAAGCAGCCCGGGAGCAGAACCAGCAGGACAGTTACACTGAATAGGAAGAAATTAGGGACTAAATGTGGCTTAAATGGAACAGAAAAAAATATTCCTCTCATAGTACTGAAAGTGACAATAGAAGTGAAAGTATTACCATTATCAAACTACACAAATTTAGTCCATGAAAACTGTACTTGAAGGGGAATTCCAGCAGCTTTTCAGAATTTCAGCATGATTCAATTGATGCGATGTGAAAGTCATTCAGAGTGGTTTGGTGTGAAATGGGGCACTGTAAAGAAACAGACACAAATTTCTTTACAGTGGTGGCACTAAGAACCAGGAGTCACAAATATATACATATGTGTGTACAGTGCATATATACATTTCATTTCTTATCAAAAACGCCCAGAAGATCTACTGTTGTTTTCTGAGTTTTGATGTTAAAATGGCAAAATGGGGATAAATATGCAAAAAATGAGTTTTCTTTGGGTACTTTTTGTTCTGCCTTCACCTCTTCACCATTAATATATTTTCAATAATATACATTTTGGACCAAAACCTTCTCAGAACTAGTGTCAAACAATGTCTCAAGCAGCTTAGGCAGCTTACTCATGACTACTTTATATAATAACTTCATAAGTATGATCACAACTCCTCAGACGTCTGGTTCCATTCACCACCACTGTGAGCAGTTCTGACTCAGCAAGTTTCTCTAGAATGAAACATTTCACATCAGACTCCTCTGAATGACTGTTTACATCTTAACCATTTCATTAGGCAGACAATTTGAAAAATAAGTGAAATTCTCCTTCAAGTTGGCTACAGAATAACTAGTTCCTTCCCACCTCTGGATGGCAGTGATGACTAGTATGAATTTGAGGACCGTTTGCATTGCTCCCAGTTTGTTCACCAGGGTCATTATTTGCTTAATTAAAATGTGTATTGTAGCAAAACGATGTCAATGCATTCAACAGGCTGCTTCAGAATCTCTCCATACTTGCATATGTAAGGCCTTAAAGGGGAACTCCACCGATTTTTCAAAAAATTCTTCTAATGCATAATTAAATGGTTAAGACATAAACAAAATCATTCAGTGTGGCTTGATGTGAGATGCTCCGTTCTAGAGAAACTTGCCGAGTCAGAATTCTTCACAGTGGTGGTGATAGGAACCAGACGTCCACCTCTGAAAGCTCCCTCACAGAAAATTATTACCTGAAAAGCTCAGATATGTGCTGCCTGATGTCTGACACATCATTTCATCATAGGTTTTTGATAAAGATTTGACTTAAAGTATATTTTAATCCATTTAATTTAATCTATTCATGGTGGAGGGGTACATGCAGGGTGTTATAAGGCAAAATAGTTCCCAAAGAAAACTTATTTTTCAGATTTATGACTTCATAATTTTACCATCATCAACATAACATATAAAAACTCAGAAGACACCTGTAAGTTCACTGCTGGTTTTGGATACTAAGTAAAATGGCTATGTTTGTGTTGTGGACATCGTGACCCCTGGTTCCTATCACCACCACTGTAAAGAAACCTGATTCTGTACAATGAACCACTTCACATCAAACCACTCTGAATGACTTTGTTTACATCTCAAGGACTGAGTTTTGAAGAAATTTTGAAACAAATGGTGGAATTCCCCTTTAACGGAGTGGGCAGGACTTTGTCCTGTATGGACTTCACCAATAGGTCTCTAATGTAGGTTGTACAAATGAGGTATCGGTGGGAAATCGGCCAGCTGGACCGGGAATAGGATACTTTCCCCCCGGAAACTTGCAGCCGGTACCAACATTGTGGAGTGTTTGGAGCGCAGGACGTGGCGACCATCAACAAGTAGGCTTTTGTGGTCGCTTTATCAGTTTACTCAGTCTAGCTGTAATCTGTTCACAGCCTTTGAAAACGGCTGCGTTTGTCTGCTACATCATTTACAGTCCAGTGGTGAGTTACACGAACGGAAATTGGCGCTTTGTATCAAGTACAGAAAAAACTGGCCTCCTTAAGAAGTTCGCGCTGACCGCTCAGCGAGGGGAAATTCTCTGTACAGGCTGGCTGTGAGTTCAAACACTCTACTGGAAGTGGGCATTTTTCTGTTCCTTGTGTTGGGAAGCGGTCAGCTTTGGTTGAATTAAGCAGCCCATGAGGGAGAAGAGGAGCTGAGCGGAGTCCGCTGGGATTTTCAGGCTGAGGAGCAGCAGGAGGGAGGCAGCAGCTCTTCGCCCAGAGAGATGGCACACCGAGGGGGCATTTCTACAGACCTCTGCAGACCTCTTCCCCTAGCCTTCCTTGCTTTGGTGGTGATTGTGGTGGTCAACATTGTTGGAGCAACAGAGCAGGACGAGTTCAACGCAGAGGTATTTCTTTGAATTACAAATAATGACAGAGGTTTTTAATGTAATAATGAACAGCAGTAATAATTTTGGCTTTACTCAGATTGACCAGGTTATCTAAAATCTCTGACCATTTCTGAGTGACTGAATGCATTTGACCACTATTATTTACATACAGGCATGCAGTCAAATCTGGTAAACTAAAACTCAGAGAAGCAGTCTGTATTGCTTTTATATATATATAAGATCAAATGTTGTTTCTCAGTTTTTGAGATAAGTTGAAAATGTCTGTTGCCCTTTATTTTATGAGTAAATTTCATGATGAATGGACCAACTCAAAAAAGTCTGGTTCCATTGACTTACATTAAAAATAAAGAATGTTTTTTCCTTTTCCTGTGAAGTTGTCATTTCAAAGGTACAAGGTTTTATTCAGACAACAGTGATATATATGTGTGTGTGCGTGTTTGTGTGTATAAGTATATGTATATGTGTATATATATACTTTATATATAAACTTTGGTATATGCTCATGTACACATGCACTCAAAATTGGAAAACTTAGTCTCAGACAAGAAATATGGGTCATATTTTGGGGTCATTATTTCACTGCAATTTTCTTATTATTATTTTAAAGCACAGCTTTATGCATAACGTCAACATTCCAGGTTTGATTGTTGTTGAACTTCACCATATGTCAGTCAGCTCCTCAAGAGCCCAGATGGTGGACCACCTGAAGTGTTTTAAGAGTGTTTCTGCCCCCTCCTCACCTGGTTAACCTGTAAATCTCCTGAAAGTTTCCAGCCCCACTGTTTAGGTTATAGTGTGGCTTCAGGGGTTGGGTGTTTATACATCAGCTTTTCTTCAAGGGAGTGAACATACTGGAGTGGCTCTTTAACTTTTTACAACTATTGATTCACATAGTGATAGTTAACCCTTGGTACTCTAATGCTTAAGTATATAATTGTTACAGTTATTTGACTTAAGCAAAGCAGCTTGGGAGAGTGACCTCAATCCATGAACACAACAATTTTTAATAGTGTCCTTCTTTTCCTGATTTAAAGAGGCACTCTGGCCAAAGTGAAAAACGTAACCATCGCTATATCTTTTGCAAACCTGCGTACTAGCTTCCTGCAGTGAGGCCACAATAGTATCAAGAGTGAGATAATCCAGTCTAAAGACTAGGAATACTGGGAATACCTCCATCTGATGATGTATGATGAAGGTGGGAGGAGTTATTGGAAAAACTACAAGCACTTTGGGGCGAATATGTGAGGGCAGTCTGCTTGAAATGTTAGCAACACAGAATTTGGCTAATGCAGAAGGAAGCAAAATAGCTAACATTACTGCGAAGAAGCCATCTGTGTTTGTAAGTCTCTTGGATTCCCAGTGGCGTATTTATGCAATGCATGCTGGGTGAAAACACACAAGGATACAAAGTCATGAATCCTGTCAACTGTTGAGGCAGAGAGATGCAGTGCTGTGCTGCGGAATATTACAGAAAATGATGAATAACATTAAATGCTTGTTTTAGGCCAGAATGCCCCTTTTAAGTAGGCTAACTTTCTCTTTCTTCTCCTTGTCGTCTCCCTCTGTCGTTCATCCAAAGTCATGGCTGAGGACCTACGGCTACCTGTCCCAAGCCAGCAGACAGATGTCCACCATGCAGTCGGCGCAGATTCTGTCCAGTGCTATCAAAGACATGCAGCGCTTCTATGGCCTGCAGGTCACGGGCCAGATGGACGAAGCCACTGTGAAGTATGACGTTTTTATTTGAAGCGAGCTTTAACCTGTGCTTAAATGTGTGGACCCTTTCACTGTTTTTTAGAGAGAAAGTGGTTGAACAGCACTTCATTTGTTAACACCCACGTAAATGGGTTCTTTCTGCAAGTGTACATTTCTGCTGCATCAGCAGATCCATTGAAACAATGGAGAGAGTCATTATCAAGCAGAGTGATGTGAATAAAAGTTTTTTTCCCTCTCAAATCTTCAACATGTGTTTTAATGCACTTTAATGGAGCTCTCGCACCTCGCTTTATTTTATTAGTTTTCGCTTTCTTGAATTTTACCCAACTCAGTTCATATTAGCTAATGTACAGGAGCTCTGCTGACTAAACGTTTCTGCTCTTAAGTATTAAAAAACAGGCTGGAGAGTTTCCTCATATTTGTCTAACTGTATTCTCTTATTTAGACTAATCCAGGTTCTAATTTGTTTTCTTTTTTTGAAATGTTGGCCTACTTAATAGTTCCCACAAAACAACGAATCCCAGAGCCTGCATTACCCTTTAGATCCAATCATAAGTTTGTTTGCCATTGACCCTAATTTCCCCACATGTTTTGGTGAATGTGAGCGCTCCCTGAGTGACTGACCTCCTGTGCTTTCAGAGCTATGAAGCGCCCACGCTGCGGAGTGCCTGACCGCTTCGAGGAGTCGAGCGAAGGAAGTGTCAGGCGAAAGCGCTTTGCTCTGACTGGACATAAGTGGGATAAAGACAAACTAACTTACAGGTGAGAAATGGAGGGGGTTGAGATCCCTTTAACCTAATTTTTTTGGGAAATAAACACTGTTTATTTATTTAAATATGTTTTACAGTGTGCTAGTCTTTTGATGTGCTAATTAATCATTAATTCCATTGATGTTCTTATTAATAATTTAGTCATGAGATGCAAACGTAGTCATTTAGAGTGGTTTGATGTGAAGTGATGGTAAACAAACACATCAACTCAGATTCCTTTGCAGTGGTGGTGATAGGAACCAGGGGTCACACTGTCCACAACACAAATAAAGCCATTTTCACTTTCTGTAAGGGAGCTTTTAGAGGCATCAAATGCTTAAGATGTCTGGTTCCTATCACCACTACTGTAAACAATTCTAACTCTAAAGAAAGTTAGTTTCTCTAGAATGATTTCACACCAAACCACTCTAAATGATTTTGTTTATGCAGGAATTTTGAAAAATTGGTGTACTAGCCCTTTAATTGCTATTCTAATAAATATAAACTTCACCTAAAGTTGTTCTTATTGTGGGTAAGTTAGCAGTAAGTACTGTAAATAAGGTAATGCTATTTTTTTGTTCACTATTTTTCATTCATTGTTAGCCACACTATTGTTTTGACTCAAGTACTCCTGTAATTTGGAGACCAGATGTCTCCACAGTAGAATTCCGCTCTGGTAATTGTGATTTATTTTCTCTTTTCTCTCAGCATTCAGAACCACTCCCCCAGAGTCGGCCAGCAGCAGTCCTACAAGGCCATCCGGAGAGCCTTCCGTGTTTGGGAGAAAGTGACTCCCCTACGGTTTGAGGAGATTCCTTACCATGACATTAAAAACGGCAGCGAAGGGCCTGATATTATTTTGCTCTTTGCCTCCGGGTACCATGGAGACATGTCTCTCTTTGATGGTGAAGGAGGGTCACTGGCTCATGCATTCTTCCCTGGTCCTGGGATGGGAGGGGACACACACTTTGATATGGATGAACCCTGGACACTCAACCAACAGGAAGGAACAGGTGATGTCAGATTTCTTGATAAACTGTAAAGCAACTTTGCAAAGAAAGATTAAAGGGAAAGTCCACCCATTTTTCAAAATTTCTGCATGATTCATCGGTTAAGATGTGAACAAAGTCATTCAGAGTGGTTTGGTTTGAAATGCTGTTTTAGAGAAACTTGCAGACTCGGAATTGTTCACTGTGGTTGTGATAGGAACCAGACATCCAAAGTGTTTAATTTCTCTAAAAGCTCCTCCACGTGAAGTTCTTACATACAATGGCAATGAATATACAGCCTGAGACAGTGTTTTACAGTAGTTTTAAGTTACATTTGCATTGTAGACATCACAACCTCTGGTTCCTGTCATCACCACTGTAAAAAAAAAAAAATCAGTCAATAAGTTTATCCAGAAGGGAGCGTTTCTCATTAAACCACTCTCAACAATTCAATTATGTAGAAATAATAATAGTAATCATGTTTTTAGTGGAGTTTCCTTGTTGTGTAGTTAATCTCTAAACTATATCTGTTGTGTTTGAGTTTCAGCTGTATTTCCACTTTCCAAATCTGCCTTACTAATTTAATTAGCTTGACCATGTGTTGTCTGCTTTTGTTTCTTCCATGGCCTGCATCTCTAGGCGTTGACCTGTTTTTGGTTGCGGTTCATGAGTTGGGTCATGCACTGGGTCTGGAGCACTCTAATGACCCCTTGGCCATCATGGCTCCCTTCTACCAGTGGATAGACCCAGAGAGCTTCTCCCTGGGCAAAGACGACATCAACGGGATTCACCAGATCTATGGTGGGTGCACACATACAGTCTGTTATATTACTCACTTTACAATATTAAATACTGTGCAAAAGTAGGAGACCTTCTATTAATTTAGTTTCCACTTAAAACAGCCAAGTACAAGTTATTCATTAATTCATTTCTGAGGAGATTAGGCATAACATAAGGAAGGAGAGAGTGAAAGGAAAACCAGAAGTTTCCCAAATGGGATTATAACAAATGATTAAAAGAAACAGGGAAAATAGGACCTGCACGACAAAACGGTCCCCACCAGATAAACAGCACTTAAAGCTTTCATCTTTGAGAGAGAGGAGAAAATCAAGCTCCACTCTTGCATCAGATCTGAAAATATCTGCAGGTGTTTCTGTCTATCTTTGCACTGTGAGGAGACAGCTCAACACTATGGGTCTGAAAGGATGTGTAGAAGCCTTTATTGAAAAAAGGAAAAATGAAAAAAAAAGAATATCTGCAGATTGAACAATGTTGCTCTTGCAACCACCTTCTAGGACTGAACTTTTGTGGTGTGGATAATATTCCTGCAGATTTCTGTAAAAAACTGAAGAAGAAAGGTGCACACACTAAATACTGAGAAATATGTATATACAGTTGTAGAGTGGTCTCCGACTGTTGCACAGTACTGTACATTGCAGGTTAATGCTGGGGTTTAGTGCATTGCTGCAGGGATGTCATACTGCAGTCTTGCAGGGCTGGTGTGTTTTTTGTGTTTTCCTTGCTTTAGCATCCCTGAACTGCAAGTTTGAACACTTCTGTTAATACTTAGTTTTTATTAGCATGAAATGCTCCTTGTAAAGCCTAAAAGAATCCCAAATAAGTCTAATGTGGAAAAATTCTAATTCCATGATGTGCTATCAGTTAGTTTATTATTCATGCAATGCATACCCAAGTAAAATGAGTCCAACTCAGTGGAATAGGCAGTGGCTGAGAGATGAACTTGTCCCAGTTAATGCATATCAGTGTAGGTCTGTTTTCTCCATTGTGGCTGATCTGAAAGCCCTGCACTGCATTGCTGAGTGAATGAGCCTCGTGGGCCTCTTGCCACAGCTGCTGCTGTGTGGAAAAAGTGTGGCGCTAGTTTTAATGTGTGTGTCTCAGGGAGTTGCACGTTTAGGGCAAATATTAGGGATGCACTGATGACAATTTCTGGGCTGTTACCAATATTTGATAATTAGGGATGCATGGAATTTCCAGCCACTGAAAATAGCACTTCAGTACTTCTGGTTTTCAGCGGAAAGTTTTGACTGGGAAAATTGAAAGATTAAATTGGCGAAGAAGTTCTACTCTATAAGTTCTACTCTAAGACTCTATAAATGATTTAGTAGTAGTGAAAATGAGAAGTAGTGGTTTAGAAAAATACCCTAAAAACTGTTTGTTTCCTTTCGCTCTCCTGCGTCAGTCAGCACAGACGTGTTCAAACAGTTTGAGCGGCAGCAGATCAAACAGTGAAAATTTCAGCCGTGTGCAACTATTTCAGTTTCTTTGAGGGTCGTTAGACAAGCGATTTGTTATCTTGGTTCCTGCTGAGTATCATGAGGAGCTACAGCACCCAAGAACTTCTCCATTACAGCTTTGATACCACTTGAAAACATGACCTCACACTCTATCTGCAGGATACAGCAAAAAAACAGAAACAGAAAATAAGTCCCTCATAGCACGCTGACACCATCTGTATATATTTTTGAAATAATGAAGAAAAAAAAATGAAATGACAGAGAAAAAGTGAGAAGTAAAACTAAAAATTAGGGAACCCATTGCCTAACTGGATGACTAACTGTTCTCTTTTGTTAAAGACGTTTGATTTTGTGGCACATTCTACAGCCTACATACTGTAATCATTTTGGCAAGTTTGTTTAATGTGAACTCTGCCCTGTGATGGACTGGCGACATGTCCAGGGTGTTTCCTGCCTTCTGCCCGATGATAGCTGGGATAGGCTCTGGCACCCCACCGCGACCCAGAAGGATAAGCTGTTTAGATGATCCTTTATGCTGTTCATTTGAGTTGAAAATAATGCAGATGCACAGCACTAGTGATAATACATACATAGATACATACATACATCTCAGTCATCAGTTGTTATTATCTTATGTGATTCCAATCTTGGACTAAAATTATAATAATGAATTATTTCCAGGTATCAGCATATAATATTTCAGCTGCCAATATACTGTTGTGTGTGATTACAGGCCCTCCTGAGATACCAACTAACCCGCCATTGCCCACCACTACTACCTCACATACTACCACACCTGAGCCGGAGCCCACAACCACCATGACCCCCACAACAACCACCAGACCCCCTCGAAGACCTACCCAGCCATGGGTTGCTCCAGCCATCCCTACTAGACGGCCCCACAGACCCAAACCCACTAGCCGTTCAGACCAAGATGCCCCAGACATCTGTGAAGGGGATTTTGACACAGTGACCATGCTGAGGGGTGAAATGTTTGTCTTCAAGGTGAGACAGTCACTGATACATCCTTGATAGCCAAGATAAAACTAACCACGAGATGTAAAACCCTGCTGAGCAGTGTTTATGAAAACAAATTCTTAGGTATTGCACAATGTTTTAACATGGCTTCCTGTAGACTCTCCTGGAACAGAACAGTTAGTTCTCCGAATGTTGTTTTTCCATCTTTTCACAGAATGCAAAACATGTACCAATCTAGTCACATGCTTCTGTGTGTATATGTTTTTAATCAGAATGTAATCTTCTCTGTATTTTTCTGTCTATATCTGTCTATATCTCTCTCTCTCTCTCTCTCTCTCTCTCTCTCTCTCACTCTCTCTCTTTTTTGCTTTCTTTCTCTTTCAGGGTCGTTGGTTCTGGCGTGTCAGGCGGAATCGAGTTCTAGATAATTACCCCATGCCTATTTCTTTCTTCTGGGTGGGACTGCCTGAGGACATAGACGCTGCCTATGAACGCCACGATGGGAAATTTGTGTTTTTCAAAGGTCAGCAGTGTGAAAATAAAATGTATGCGGGTTAGAAAGCCTTCAGAATGCACTTCACCCCTTTAACCCTATGGGCCCACACTTCTGTTCCTTTCTCTCATAGCTGGCATGTTACTTGCATACTAGTTTTACAGTAGTTAATAAAAGAATTGATAGAAATTTGGAAGTTTAGTCATGTACAAACATGAAAATTCCTGGCTGAAATTGAAATTCAGAACACATCTGGAAAAGCTAAAGAAAGGAAGGGGAGTTAATAAAGGTTCTAAACATAAAAAAACTACAAGGTAATGAATAAAATACACTTCTATTATTGATAAAATCCACTTTGAATAGGATGATAACAGAGCATGTTTGTTATCCAAGGCTTGAGTTCCATTTTTTAAGTTATACTTTGCCCTTTGGGTGTCATTTGCGATTTTTTTTTTCATAATTTTGAAACCTGTGTCTACAGCCGGTGTGCTAGTGAGGACTTTTTTTTTTGCTGCATTTGGCACATTGAGTGGGACGGCATGTTTTCAAGTGATATCAAGCCTGTAATGGAGAAGTTCTTGGATGTTGCACTTCCTTTTGATACTCAACGTGAACAGAGATTACAGATTGTCCAGTGTCCCTTTTAGAAACTCTGGGATAGTTCCACACGGACTGACATATTTTTTCCATGTTTGAACCTGTCTTTGCTGACCAGCACAGGAGAGCCAATGGAAAAAAGTGTCATTGTCGTTCTTATTCAAATAATTTGTTTAGTGTTTGAGTATGTCGGAGTGTTTTTTTGTAGGCAAAATTTTCTGCCTTTTTTCTCTTTCATCCGAAACACAAAAATTTTGACTGTTTTCAGTGGCCGAAATTGTGCATCCCTATTAGACATTAATGAATAATACGTCTTTGAATAGTGAGAGTTGGGTTCAGAGGGGCTTTACTTATTCTGTTAGAGAAAGTGGCTGCTGAGGTCGCATCTCAGATGCCTTGTCTGTACCGACACAAACTGGAAATGTAAAGCATCTCACTCATCTGATCAGTTCTTTATGACATCCTAAGAGCTGTAAATATTTCCCAGATATCGAACTTTCTTCAAAACATTTGTTTCCCTGGCTCCAACAAACTCTTGGCCATATTACATCACTAGTAAAGCACTCGGTGCAGTGAGGGGGAAGGGGACTTTGGCAGAAGCGCTAGGCCTGGCCTGTGTTGCGTCAGCCTCCACACGCTCAACACTGATCTGCTTTCAGTTTGAGTAGAGAGAGTGGAGGAAGAGCGCCACGGGACAAGCTTCAGCTGTTCTGCAAAACGCACTAAACCCCTTATTAGGCCTTCAGCAGCCCCGGCTCATGTGTAAGAAATGTTGATGCATCGCTTGCAGTGACTTGAGGGGAAACTGTTCGTTCACAATATGGACTCTGTCTCCTTAGAGCGCAAGAACCATAAAGATCACAGTGTCTTCTCTCAGCCTTTCACTTTCTCCCATTAAGCTCTCTTTGTTCCTCTAAGAGTGTTCTGTTCTGTCTGCCTCCCTTCGGTCCCCCCTACAGGCAGTCAGTACTGGCTCTTCAGGGAAGCTGATGTGTTGCCTGGCTATCCTCAGGACCTGTTTCGCTATGGTCATGGTATGCCTGACAGAGTGGACACAGCTGTGTGGTGGGAGCCCTCCGGCTACACCTACTTCTTCAGAGGAGACAGGTGAACAAAACAAAACAAACAAGTGTAGAGTATGTCTGGGCTTCGTGGGTAAAGCACTTGTGATCAATTATTTTTTCATTTCTCTCTCTCTTTTTTAACGTACTCATTCAAAATAAAGGTGCCAAAGGGTTCTGTGTAGCGATTCAATAGACTGACCATTGTTGGTTCCCTAAAGAACCTTTAATGAATGATTCTTTAAAGAACCATTTTTGTTAGTGAGAAGAGTAAGTGTGAAGAAACTCTTAAACTTTACAAATAAAGGCTCTTTAGCAGCGGTCACCATCCCTGGACCTGCAGATCTACCTTCCTGAGGAGTCTGGTTACAACCACAGTCTGCCACACCTGCTACAGTTAATTAACGTCTTCAGTAGTTTTTGATTTGCTGGTGCATTAGTGTTAGGTAAGGGCGTTGCAGCATGTTAGATTTCAGCTTGAACTAAACTCTGCAGGGAAGTAGATCTCCAGGAGGAAGGTTGGCGACTGCTGCCAATAAAATATACCAGTAAAATCTTTTCCTGGAACTGTATATTAAAGCCTAGAACCATTTAAGAACCTTTATTTATAATAGTGTGGGTATGCTGTTTTTGTGTTTTTGTTTTGCCTGTGCAATTTTTTTTATCTTCTTGTTATCTTCTTAATTCTCACCCATCTCACTCATCATTAACATAATACCGCTTTCTCTCTCTCCTGCAGATACTGGCGTTTCAGTGAAGAGTCACAGGCTGTGGATAAAGACTACCCCAAACACATCAGCGTTTGGGGCTCCATCCCTGCCTTTCCTAAGGGGGCCTTCCTCAGCGATGACGGAGGTGAGTCAGGGCTGGGGGACGGGTACCAAGGAAAATGCCTCTCAAAAATGCGAGAGCGGGGTTGATCCGAAGCGGAGAGCAGGAAAATGTGACTTCACTGTAGAGAAAGTAGGACGCGTTAACAGCCACAGTTCCCTAATGCTCAATTTCTGTTTCTGCCTTCACATATCACTTCACACGGCTGGGCACAAACACCTTCATCGGGTTCTGTTAAAGCAACAGATGTGCCGCCTGCACGTATGAGTGGACGCTTTGGTTCTGGGAAGCATTTTGGCAAGATTGCAGTGGCCAGACATTTCTATTGTTTGATGTTCCCGTCCTGTTACGCAAAAAGAGTTTTTGTTTAAATAAAAGGTTGCTGAAGTTCAAGGCTGTCGTCAGTTTAATTGTATTCCTGGTTGAGGTTTGACAGTAACTGGTTTTAATGATATGCTGCACTATAAAACCCAGTGATGATCATTCTGCTTTAAATAGTAATAATTCTAATCACTGCGTCTCTTCAAAAAGTCACCATGGAGGTAAATCGCCTGCTGCTGCAGTCTCCCTGCACATGCAAGGACGATCCATGTTTGCGTGGTTATAACAATGAACAGTAGTAGTGATAAAAGCGGAGATAATTTCATATTTATGTAAATTGTAGTTTTTGGTGCTATAACAAAATGAGAGGTTTAATAAAGGTCTATCAGTCTGATTCAGTCAGTGGTTAAATGATTTCATTGTGTAGTAGTGTCTTTTAAACATTTTTAGTACATTTTTATATCTATAATTTCATGGTTACGTTCCAGTTCCGATTTCTTTACAGCCAAATTGGCTCACAGACAGCCTTTTTGGCCTGTTTATATATTTTTACTCAGAGCTCACACTGTGTAGTCTAAATGAACACGAGACACAAAAGTTGCTATATGAATAAACAACATTTATTTGCTCTTTAATGAGACAGAGACAATTTTAAATTCGTAAACAAATCAGTTGTGTATTTAAAAGACATGAATCAATTAAAGAGCTACATTGAAAGTAAGAGGTGAAGAAAATTGGCTGATTGTCTGTTCTACATTAGGAGCCAATTCCAGTTGTGCATTACTAATATTTAACAACATCTCAATATCAAAAACCATGGATTTTGTCACAGTATTGAAACCCTTGATGAGGCCTGATCATTACTGGCCTGAAATCCTCTTAAAAGTCTCTGTTTTCTCCACAGTGTACACCTACTTCTACAAAGGCACCAAATACTGGCGATTTGACAACAAGCGAATGAAGATTGATCCAGGCTACCCTAGATCCATCCTAAACGACTTCATGGGCTGCCGGGTTGACTTTGATGCAGGTCCAGATACACACAACCAGTGGCCGGAGACGGGAGACCGGGAACAAGACACCGACGACTACAAAGACGACGTCGATGATGTCGGTGGCGTCGATACCCACAATACTGACGATGATGGGAAGAAGGAGGTAGATGAGGTGTTTCCGGTGAAAGAGACTGATGACCACGTCATGACGCTCATCTTGGTGACTGTGCCTTTGATCCTGGTGCTGTGCATTCTGGGAGTGATTTACGTCATCATCACCACACTGCAGAACAAAGAGACGCCCAAAGTGCTGGTTCACTGTAGACGTTCCTTACAGGAGTGGGTGTGATGCGCAACCTTCTCAAACACTCTCGCTGTTCAGTGTCTCCTCTTTCAGCACGTACAGTTTTCTCAGCGAAACTCACTCCTTGCCTTCTCACAACGGTGGTGCTCTACCCCATTCATGACTCTGTTCTCAACTGAGAATTTGCACTTTCATGTCTTTTTTTGTGGTTTTATCATGTGTTTAGTGTTTGGTTCTATTCTGTGTTGTGTGCGTTAGAGGTCTGCTGCCTGACCCGAGCCAGAGGGGGCCAGAGTATAGGGTTTTTCACAGGCTCAGGTTAGGATTATTTTCTAATGAGATTTTTTTTTTTTAAGGAATATGCCTACAAAATTCCCTACACATGTTCTCTTCTTCCACTCTCTCTCGTCTTGGAATAGTGCTCTGGAGTTTAAGGAGTGGGTGAACATGCCCCTGAATGAAACTGGGGGAAAAGTTGAACTGTAGATCAGTCTCAGTCACACCATGGATGATGTGTTGGGTTAGTGGTTGCTGCAGATAAGTTCACCTGAAGTTTGTAGCAGCAGAAGAGAGAAACTTTAGAGCAGTGGGGCTAACAGGTGAACAGAGGACGTTGGATGCTGTTCTTTGCCAGGTATGATCAGCAGATAATACCAAAATATGTTGGTATTAAAGACTGGTAGTGTATAACAGATGTGTAAAATATAGGGATGTGCACAGGTACTCAAGTTAACCATTCGAGGTGCCAGAATTCCAATACTGAATACTTGTTATGTTTCAGCGCTGGAGGATGGAGTGAATTTACAGACCCAGAATGTTTAAACAGATCTGTAGGCCAAGATCTGTTTTGTGAGTAAATCCGTTATACTTCGCTACTCCTGAACACAAGTGCCTTAAGGTGGGCGCGTTGCCAAAGATGTAACTGAGAAGCCTAAATCTCAAATGGTTAGTGCACTGCACAGGCCATGAAAGAAGGCTTCTACACACAGATACTGCTCTAAATGTTACATAGGGAGTCGTGCGGCTAATGGATGAATATTAATGGCTTTCTATTCGACATATAATTTACTCTTTGGGTGACCTACACATTGCACTACATAGGGCCATTTGAGATTCAGCCAGAGTGCTGCTTTTATCACTAACTAGGCTAAGCTGATGTTGGGTACCAGAACAACAATAAAAATTTGTCTGTTGGCACTTCATTCAAGCTGAAAAAAACACCTGTAGACGATGATGAGTATCTAACGGCATCCGGCGTTGAACCCGTTAGTTGTGGTTTTAGGCTGGTTTTACTTGGTGAAACTTTCATGCAGCTAGTTGCATGTTGTAAGCCGTCAGCAGCATAATTTCCCTGCAACTTGACAGTAATTTAAAAACAAAGTTACATGCAACACAATAGTCTCCTTTCCATCTGCTCAATAAACCATGAAAGTCGTTTGAGAATGATGTGCGATGTGATAGTGATGCGTTGTTGCTGCCTTAATTGGCTGTTTCATGAAACTTGGTCCACAAAGTTGAGATGCTTGCAGTTGTTGCATCCGAGTTTCAAATGAGTTGCAGGTCGCTTTACGTTATGCAGTTTATTTTTGTGTAGGTTTCAAGCAACTAAAGTTAGCCTTAGCTCATTAGCTCATCTGAGGCAGTCTCTGTTATGTTACTTCTCGGACACGAAAACTTACCGATATCCCTTGCCTGTTTTTTAATAATAAAACGTTTCGAAATGCATTCCTCTGTGTGAGGATAAATTTTTGTGCAACACCAGTGCTGTCACTTCTTTAAGTTCTACATTAATTTCAGCTTTTTGGATCGGGCTCGGGTTTCAGATTCAGCAGTTCAAATCGGGCCTGTTCAGGTCAAGCCTCAAAGCCGCGGGTCGGGTTCTGGCTTCAATTTCATGCCCTTGCAGACCTCTAGTGCATATGTGCATTTACGTGTTTATGTCTTGTCTATGTGCATAAATCAGACCTTCTGTTTCCCTAATGAGCCCAAACTGTGGGAAAGTTGGATGTGTTGAGCAATTTCTTTGTCAGCAAATTTCTCTCGGTTCCCTCTAAATAGCCTCAAGCAAGATGCTAAAGTCTAACTTTTGAGGAAAGGACATGGTTAAAATAGTTTGGCTTAATAAATAGAATTGCACATACTTAGAAAGTTTACTGTCTGTGCCTATGGGCCAAGCTTGGCTTACATTGCACAGATGTTGCTGATTTGGGGCTTTGGAAAGAGAGAGACAGAGAGAGGAAGAGAGCAAGAGAAAGCGAGCGAGGGAGGGAGGCAGAAGATGGGGGAAGGGGCTTCTTAGCCAGCTAGCATTTCCTTCTCTTCAGTTCCATCGAGTTTGCCAAACCAGGGGGTGGAGGAGGGGAGCTGAAGCTGGGGCGTGGCCCTACTGTCACCGTGACCTACATTAGCACGGCCTGCAACTCTTTCTTATGGATTTCTCTCTCTTGAAGAGGGGGAGAAAAGTCTGCCTTCCAGTGGAACGTTGTTTTCTCTGCCGTGTTTTAACCACAGGCTCCCCTTCCCCAGAGCCTTTGTTTATGAGAAGCATTCCGGCCTTGGCTTTCTGTCCACTAGTGCAGGCTGAGCCGGGGCTGCTGTGATAGGGCTCGCTATGTTTCACATGGAGCTCTTTGTTTTTACTGAGCGAAGGCCCAGACATCATGGGCTTTCCTGCTATTCGGCCAAACAAATTTGTGCAGTTTCAGCAGAAAATTCATTTGTCTGTCAGTGCCTTGAACATCGGCCTTTAATGTTTAAAACCTGGTTCTTTGTACTGTGTTTTTATGAATGTGTTTTTTCTTCTTTCTTAAACTTCTTTGATTAATGGACAAAAAGAAAAATGCTTTTTTTTTTTAAAATGTTTGATTTACATTAGCGTTGTTTTGTATTAACAATTAATTGACTGGATCATGCAGGGCATGTATTGCTTTTTTGTACACAGGTAGCCTATTATATCTTGCTCATAATAAAAACAGGTTGTACCAGAAAAGTAACTGAAAACAGTTCCTTTTTATGCCCAGCTGCTCCTATGTGTTTATATGAACTGCTTCAATGCAGGACAGTGAGTGGGAAGAAGCAGAGGGAAGCGGACAGTTTGGAAAACTAAGCACTTCACAGCAGCAGGGGGTGTCTGAGCGTTTCCTCCTGTCTTCTGTCCTAATTACGCTGTTTCCTTCATTATGCAACATCCTACCACAGGAATATCTATGATCTTTTATAGCATTTGTTGATGCTGAAAGTAAATTTTGCATATGAAACGCCTTTCCTTCTATTGTTGGGAGAGAAATGTGAGGACGGACGGATGGATGGATGGATAGATGAATTCTGCCTGTTGGCGCAGATCCTGGCCATTTCTATGCCTTTGACACTACACAATTGAGCCTTTTTGGGAACTTTAAAGTGAAATTCCACCCATTTAAAAAAATATTCTGCATTAAATGGTTGAGATATAAAGAAAAGCGGTCAGAATGCTTTCATGCATATGTTCACAGTGGTGGCGATAGGAACCAGACGTCCAAAGCATTTAATGTTTATTTTGGATAGCCCATTGTAGATGCTTTGTAGTTGCTTATTTTACATTTAACTTAATATTCAAAATATCGGTGACTACATAACTAAATATCTGTGAAATTCACTGTAACCCTGGCCATAACCCTAAACTTAACCTCAACCTGAACCTTAAATCTACCTCGAGTACTTATCCTAACCCTAACGCTACTGAGAATCAATTGAGTTTCACCGTATAGTGTTTAATGCTTCTACAGTGGGGTGCGAAAGTTTGGGCAGCCTTGTTAATTTTCCTGATTTACCTTTATAAATCATTGATTGTTTGGATAAAAAAATTCCATGAAATATATCATATAGGGGACAAACACAGTGATATTTGAGAAGTGAAATGAAGTTTATATGATTTACAGAAAGTGTGCAATAATTGGTTAAACAAAAGTAGGCAGGTGCATAAATTTGGGCACTGTTGTCATTTTATTGATTTCAAAACCTTTAGAACTAATTATTGGAACTCAAATTTGGTTTGGTAAGTTCAGTGACCCTTGACCTCCATACACAGGTGACTCCAATTATGAGAAAGGGTATTTAAGGGGGGCAATTGTAAGTTTTTCTCCTCTTTGCATCTTCTCTGAAGAGTCGCAGCATGGGAGTCTCAAAACAACTTTCAAATGACCTGAAAACAAAGATTGTTCACCGTCATGGTTTAGGGGAAGGATACAGAAAGCTATCTCAGAGATTTCAGCTTTCAGTCTCCACTATGAGAAACATTGTGAGAAAATGGAATACCACAGGCACAGTTCAAGTCAAGGCTCGAAGTGGCAGACCAAGAAAAATCTCGAATAAACAGAAGCGAAGGATGTTGAGAACAGTCAGAGTCAACCCACAGACCAGCACCAAAGACCTACAACATGATCTTGCTGCTGATGGAGTCACTGTGCATCGTTCAACTATTCGGCGCACTTTACACAAGGAGATGCTGTATGGGAGAGTGATGCAGAGGAAGCCTTTTCTCCGCCCACATCACAAACAGACATACTTGAGGTATGCTAAAGCACATTTGGACAAGCCAGCTTCATTTTGGAATAAGGTGCTGTGGACTGATGAAACTAAAATAGAGTTATTTGGGCATAATAAGGGTCGTTATACATGGAGGAAAAAGAACACAGCACTCCAAGAAAAACACCTGCTACCTACAGTAAAATTTGGTGGTGGTTCCATCATGCTGTGGGGCTGTGTGGGAAGTACAGGGACTGGGAATCTTGTTAAAGTTGAGGGACGCATGGATTCCAATCAATATCAGCAGATTCTGGAGATCAATGTCCAGGAATCAGTGACAAAGCTGAAGCTGCGCCGGGGCTGGATCTTCCAACAAGACAACGACCCTAAACACTGCTCAAAATCTACTAAGGTATTCATGCAGAGGAACAAGTACAGCGTTCTGGAATGGCCATCTCAGTCCCCAGACCTGAATATTATTGAAAATCTGTGGTGTCACTTAAAGAGAGCTGTCCATGCTCGGAAACTGAATGAACTAGAGATGTTTTGTAAAGAAGAATGGTCTAAAATACCTTCAGCCACAATCCAGACTCTCATTAGAAGCTATAGGAAGCGTTTAGAGGCTGTTATTTCTGCGAAAGGAGGATCTACTAAATATTGAGTTAAGGTTTTTTTTTTTGGTGCCCAAATTTATGCACTTGCCTAATTTTGTTTAGACAATTATTGCACACTTTCTGTAATTCATATAAACTTCATTTCACTTCTCAAGTATCACTGTGTTTGTCCCCTATATGATATATTTAACGGAATTTTTTTATCCAAACAATCAATGATTTATAAAGGTAAATCAGGAAAATTAACAAGGCTGCCCAAACTTTCGCACCCCACTGTATAAGCTCCCTCACAGAAAGTTATTACATGAAATTATTGCAAATACACTGCCTGATGTCTGGGACATTGTTTTATGATAGTTTTGAGATAAGCTTTTCGCCGAAAACATTTATTAAATCCATTCATGGCAGAGAGGCACATGCAGGTTGTTGTGAGGCAAAATAGTCCCCAAAGATTTTTTGTTCAGATTTACCAATAATATCATAATCAACATTACATATAAAAGCTCAGAAGACACTTATGGATTCACTGGCAGTTTTGGATGGTGAATAAAATTGTTATATTGTGCTGTAGACCTTGCAATCCCTGTGTCCTATCACTGCCATTCACAACAAAACAAGCACTCTAGATGACTTTGTTTACATTAGTGGAATTCTCCGCTAATAAAGACACATTTGGCCTCATCAGAAGCTTTGTGATGTTTTCCCGTTGAGTCCCATTTAAGCCACATGAAGAATTCCTGAGCAGAAATATAGTCAGCAAAATAATTATCTGGGTCAAATTACAGCATGCCAGGATTGCAGTATGTAGAGATTTAAAGTCATCATTTTAGCAGTTTAGGACCCCTCGCACCCACCTTGATCCTGGCCTCTGTATTGGATCAGATTAACTCTCTCCTCTTAATCATCCAATCACAAGCGAGGGCATGCTCGTGCCATTGGTTGGTAGGCGTTGCCCTCATATACTGGATCAGTTAAGTGTCTTGTCCTGTAACCAGTAAAGCTGGAATTGGCGCATGGTTTACTGATCCAGGCTCAGTGGGGAAGGGTAACTTCTGTCCAGTGGTGGTGGCCTTCTCAGGCTGAGCTAATCCCTTTGTTATCTCATTATGGGATCTACTGCATTTTAGCTGCTCAGCTTCAGGGCCGCAGCACCAGCCAATGACGCAGAGATGTAAAGCTGCCAGTAATGCCAAATGCCCACGCACACCCCCTTACGTTCGAAAGGAAGCCTTTTCGCTGTCACTTAATTCAATAGGCCACTGTAGATGCTTTGTAGATGCTTATCTTACATTTAACATATATTCCAAATATCTATGACTATTTAACTAAATATCTGTGAAATTCACTGTTACCCTGGCCCTAAACTTAACCTCAACCTGAAACTTAAACCTACCTCAAGTACTTAACCTAACCCTAACACTGTTGAGAATCAGTTGAGGTTCTCCATATAATTGGTTGATCATTTAACATCTGTTTATACTGTATAAGGCCTTCACTAAATAAAAGGGGACTGCCTTTTCTTGTAGTTATTTATCCTATAACCTATAGGATATGTGGTTACATTAAATTGTTTACTTGGCTACAATAGGTTTGTCTAGGTTTGTATTACATATACACAAAAATATATTGCTGCTATTAGAAGAAAACCGATAATTTTTAACACAATTTAAAAATGCCAGTTGAATTTACATTGTGGTAAAACTTCATGACAAACAGACCAGAAATAATGGACCATAACAAAATGGTTTCAAATAAAATCTTGTTAAATTAACTTTCATTGGAATTTAAGAATGTTATATTTAAAGCAGCACTACATAATATTTTTTTTGTAAAGACTGAAAAAAGTAGCATTACTGAGTCAGGATGAAAAAAAACAACCTAAAATATGTGCATGCGCTGCTGCAAATGGCCCTGTGAACCCTGAAGTAATCATTTAAGTTAGAGGTGTTGGGTTGGATTTTACAGGAGTTTTAGGATCACTTCATTTGTTATCACTGGTCATTATACTGATGAAAATATGAGGACAATAATAGATAATTCACTCACATCCTCCGAAGACACGTCCTTCACCAGGTTTATATATACACAAAAGTTAGTTCCGGCCACGCAAGCTGATTGGTTGAGAAGTGTTCTAACTGCGCTGTTATTTCACCATAACATCACATTTTTTTCACAAACACTGTATCACTCCGCTGAGACGCCGTTGCTAAGCAATGACTTTGACAGCTGTAGGAGATGCTCAAGCCATTTGAACGTTTTTACTTCTTACTTTGCACAGAAAATGGACCCCTCTAAGATCAGATTTGACCGACAGCCGATTTAGTCAGACTCTGAAGATCAGACTACACTAAATTCTCAAACTGTCAGTTGGTCTGTGAGGAGCTGGAGAACGAACTGCCGGCTGTGCAGTGAGTGAGCAGAGCTGGTTACTCTGACGTAGCAACAGGCTGCTTGTTAAGGAACTATAATTTGGCGGAAGGAACTGCGAACATTAAAACATATTAAACGCCGCGATCAAGGCCCAGTTTATTAATTTCTGACTTTATTTATTTAACTGTAGTATAAAAACAATAGAACACTCGAGGTCATGTGTTATCGCTATAACATCACAGCTGTGATGATCTATGACCTATATATATATATATACATATATACATATATATATATATAGTAAGTCTATGCTGAAAAATCACAAACTGGATCTGGACACCCCTGAGCTAGGTGAGCCCAACATGCCTGGCTGAGGCTCTGTAAGGCCAGAGAGACTGGCATAACCTATTAAGCACCAAGCTCGAGATACTAAACGCGTGCCATTCACACAAAGCCAGTAATCAAGGTGAAGTAAGGAAACCATTTTTGGTCTATTTTGAATTAAACACTAAACATGACGTACAGAAAACAAGCATTTACAGATAAAAATCAATCTTATAGAAACTCTTTCAAAAAACAAACAGAATGAAGTTGAGGAGCCTCATGGAATTCGGCATACTGGAAACAGTTTAGCAGGAAAGACCCAGGGAGATATTCACAAACAGGGTCTGTTACCCACTGTGAGGTTAAAGGTGCAGGAGAAAACAGAGTAAATCAACTGCCGAACTGCAGTTGTACTGACACCTGTGGACCATTTGGGGAGCTTTCTTGGCCTTTGATTATCTTCGCTGCTGGACATGAGCTGTGGCTGCTTTTTCATTTGACAATGATATTTAAGTTGAAATATATTTTGGAAAATTTTCCAGATAGTCGAAGTGTAATTCTGATTCTGTTCTGCTGCTAGTTTTTACGCCCAATCTGAAAGAAGCAGCGCTGTCCTTCAGGCTGTAATCCCATTAGCTCAGTCTTGTTTCACTCCTAATCCACACACAATTCGCTGAGGTGTGTCCTGGGCTCCTCTTGATCTCCCTGGATTGCAACACTGCTGCTGAGGAACCAGGTAAGAACAGCCATCATTTTACTATTATTTTTCTTATTGATCACAAATCTTACTGACTTTTGTACTTTTTCATCACTGGGTTTCTGATGATGCTATACTGATATAGTCTATATGGGCAGACATGCGCATAAACGACTTGGACGGGATTAGAGGGGGTTTGCTAGGTATGTGTTTTAGATAACATTGCTGAGTGCTGCATTTTTATAAGTTATTCAAAAATTTACAGAAATGCTGTGCTAAAGAATTTCAACAAGTTGACTTGGACTCAGATGAGAACACAAGGATGCCAAGCTTTATTCTCTCTGCACAGAGGGAACAGCTCATTTAGAGTTTCAGGGTTCAGAATAAGTACAAGAAAGGCAAATCCTCTCTGTAATCATGCATACATGACTAAAAACATATCGCACAAGTAGCAGCACTCTAACCACGACCGTTAGTTCCAGACTCGGCAGGTGTGTGTGACTCTTCTTGTTAAACTTTAGAAGCTCAAACATCAGCACAGAATATACTGGAGCATTCTGTATAACAGCTCCTTAGTTTTTGAGAAATATTTTTGATAATTCAATTCTACACTATGTGTTTTCTTTCATGCTTTTGTGAGAGCATGCAAAAGGTAGAAAAAGGTGCCTAGTGGAGAAAACGAACAGATGGAGTGATTAGCTGGAGAAAGTGCGAGACTGAGAAAGTGATTAGCAACCAGTCTTTACATTCTTAATGAGGAGAAAAGTGAAACGTCAGTCTAATACAGTCACGTTATAATAACATATAATAACTGACAAATAGTCTTAGATTTACCTATTTGTAAGTGTCCAACAAGGCTGCCCATTATCACCATACTTGTTTAACCTGTATGCTGAACATATAACGAGAGAAGCAGGACTGGAGGAAGATGATTGAGGATTCAAGATTAGTGGAAGAAACATCAATAACCATAGGCATGCAGATGACACAACACTCATAGTGGGAAATCAGAAAGATCTGAAGGCCCCTTTTAGGAAAGTTAAAGAACAGGGGAAGGAAATGGAACTTCAGCTCAATGTGAAGAAAACAAAGGTTATGACAACTGGTGAAGATATAGAAGTGGTGGACAGTTTTCTCCTACTTGGATAAACAAACATCAGAGGATCCAGCAATCAAGAAATACGACACAGATTGGCACTCAGCAGGACAGAGATGAAGAGCTTAAAAAGATCTTCAAATGGAATGTCGTGTTCTGCAAACAAACAAGGACTGTCCAGACTGTGGTCTTCTTTATGGTTCATTATGGATGTGAAAGCTGGACAATAAGAAAAAGGAGAACAGGAAAAATGTTGAGGACAAATTAATTATTGACCAAATCAAGCTTCACCTCTCAGTGGAAGCCCAGATAACCAAACTGAAGCTCTCCATTTTGGACATATTCTGAGATGAACCTGTTCATTGGACATTTGCATCTATGGCATTTGGGAGACTCTCTTATTCAGAGTGACTTACAATTTGATCATTTTACACAGGTAGGCAAAGGCAGTGTTAGGAGTCTTGCCCAAGGACTGTTATTAGATTAGTGTAGGGTTCATGCCCAGGTGGGGGAATTGAACCCCAGTTTACAGCATACAAGGCAGAGGTGTTACCCACTACACCTTACCAACTACAAAGAATTAGGAAAAACTTGGAACAGGTGAAGATAAACAAGGAAGAGGATGACCAGCAATAAAAAGGATGGGGACAATCAGAGGAACCATGACCAGGCCATTAAAGAAGCCAGGTTATTCTGGAGAAACTATACATGCATATGGTTGCCAGGAGACCAACTTGACATCACTTAATAATAATAAATCCCAGGATAGTTTTCATGTTTATAAAACTGTAAAAAAGTTAGTTTTAGATCAGTTATTTTTTTATTTCATTGCCCTAATTTACACCCAAAAGATGCTCTCAGTGGAGAGTTGCCAGTTTCTGTTAGTATCTATGACTCAGAGAATATGTGTGAATGTTATTGTCAGGCTGTGTGTGTGATATCTCAGAGTTCAGCTGCTGACTGATTGATTTTCCCCACTTCCTGTCCATCTATCTCTCGCTGGCCCTCATTGTTCTCCCCAAAGCCTGTTCGTGCATTTTCTTGTTTGAGGACGGACACGGAGCAAACTTGACATCGTTCTATTTCTGCGCCTGTTGTGGAGTTTCCCTGGAGACAGGGGACAGGATGTTAAGCTGAAAGAGGGCTTCTTGGGGGCTTTCCCATTGTATAAACCCAGTATCTTAAAAGGATATTGTGTTTTGTGTCAGACCTTAAATTAAGTTCTGGCAATAAAACTGCTCCAGGAACACAGTGACTCTGAAAAACACACCATCAAATATCAACAAAGCTGGACCCTGATGAAAGGGAATAAGTGCAAAGCCATTGTTCCTATGTTGTTTATGTATTTTGCGTGAGTGCACGTGATCATGTGTAAATATTAGTAATGTACACCACTGTGTTTGTGTGTAGGATGTTTAACTGGATGGTGAAGGTGGTGCCTCAGGTGCCAGATGGTACCGACACTGTGGGAGAACAGAAGCTCACTGCTGCTGTAAGTACCTATACTATATGCCCCATGTAAAATATGTATTTCTGATTCATACTTAATAATAACAATAATAATATGTCCCCTACATATATATCAACACTCATTGGGCATTTTATCAGCACCACTTACCATACAGGTGCACTTTGTAGTTCTACAATTACAGACTGTAGTGTCATTGTTTGCCCCCTTTTACCCTATTCTTCAATGATCAGGGCCCCCACAGGACCACCTCAGAGCAGGTATTATTTGGGTGGTGTATAATTCTCAGAACTGCAGTGACACTGACGTAGTGGTGGTGTGTTAGTGTGTGTTGCGCTGGTTTGAGTGGATCAGACACAGCAGCACTGCTGGAGTTTTTAAACACCTCAGTGCCACTGCTGGACTGTGACTAGTTCACCAACCAAATATATTCAGCCAACAGCTCAAACTGTGCAGCAACAGATGAGCTATTGTCTCTGATTTTACATCCACATGGTGTAACAAGGTAGGTATGTCTAATAGAGTGGACACTGTGTTTAAAAACTCCAGAACAACAAAGTGCACCTATATGGTAAGTGAAACTGATGAAACGGATGACAGTGAGTGTAGTTATATATATATATATATATATATACACTCACTGTCATATATATATATACATACATACATACATACACATGCACACACGCACAGACACACTGAACAGCACCTTAACAGCAAGATCAAGGTACAAGATTTGAAACTGCTTATGACCTGATTACTTCTTTCTCATGCTGTCCTGAATGTCACTAGGATGGGAATGGGAAAGCAGTAGGAACCCGAGGTACACACTTGTTCCCTTAGCCATTCTGATTTTAAAGGAAATACCAACTGCTCTTGTGGTTAAAGCCCACTGTTGTTTCCCGTTTAATTCCATTCTCACAGGAAAGCTGAAGTCAGCGAAATCAATCAAGCAGGATGATCAAGGGTCAGAAACATCCCAGGGCAGGTCAGCAACAGGCCCAGGTTTGGCCCATACCTTTTCACATTAGACACAGTGGTTTATGTTGAATGTCTCTGTTTCTCTGCATTCCTCTTTAGCGTTCAGAGTGGGGTCATGAACTGGCTCTCTAACGGCTTTGTGAGCGCCCTGCCCCAGCCTGCAGGAAGCCCCCTCCTGCAAAGAGCCAACTCTGAGGCCAAGGTTAAACCCACTACCTCTCCATTCAACATCTTTACTGAGAGCAGGCTAAACAATATGGCCAACACAGTGGATTTTCTATAGCCAACTTTTTGTATGTTAATCTCTTTGTTATCTTTCAGTCTTCCCAAGAGGAAGGTTCAGAGAGGTATGATAAACTAAAATTGTATTTATTTTATCTTTTTGAACTCACATTATGATTTTATGCTGTGCAAAAACTCCAACCTTTCTACCTTCAACAGACCAGGAGTGATTGGATGGATCTCTCAGGGAATCGGGAAGGTCGTGCCTCAGCCAGAGGCCAAATACACCCAGAAGAGCACAGAGCCTGACGAACAAACAGAGGTGTTTTATACCATCAGCTCTCACTTACATTCATATTCCTTAGTCAGTTTATTTATTTTTTATTTATAGCATTTATATAATATATTATAGGTTATGTGATAAACTAATAGCATAGAAATAAAGTTAGAAGTAAAAATAACTAAATAATCCTCTCTCCTGACCACACCAGAAAGAAATGTTAAATAGCAAGACAGATAACAGGACTAAATGAGTTTTAAGAGAAAAGCCAACAATTCATTCTAAAAATACAGTACTGTGTAAAATTCAGAGACCACCCTTTTTGTTTTTGTTTAATTTCCAGTCAAAACTAGAAAAAAATTACTCATTATTCGGCATCAGGAAAAAAGCAGTCATCTAAAATTACAACAACAAAATATTTACACCTTACTGTCACTTGAACTCAACACTATGAGTCTGAAAGGATGTGTAGCTGTCAAGAAGCCTTTACTTAGAAAAGGAAATGGATAAAAATTAACACAAAAACTGGACATATAAGATGTTGAGTAAGGTGTTGTGGATTGATGAATCTAAATTTGTTGTGAGAAGCAGAAAATGCAACCAAATTCTAAGAGTGAACTTTAGAGATGTGGAAAAATATCCCTGTAGATTTCTTAAAAAAATGGAAAGCAAGTGTCCTGAAATGAATGGAAACTGTAACACACTAAACAATGGAAACAATATATTTTATTTAGTGGTAATTTTCTGTTAAATAAATTTTTCTTTTAAAATGAACTTTCCTTTAAATCAAAGTGGGGAATGTCCAGGCCAAAATGCTGGGAGGATTAACGTTCACCCTCATCTAACTCTCTGAATTCAGTTCATCAGGGCCTTGCTAATTAGCTGGGGTGTTAATGGGGTGTGGGTGTGTGTGTGTGGGGGGGGGGGTGGTAAATGAGGCAGTGTGCTGAAGACTGCAGTGTTTTGGCCTGTGTGGACTGGAGCCCGACACATGTGCATTAAATAAATGAAAGGGTGGTCTTTGACTTCAGCACAGTACTGTACATTGTAATACAGATATAGGTCCTTTAATCAGGAAATGATTTAAATGCAATCTTAAGAGTAGATAAAGGATAACTCTACTCATAAACATCAGACAGATGTTAGACATGGCCCAAGAGTAGATTCTAAGCCAGTTAGCTCTTCAGCATTGTGCTGTAGTGTAACTGCATTCTCGTTCAGATTTCAGAGGCCCGTGAGGCGGAGTGTGAGACAGAGACACGTGTAAGTACAGCTGCATGCTGTATCTGGCCTCTCATCTGTGTCTCGCTAAAACCCATTCAGTCAGTCCATCTTAATGTTCACATGATGCAGGGGTGCACAACTCCAGTCCTGGAGGGCCGGTGTCCAGCACAGTTTGGAGGTTTCCCTGCTCAAACACACCCATTTAACTTGGCAATTAACAGGTAAGTGTAATCAGGTGTGTTGGAGCTGGCACATCACCAAACTGTGCTGGCCACCGGCCCTCCAGGACCGGAGTTGTGCACCCCCGACATAATGTCAACACACTCTTCAGGCCTTCCAGCTATACACTGCACCAGTAAATGAACACATTTTAACTAGGAAAGCTGAACTGTCACTGTGGACCTCTTTAAACAGATAATGTAGTATTTTCACTTTTCAGACATAGATATGTTATATATGTTATACATACAGATAAAGTACATAACCTAATAAATAAATGTATAAACTTAATATTGAATAAACTTAATAAACAATAATGTAGTGATGAGATCAGGCTACCACATAAGACTGTTAATTTAATATCTCCAACATTAAACTCATGCTCAAGTCCTAGCAAGAAATAAATAGAGAAAATAATAAAAGTAACTCATGCATTCACTCCCTGTTGTGTTTACTAATGCTTCTCTGATAAACTTCTGCTTTCAGATTTACAATATTGAGGAAATTCCAGGTGTGTTTCTCGACAGCACTTGAATTACAACAACTTCTCTTGTGAAGTTTACACTTTAAGGTCACTGACCGTTTGCCTTGCCCTTAGATGCAGAGCCGCTACCTCACATTCCAGTGGTGGAGATGGTTTCAGAGGACGAAGTGTCTGAAATAGAACCTCCAGCTCAGTTCCAACCCCGGTGAGTTCAACAGTCCAGCTGGAAAAAACAGCAAAAGGCCAGCATGGCTGGACATCAGCAAAACCAGCATATATGTTGTGTTTTGGATGCTGGTATGGTGGTCAACCAGCAAGAACATGCTGGTTGACCAGCTAAAGCAGCACCAGACCAGCACTAGACCAGCAAAAAGCAGCACAGACCAGCTTAGACCAGCATGCTGGTCAACAAATTTCAATAATATAATTCTATAAATATATACCATAAACATATAGTCCAAATGATACATTTTCACCCTTATCAAGTTGATCTGGAGCTACAAAGTTAGCTAACAAGTAACACTCACAAATTAGTATTGTGCAAATTGCTTGGCTAAACCATTACATGCCTTCCTCAAACTGCCCCAAGTCAAAGTCTAATCTCTAATAGACTTGCTTGAAGTTTCTGACACTGTATGACATGATTTTCTATAAAAATGGATAAAAGTACATTAACATAGCTAGAAACAGTAGTAGTAGCCACCTCAAAGCCTGAATTTTCTTTGGGCATTTGTCTGTTTTTATAGTTAGCTACATTAGCCTCATAGGTTCAGGGAAAAACTAAAGAGGTTAACAACAAAACATGTTTGAACTACATTAGGGAAAGTACTATCACTGCAGACTATCACTGTAAATACAGCTTGTTTTGTATGAATATTGCAGTACATAAGATGTTACAATTATTGTTTCTTGCAAGAAGGGTTCTTTCTAAAAGATTTGTAAAATTTTAATAACATCCCAAAAACCTTTACATATTCTCAGTATATGGTAGAAAGAGCTTGAGCTGTATAGTCTTAGCCCAAACTGTAAGATTATCTGGTGCAACTTAACTAATAAAATGGGTCTGATTCCCAATTATAACTGTCAGTTCTGGATCTGGATTTGGCAGATGCAAAGAGAACGCTACCAACTGGAAACTGTTTTGGTGGAGGAGGGATAATGGTCTGGGGCCGTTTTTCAAGGTTTGGGCCCCTTAGTTTCAGTGGAGGGTAACGTTAATGCTACAACATAGACATTTTCGACAATTATATGCATCCAATTTGTGGTAACAGTTTGGGGAAGACCCTTTTCTGTTCCACCATGACTGTGCCCCTGTGCACAGAGCGAGCTCCAATAAGACATAGTTTGACGTGGTCTGCCTGCAAGGTTCAACAATGCCTAATCAAGGACAATAAAAGCTTAAATGACTAAAATGACTAAATGACTAAAAGACTAAAATGACGTATGTTATTAGAAATTTTGTGCAGACATTCTTATTGTACTTTCAACAGTGTACTAAAAATGGCTTCAGTACACATGTATCTATATCTGATTTGTTTGTTTGTTTTTTTGGGCCAGGCCCCACCCCTTTTTTGATTGTCAGCTATTACTGGTCATCATGTCTACATATAACAAAAAAGAGTTCTGTAGTGAAGCAACAGATCTTCAGTTTTAGAGCAAAACAAATGATATTGGTATATTCACAAAGTATGTGTTGAAGAGAAGGTTTTGCCAAGACTGAAGTTAACACCTTAGTCTGAGTGAGCTTGCAGGATAAAGATTAGCGCCTGATGTCTGATGTTATGTGTGGATTAAGGTTAGGGGTCAAGGTAGGTTAGGGTAAGGTGCTGCAACACAATACAACCATTTGTTTTATTTTTCATCATCTTGAACATGCTGTGTCTAGCAACCCTTCTATGCATTCTTCAAAGGCTTTATCCAATCTCTTTCTGCCCAACAGAGTGGTGGACTGGATAAAAACTGGTTTGCAGAATGCACTGCCCCACCCTGTGCCCCGACCACCTGACTATCCAGACAGCAGCTCACAGAGATCATCCCGCTGTTCAAATAAAGGTATGACCTCCACAGCTTCCAGTGCAGATTACCTGCAGAGAGAGGCAGGAGATCCCACTCATCTTCTTTTTCATCCAAAACCAAGTAATAACAGGGCTAATAAACCAGATGCCAATACCGATAGTGATACTTTTAAGTCTTCTTGTTCTCATAAAAAGCATAGTGATCATAGTAATTTCCCAGTGAATGTGGACATAAAATGATGCTTGAAAGCCTTCCATCAGTATCAAATAAACTTAATGAAATAAATCTATATAATTTGCCATTATAGAGCATTCACTCCATCCTATATGGCTGTCTGTGCATGTGTGTTCATAAGAAGCAGAACGTTCTTTATTGCTTATCCTTTTGCTCTTTCATTCAAAATATAAACAAAAATCTAACCTTTATTTGAAGTACAGTGAAATAAACTAAATCTTATCAGAAAATAAATATTTCTCTCAAACCTATATGTGCCACAATTGTTGACACCTGTTCATTTAATACTCCCAGTGCAAAGATAACAGCTTTGAGTCCACAGTGTGGACAATAATCTTCAGCTCATCGCACAGGTCTTCTGTGGGGGTGTAGGTCAGAAAACTAGGGTGGCCATGGCAAAACTTTAATTCTGCGGTCAGTGAACCATTTTCATGTTGATTTTGAGGTGTGCTTTGGATCAGTGTCCTGATGGAAGATCCAAACTATGGCTAAGTTTAAGCTTCCTGGCTGAGGCCGTCAGGTTTTGATTTTATTTCTGCTGGTACTGGTTGGAGTCTGTGATACTATGTAACCAACTAAAGGGCCTTTGGAATAAAAACAGCTCCACAGTATCACACAGGATCCACCACCATACATCACAGTGGGGATGAGGTACATCTCTGCATGACTATCTTTGTGTCCACACCAAACTCTCATCTGGCCATAAAACACAATCCCACTTAAAGTTCCAGTAGCGTTTAGCAAACTGTAGCAGCTTGAGTTTGTAAGTTCTTGACAGCAAAAGCTTTCTTTTGGGAACCCCCCCCCCCAAACAACTTTTGGTTACATAGGTGGTGTTTGATTGTGGTTTGGGAGATGTTTTGACCCCAAGAACTAACTAATGTCTGCAGTTCCCCATCTGTGATCCTTGGAGATCCTTTGTCCACTTGAACTATCTTTCTGACTATGCGTGGGGTCAGTATAGACATACGTCCTCTTCCCAGCAGATTCTCCAGCTGTTTTGAACTTCTTCATTATTGCCCTTATGGAAATGGGCGTTTTTAACTGTTAAGCTATTTTCTCGTAGTCATTTCCTAATTTGTGCAGCTCAACAACCTTTTGTCACACATCATTGCTGTAGTGATGGATGACTGAGGGAATTTGGCCTGTGTTTTTTTAATCTCATATATATTCCCTAGTGAAAGAGGAAGTCACAGCTGACCATTTAAGTGTTGCTAATCGCTCAGGTGAACTTAAAAACATAAAATATTAATGGGAATATATTTCAGTTAGATTTAACTCATAAGGATTTCTAGGGGTGTCAACAATTGTGACACACATAGATTTAAGAAAAATATTTATTTCATCACAAGATTCAGTTTTTTCCTTCCTTCAGTTTTTTCCTTCCTTCAGTTTTTCCTCATTATACCTTAAATAAAGGTTCGATTGTTGCTAATATTTTGAATGACAGATCAAAAGATAAGTAATTAAAAATATTTTTCTTACTGCTGATTTTGCTCATGACTATCAGAGATGCCAATATTTGTGGAGGACACTGTATATATTAATAAGTGATCCAAACTTATGAACGCTAATGTCGTTACGGCGTTGAAGCAAAAGTCACTCATACAGATACTAAATATGTCCATTTTTCATTTCCACACAGTACTGTCACCTCCTCCAGAATCAGTGACCAGTCTTACAGAGGTCGATACAAAGGTCAGGTAAGTTAAAGACTCACCAGGCCTAACAGGTTTAGCATCCAGAGCTGGTCCTGCTTGTGTTTCCCTGTGCTGTATGCAGTGTGTTGGTACTAGGGCTGTCCTGAAAACCATTTTACAGGCTTCAGATACTCGTTGGTGTTTTAAAGCGAGTACTCAGAATACTCTTCTCAATACAACTCTTAAAAACAATAAAATTTACATTTAATAATTTAAGTTTGTTCATTTTAGATTGTTTTTTTTTAATCAAAATATTGCAGTTTCTTAATAAAGAGTTACAAATGTATACATCCCTTTTTACAATGGACATCCCAAAGACATTGTGAGACAGATGTGCTGTAACATTATATCAGATAAGGAGAAAAGGAGACATTTATGAATCTTTTTTGTATTTAAAATCAATGTGTGTACATTTTCAGTTTAGATTAGCTGGTTAGCAAAAGTCATATGCCATTGCTAATGTAGTTTTCCAAGTTCAGTTCTACTGTGAGGGAAGTAACTTTCACAGACAAACATAAGTCTTGTTCAGGATTGAGGACCCAAGTTATTTCAATGTTTTATACTGAATTTGAATTTACAACAGTTCATAATTTATAGAAACAGTTCATAATTTATAGCTAAACTGTCTAGCTAGTTTTCTCTGTCTCAGGCAGCCCTAGTACGCTCTTTAAAAATACAGGTGCTAAAGTACCAAATTCCGAACAATTTGTCTAGAAGCTCATAAGCAAAAAAGGGAAAAAATGTACAAGTTTGATGCTGCACTAACTACTACATTAAAGCTAGCTTGATAGCTAACTAGCTACCTATGAGAAATATTTCTAGCATTAGCACACAGATTAGCTAGCTGGTTAACTTTTACTCAGAGGTCTGCACAAAGTGCTAAGAATTAATATCACTGTATATCTTTGGGAACATTATCAATAGTTTATAAAATTCCACTTAACAAGGTTTTTCCACACAAGTTTGACTCACAGTAGAAGATTCACAAAAACTGACCGTCACTCAGTGTGCATATAGAGATAAGTGAAAAAAGAAAAACACCTAAAGCAGAATGATATATGAAATTACACTGGGACTAAGGACAATTCATTTAGATTAAATTCCATGTAACGTTATGGGATGACTGTCTCAAGTACAACATTGCCAATGCATTTATTTTTTTATTGTATCTCATTGTCACTCACAGCATGATGGGATGGATTGTCCATGGTCTAGGCCTGGCTCTACCACAGCCTGTCATAAGAAGCAAAGAGGAGCATGGGGTGAGTGAGGCACCACAAACATTCAGCTTCCTTTTAACATTTTTGGATAATTATTCCTCAAATGACTTCCTATTTTTTGGTTTCTCAGGAGGCTGCAGACGTTATGCAAAACGGTGAGTAAAATCTTCCTTTTCCTTCCTCCACTTCTTCTCTCTAAGAGCTGGAAATGGCTACAGGGTTTTATGTCCTCATATAAAGATCACTGCATGAATAACAACAAAACACTTCCTCTAACACAGTCACAAAACCAAAGAATGCAGACAGCATTAGCCTTGGGCAGCTCCAGCAAAGACTGGAACTGACCACTGTTGTGAAGGATTGAGAGCGCTGGGTGACCAGTCGTCTGTGGTCAGTTCTGTTGGGCCAGTGTCCAGCCAACCTCTAACCCAGTTCGTCTTCTCCTTCTGTTTCAGGGGGGAGGCCACTGAGAGCCCCTTAAACAAAAGGAGGAGGAGAAGACTGAGGAAGAGTCGGGCACTGTCCCTCAGCTCTGACAGACACCCAGCCAGACAGACTGATAGACAAACCACACACTTAAGGACTCTGGCTGTATTTTTAGACCATTGATGTCTGATTTACAGTACCAGTCAAAAGTTTGAGTACCATAACTGGAAGCTCCGGCCAAAAATAAAAATATAACCAGCACTACATCTGTTGTAAACATGCCTTTTAGCATTTTCTTAGTCTCTAGTGTGAGATATTCCAGTTTAAAGACTAGGAATACCCTTGTTGATGACATATCTTGAAAGTAGGAGGAACTTTGAAAACAGCTATTTTGGGGTGGATTTAGCAGGCAAACATTTCTGAAAAGTGACTTTAAATTTCGTTTACAGTAACTGTCTTCAAGTCATCATTACAGTGGAGAGACTGAATTATTTCAACATCAGAAATGACTCATAAGATGAAGCAGGGGAACAAGCTAAAAGCGAAAGTTAGCAAGACAGTTACCTGGTTACCTTTCTTGCCTCAGTTTGGCTTCTTTTCTCTGGCTAAAAGGGTAAAAACGTGTCATGTTGTGCTGAATAAAGAGAGAATCATTGTTTTCTTAACAATTTTGTTCAACGACTGAGGTAAGAGTCACACTAATGCTAGCTGTTTTGTATTAATTTGTCTGTAGACCAGTGGCTAGGCTAGGAGGATTGGTTGACACAGCAGGGATTCCCAAAGCATGCTGGGTATTGTAGTGAGAACAGTGATGAGATGAGAGACATATATGAATGAAAACATGAAAATGATATAAAATCGTGGACTCTATTAAACTGATGAGGCTACCGAATACTGCATTAAACAACGAACAACATATTAAACTGTAGTTTTAAGCCGGAATGTCAATTTAAAGACATTTTGATCTAAAGGCTTTATGGATTAGCTGAATATGTGTCTCATTTATGCGTTTGAGCCAGTCGGCTGTATTGTGTGGCCCTGCCTGGTCAAAATGTCTGAGTTTGGTAATCCACGTGCTTTTTCATGGTTAAGATATCCACATTTTTATTCTAAAACGTGGAAAATAGTAAAAATAAAAGGGAGCAAAACCTTCTACGAGTAGGTGTGCCCAAACTTTTGACTGGTACTGATATCGGATCGACTCCATGAAGACTTGATAGGAAAAATATCACATCAAACCAGATTTTCTCCACTGTACCTTCATACACTGATGGCCATTTCAGTCATTTATTATTGGCTGAACCCCTAAGTTCGCTCCCATGGAAAAGATAAGGGAATCACTTCAGAGCGTTTCACCTTGCGACAGTAGCAGTTTGAGATGAGCGATCTGGCAGCTATGAATTCACATTATTGTAATACTTACCTTTCTCTGCATGGCAACTAAGCTATTTTATATATACATATAAAATATATATTTTATTATATTTCACATTAGCTGTGTTTGTATATGTATATACAATAGATCAACATAGTTTTTATTTTTGTAATTAAGGATATATTATAAAGGGACGTCTGTTGTTGTATACATATTTATCATACATGCGATGGGTGGATTTTTGTTGTTTGTAATGCAGTGATCCTTGTAAGGCCATGCAATGTTGAATGTTCTTCAAAAACTAAAAAATCCAAGAAAAAAAAAGGAGCAGAAATGAACCATTTACTATGACAAATATGAACACATCTGACACCTGTGGCCCTCATAAAATATCATCTCTGTCCAGAAAAACATCTCAGTTTTTTACTATTTTTAGTTTTCTGTGTAATTTAAGCATGGCAGCTGTCCTTTACATTGTTTGAATATGTCTCAATGACTGGACCAATAGAAATACTCAAAAAATGCTTTTAAAAAAATAAAAAAAAACATTAACATTAACTTATTTTGAAAGTAAGGAAGGTTTTTGCCCTCTCCTGTGAAGTTACCATTTTGGAGATACTTCAGTATTATATTGTACAGTGACAATATAATATTGTTTCTACTGGAAAACTGCTGAAATTTCTTTTGCACATGAAAATAAGGGAAATGCTGTGGTAAACAGCCAGTACCAGTATATTTCTATAATAGCACTGGATGCTTGATAAGGGCCAGCTGAATATGTTTTTTCATTTTAATTCTTTCCATTCACTGTACTTATCTTTTTTACTCATTTTACTCAGTTTTGAACAAATAATCTTGCAAAATCTCGCAAACACATTCAAGATTGAATGGCCTGATTATAAAGACTTGCAGTAGATCTGTGTGTCGTCCATGTCTTAACTAGTAATGAATGTGATAATCAAGCTGCTAAATGCCCTTCTACAATTTGACGTGAGTCTTAAAGAGGAATTTCAACAAAATTTCTTCATGTTTCAGTGGTTGAAATGTAAAAAAAGTCATTCAGAGTGGTTTGATGAGGAATGGTACGAATGTTGGTGATAGGAACCAGAGGTGTCTACAACACAAATATAGCCATTTTATTTGCTATCCAAAACCACCAGTGAACCTACATTTGTCTTCTGAGTTTTATATGTAATGTTATTAATAGTAAAATAGTGGTAAATCTGAAAACAATAGTTTTTGGGGACTATTTGCTGTACAACATCCCGCATGTACCTCTTCACCAGGAATGGATTAAAAACTACATTTTAAACCAAAACCTCCACGAAAAACTATTGTAAAACAATGTCTCAGACATTGTGCAGTGTGTTTGTAACCATTTTATGTAACAACTTCCTGTGAGGGAGCTTTTAGAGGCATTAATTAAACTCTTCAGATGTCTGGTTTTTATCTCCACCACTGAGGACAGTTCTTATTAAATGTCTCTGGAACAGAGCATTTCACATCAAACCACTCTGAATGACTTTGTTTACACCTTAAAGACGTAATTATATAGGAATTTAGAAAAATCTATTGAATTTCCTTTAATGACACACTAAATCATGTTCAATTTGCACATGTAATGCAAACCAGCATTCACTTCTGCACTTCTCCCTGACCCTATTATGTCAGCCCTCCCTTCATTGCCTTCACTGATAAATGTGGCCTATGTTTTCAAGCAGCAGTAGTAAAGCTGTAGTAAAACTGGGGACTTTGTGTTGACATGACGAAATAATGTATTAGTAGGATGTTGTAATGATGCGTGTTATGATAATAAATAAAGAAGCATTAGTAAAGAACTGTTATGCATTCACCATGGTGGCATTTATTTTTCTAAAGTGAGCTCTGAACTACAGAATCTCATTTGATGCATTCATGATACCACCTTTCAAATGGGGCTTTGCCATTCTCAACATTAATGCAGTTAAAACAATTTGGCAAAAATATCTAATTCTCCTTTTTCCACAAACATAGTTAATCTTGTTTGGTGTTCCAAGGGTTTGTCCATTTTTGTAGATAATGGTCTGTACAGTCATATGCAAAAGTTTGGGCGCCCTGGTCAAATTCCATGTTTTGTTGATTTTTTAACTGAAAATAAGTTATACTTCCTCTACAGAGGATACTCTTCTGTACATTTTAATGCCCAATTACTGTTCATTTGCTAAATTTAACATGGAAAAAAAGAAAATAAAATGTTGTCTGTGCAAAGTTATGACACATTATTCTAATATATTAAACTCAGCAAAAAAAAAAAAAATAGTTTACAAAAAATGTGCAGAAAAATGTCTTTAAGATTGTTCACTTTAAGGATGTGTCCACTTAGAAAATTAACAAAAAACTTAATTTGACCAGGGGTCTTCATAATTTTGCATATGACTGTATTTGCCATTTCATACTATAAGCGAAACAAGCAGTCACCTATGGCCCCTGCACCACAAGGGGCCCTAAAAGTATATAGTTATTATTATTATTATTATTGTTGTTGTTATTTATTATTAAATTTATTTTATTATTTTTAGTGTTTATCTCATGACAGTGACATCTTCCATATTTTTACTTATATTTTATTTGTATGCATTTTATTTTATTTATTATGTACTTATTTTATGATTTATTCAGTTTAATCATTTAAAGAATCCGTTTCACTTGTATGGCCCACCAAATGTTTAGAAAGAGCCCTGGAAACCACATAAGCAGGTCTATTTGAGATTATTTAACAGCTCAACATATTACTTGTTAGCTACATCAGCCTCATAGCTTCAGTGCAAAACTAAAGAAGCAAACAAACAAACTTTGCTGATCATTTAACATTTGTTGTACATGGTAAACTATGTAAAACTGACTTTCCACCAAACTATTCCTTTGAGTTAAGAACCAACTAAGAGTGCATGACCATATCTCCCCACTGTCTCTGTCACCAGCTGTCCATGTTAGGCCTGCTCCTGCAGACATGGTCCTTGAGGAGGTCGGTCCTGAGGAAGTGGTTCCGGTCCAGGAGAGGAGATCTGAGCAGCCATCCTCAAAGTCAGAGCCTTCACAGGTCCTGCAGAGTTCTGCACAAGCAGAGCCGGTGGAACAGTCAGAACCAGCGAGTTCTCTGAGCATCCACCAGTCAGTACCAGGCTCATGCACACAGTGGGAAGATGCCGAGACCCAAACCGGACGATGGACACCCTTCATCGAGAGTATCAGAAAAGAGGCAGAGAACAACGCCATTGCAACTATGGAGGAACGGTTAGATATGGGAGATTTTGTTGAGTGGATATACTTTCTAAACATCATGTTCCATCGCTTTTAACTCCAGTAATTTGAGATGAAACAATATTGAGACACAAACGTTCTCTTAAAGAGTGATAAAACATAGAAATATGAACATAAACAGCAGCATTTTAACAGCATGGTTATTATATAGCATGGTGGCGCAGTGGGTAGCGCTGTCGCCTCACAGCAAGAAGGGCCTGGGTTCGATTCCCGGCCGGGCGACCAGGGTCCTTTCTGTGTGGAGTTTGCATGTTCTCCCCGTGTCTGCATGGGTTTCCTCCGGGTACTCCGGTTTCCTCCCATGGTCCAAAGACATGCAGTCAGGCCAACTGGACATGCTAAATTACCCCTAGGTGTGAGTGTGTGTGATTGTATATGTATGTCTGTCTGTCTGCCCTGCGATGGACTGGCGACCTGTCCAGGGTGTATCCTGCCTTCCGCCCAATGACAGCTGGGATAGGCTCCAGCACCCCACCGTGACCCAGAAGGATAAGCGGTTTAGATATTATAGGCCGCAGTTACATGCCAAGTCTGCTTGTCGTAGCTTGAAAGGAAATTAATAAAATGATTAAAGGATAATTCCACTATTTCTGCATAATTAATTTGTTAAGTTATAAACAAAGTCATTCAGAGATGTTTGACATGAAATTTGTGAAATGCAAAAAACCTACCGAGTCAGAATTGTTCACAGTGGTGGTGATAGGAACCAGATGTCTGAAGAGTATAAATCCTCTAAAAGCTACATTACAAAAAGATTTGTTATACAAAATGGTAGTGAATATTGACATTGACATAATAACTGAGACATTGTTTAATGATAGTTTTGAGATAAAGAAATTGACCTGAAACATATTTTTCAAGTCTATTAATGATGGAGAGATACAAGCAAGGTGTTAGTACCCAAAGAAAATGTATTTTGTTGGATTTACTACTATTTTACTATTATCAACATTACATATAAATACTATATAAAAATACTATATAAACACTGTATAAAAATAGGTTCAGTGGTCATTTTAGATAGCAAATAAAATGGCTATATTTGTGTTGTAGACGTTGTGACCCCTGGTTCCTATCACCACCAAAGACATTGTGACCCCTGGTTCCTATCACCACCAAAGACATTGTGACCCCTGGTTCCTATCACCACCAAAGAAATCTGAGGCATGTTTCTCTACAATGAACCACTCTACATCCTTTACATCAAACCTCTCTGAATTTTATGCTGAAAATTTTAAAAAGTGGAATTCCTCAGAATAACAAAAGCTCAGTCAGTGAAAAGCAGTTCGGGTACTTTTTTCAGGAATTCTCAGAAGCTGTTTGAGCCAGAGCCCAACCACTGAAATGAAAGTAAATGAATAAAGTTTGTTGAACGCTCTGTGCTGCAGGTTGCGGCAGGAACGTCTGGAGATGGCAAGGATGGCTGAAGAGGTGGCGAGGCAGACGGCTGAACAGGCAGTCAGAGAGCTGGCCAAAGCCAGATTGGCCATGCACAGCACCATCATAGAGGTGGAGGAGGAGACAGAGCCAGAGCCAGAGCCAGAGCCAGAGCCTGAGTAATTACACACATAACACACACAGTTAACACATAGTGTTCTTCTATAGAGTACATATTAGCTCAAGTCTCATGAAATTTATTTCATTTAGCCTACCACAGCATATTGGAGTCTAAATTAAACATATTTGAAATTGAATATATTTACATCCAAATCAGATATGGAGCTCAGCATAGCCAGGTGTGCGTTATTCCTCATTATTCCACTAACAAGTTAGCAGATAAAAGATCTAGAATTGATTTCAATTATGGCATTTGCACTTGAAATCTGTTGCTGTTAACTCTCAGTCTGAAGTCAAAAGAGCTTCACTGCCAGCATAGCAAGCCATCATTAGACTGAAAAATGAAAACAAACCAATCAGAGAGATAGCATAAACTATAAACTATAACTATCTGGCACATTCTTTAAAAAAGAATATACTGGTCAGGTCAGAAGCTTTAAAAAGCCAAGAAAACCACAGAAAACAACTGTGAAAGATGATGTAAAAAATATTTTCCTGCTGAAGAAAAACTCCTTTACAACAGTTGGCCAGATCGAGAACACCCTCCAGGAGGTAGGCTTATCTCTGTTAAGGTCAACAATCTAGAAAAGACTTACACAGAGGGATTACCACAAGATGAATACTGCTAGTAAGCCTCAAATCAGGAGGCCAGATCAGAGGTAGCCAAAAAGCATCTATTGATTGATGACAAAAGCAGCAACAACCAAGTGTTGGCCTTATCATCAGAAGATCGCATGTTTGATCCCTGTTGATGCTACAGCCAACCGTGGCCAGGAGTCCAAGAGACCACAACTGCCCTTGCTCTTCCTGGGTGGGTAAGATGGTCTGTAATCTGATGTAGCAGAACTGGAGGTTAGTGTTCTCCTCCAAGCGTGTTCAGCTGTTCACAGATGTTGCGTTAACAGCGGTACAAAAACATGCGCTGGCTCGGTTCACATTGTTCAGAATGAACCTAGTGTTTGACTTTGCCCTCCAAGCAAAGGGCAGGGGGTTATACTAAAAAGACATTAAACTGTCACTGGGCTGGCATCCCTCAAGGGTACGTCTTCAGTACGCTTAGTTAAGAAACATAATTGTACCATAACCCATTGCAATTGTATTTCTGAAGTTATACTGACTTTACACACCCTCTCTTGTCTCCAGCCTAATTTTATTGTTCTGTTTTAAAACAGAATTAGGTTATTAAAAGGTACAAATAAAAACTTATTTACAGTACCCAGTTGAAACTTTAAACCATTGTTGTACCTTTGAGGGTACATTTACATTGTTTGTATCTTGATGAATGAAAAATGTACCTATATTATTTGCTCAGATTCAGCCAAATGTCTCGCTGGATGGTGCTTTACAGTGCAGACAGACAGTGATAGAAAGCATACTGCAAAAGCAGTCCAAGACTTTTTTAAGACAAATAAGTGGAAAGTTCTGCAATGACCAAGTCAGTCAGCTGACCTCGATCCAAGCATGTATTTCACTTACTGAAGGCAAAACTGAAAGTAAAAAACCTCAAGAACAAGCAGGAATTGAAAACAGCTGCAGTGAAGGCCTGGCAGAGCATCACCAGGGAAGAAACTCAACGTCCAGTGATGTCTGTGGGTTCCAGACTTCAGGCAGTCATTGACAGCAAAGGATTTGCAAGCAAGTATAAAAAGTAACAAATCCAGTATGTTGTGGTAGACAGTTAAATTGATAACTTCATCAACATCCAAATATTTATGGACCTAACTGTACCCGCATGTATACAGACTTGGACGCAGACTCAAATAAACACATGCAGGATGCAGGAATATTAACACACAGGTGTAGAAACTCACCTCCTCATGTGTCTGTATACCAGGTTACAGGTGCTGCAGGACGAGGAGAGTGAAGTGGAAGTCTCACAGAGTAAAGTCACTGAGTAAGGCCATGCTTTCACAACCTAGAACAGGCGCAGCAACAATGCATGAATACACACAGAAAAAAGACACTTTACTGAAGGGCAGCATTCGTAAGGCTGCGTGACACCTACACTCTTAAAAAGATGGTTCTTTAAGGGTTCTTTGGTAAAGAAAATGGTTTAAATAGAACCATGGATTCTCAAAGAACCCTTTGCATGATTAAACGGTTCTTTGCATTATGAAAGGATTCTTCAGACTGAGGGAAATTCTGCATAAATATGGTGTAGATGGTTCTATATAAAACCGTTTTGAGAAGGGTTCTATATAGCTATATAGCTATTCTGTTGTTACAAGCTTGACACCATAACAATAGAAGAACCCTTTTGGGTGCTATATAGAACCATTTTCAAAAAGGTTCCATATAGAACCATGTACAGCATATTGTCCATTAGGGTCCATAAAGGGTTCTTTGCATCATGAAAGGGTTCTCCAGACTGATGGAGAATGTGCTGTAGATGGTCCTATATGGAAGCTTTTTGGAAATGGTTCTATATAGCACCCACAAGGGTTCTTCTATGGTTACAATGTCAAGCTTGTAACAACAGAAGAATCCAATATAGAACGCTTTTCAAAAAGGTTCCCTATAGAACCATCTATAGCACATCCATGCACAATTTCTATCAATCTGAAGAACCTTTCATGATGCAAAGAACCCTTTGATCAAGGGTTCTTTGAGTGTTCATGGTTCTATATAGACACATTTTCTTTACTAGAACCCTTGAAGAACCCTTTTAGTAGTGTACAGAAGCATGACAACTGACATAAACCTACATAACAATGTATAAAGGCACTGTTAAATATATAGGTTTAAGGCAGTTGAATTGAAAGACTTATGAAACCCTTTAAGTAAAGTGTTACCGGAAAAAAAAATTCACTGAAACATTTTGGCAAGTAAAAAGTGTCACAGCCCATTAGCTTAGCTTAGCATAATAATCAATAGTTTGCAGAAACACCCTAAAAGTAAAGGAAAAGACTAGAACAGCCAGAGGATGAAGTACATTTGAATTGTTAGATTATTACAGGGGTGTTTCCTGCTGTAAGTGGTATAAGCAATCGCTTATAGCCCCTGAGATTCACAAGGCCACATTAGTATCATTTAATATATATTTTTATAAATATTGTTTGTGTCATTTTTAATTATATTGGCAGAAAAATGTCTCATAAAAACATCAGGACTTCACTTACAAATCAACACTGAAAGGTTAAAGAATGTGGTACATGCACCACTTAAACATATTGTAATCCATGTATTATTTATTTAATTTGCAATCTAATTAATATTACGGTTCTGTATAAAGCCACAATTCTACACAGAACATTTCATGCTTAAATGGTCCTTTGAACAGTGAAATGGTTCGTCAGATTGATGGAGAGAGTGTGTTGTATATGGTTCAATATAGAAGCTTTTTGAAAATGGTTCTATATAGCACCAAAAAGGGTTTTGCTACTGTTACAACCTTGACACTGTAGCAATAGCAGAACCCTTTTCAAAACGTTATATATAGAACCACATACAACACATTCTCCGTCAGTTTGAAGAACCATTCCACCATGCAATGAAGCATGAAATGGTTCTTTACAGAACTTATGGTTCTAAATAGAACCATTCCCTTTCCTAAAGAACCCTTGAAGAACCATCTTTTTTAAGATGAGTAAATGTGTTCAGAGAACAGGGTTAAGTGAATGTTAAGGGACACAAACAACCACCTTACGTCACTACAACAGAGCTCTCTTAAGTCTTTATAGTCTGTATGCAAATTAGGCACGTAGGCCACGCCCCCGTCGCTACACGAATGTGTCTCTTCAGCGCCCTCTTCTGGCTAGCATTAGTAAATGAAGCACCAACTGGCTGGTCCTTTTATCTTCAAGTGCCATTGAGTGCACGTCAGGCTCTTTGCTTCTGAAACAGGGACTGAACTCAAAGCCGTTAGTCAGAGCCGTCAGATTCACATTAATAATGGTTTTGGAGCACAGTTTTCATGTGTTAACACAGCTTTTGGGAATATCCATTCCAAACTGTGGATTAATTACATGTACTGTTGTCCTGGCAACAGAATCGCGTCCCACAGTAACCACAGGTCCCTCCTTGACGGTTGCCTAGTAACCAGTCGAGCATCCAGTGCTTGTTTTCCCGCTCTGTGGCTGTGGACGATGGCGGCGGCGCTCAGATAACAAACACAAACAGATTCGTCGAAGATTAAGATGCTGTCAAAAGGCGATTAATTACGACGATAGCTGGGATGATTAATGGCGCTATCAGGTGGATCGTAGCCTAATGGGACGATATATTAGCTGATGTGAAGGGAACGGCGCTGGACTGTCAGAGTAAGTTCACAGATGAGTGATGATGGCTTCTGGTTTACTGGGTTTGTGTTCGTGGTCTTTTGTCTTTAAGGGTGAAGCTGCTCACGTGTTTAAAGCAACTACAGTCAGAGTTATGATTTAAAATAGAAACATTTAAATTAAACTAGTGTTGTCATAGATGATGATTTGGAAACTTAAAGTGAGCTTGAAAAATGTAAAATAAAAAAAAATAAATCACTGTATTATGTCAAAATAGGGGTTGAAAATATTTTTATCATTATCGTGGTAAATTATGTCACAATATGCTTTTCTGGGCATAGTGTAGATATTGTCAGTACTTAAGGAGGTCATTCAGTACTGACTAACCACATGTTACATTACAAAGTGAGCATAATTAGGCCTGTTTAATTGTATTTAATGCAGTTTAGGTTGTAAAACATTGAATAAAAATCATTGTTTATTATTATTATTGTTATTATTATTATTATTATTATTATTATTATTATTATATTTTTAATTGTGACACTACAGGTTTAAACTTGTCTGTTTCAATTTATTAAATCTCAGAATAACTAAATATCCTGTTGCATATTGTGTATCATGAAAATGTCTTGAATTATCGTGATATATCTTTGTCATATCAGCCACCCCTGCTTCAAAATAAAGTATATAAGGAAATATATAGCGTATCTACTCTATATGCTCTCTATATGCTTACTATTATATGGTTAAGATTATGAGTACCATTTCATTGCATTATTTACTATGGAAACCCTTTAATTCACTTTGTGAGTCATTCAGGTCCATGAATTTTAGGGAATACAGGCATATTTATATATTTATACAGTGAAAAGCCACTGAAATTTCATCTCAAATATTACTAAAATAAAAGTTGAATTAACATCAAATCTTCAGATTCATTAGGAGGTTGCTTCAATGAGAGATGTGAGAAATGTCAGGTCTTGTGTGAGACTGCGATTAGTCAAGTGTTGCTTGAGACCATGAGTCTCACAGCTCGTACGTGACAGTTGGCAGCCCCATGATATCATGATTGTTTTATTATTCCAGCATTGTTGTAGAACCTGATTATTCCTGCTGAGTATTTGAACTCAGCATACTATGTTGCATGTGTGTCCTACAGGTGTGAGGAACTATCTCGAGTCGAGGAGTTTGTCCAGGAAGCTGAAGAGCTAGAAGACATTGTAGAGAATCTAGAAGAAGCAGTAGAAGATCCAAAGAAGGCAACAGATAATTCAGAAGAACCCGTGAAGGATCCAGAAAAGGAACTAGACAATCTAGAGGAAGAACAAGTTGACCTAGAGAAGCCAGAAGATCCAGAGAAGGCAACAGACAATCTAGAAGAAACAGTCGAAGATCCGGAAAGAGAAGTAGACAATTCAGAGAAAGCAGACAAGGACCTGGTTGATGCAGTAGAAGATCCAGAAGAGAAAACAGAGAAGGTAGAGGAGACAGAGGAAGCAGAAGGATATACAGAGGAGCCTCCTGTAGAAGAACCCAAGCTTCCCTCACCCCCTCCAGAAGCGGAGTCTGAACGTGCCTCTCCTGAGCCTGTTAAAGCAGCAGCCTCTCCAGTAGAGGAGCCAGAGGAATCAGAGGAAGAGGATTCTGAGGGTTCTTCAGAGGCCGAATCAGAAACAGCTGTAATCACTGAGCAGCCCAAGCCTGCCCACGGCGATGCTGATGCTCAGGTAAGGTTCAGTTAGCCTGCAGCTCTTTATCTGTTCTTCCTCTTTAGGAAAAGTGCTGCTGTAACAATTGTTATGTTTTCTCAAATTTGAAATGACTCAGATTTTTTCACTGTCTCTTATGATACATAAGACTTGGTTATCGTCTAACTAAACTTTCTCCTGAGCAAGCTATAATCATCAGGAGATAAAAGGAAAACACTGATTTCACATGAGGCAGGTATACACTGTACGATTTTTGCCTCGATAATGCTGTCGGAGACAAAAATCGCAAATCGTGAAAGAATTCTTTGGTCATGAGTTAAAGGGGCCATATCATAGAAAACTGAGTTTTCCTTGGTTTTTATTAGTTTTGTGGTTTTAAGCAAAGAGGTTATGAACATTGTTTCAGGTTTCAAAACATTCTGTTAATTCCCTAAAACATAGACTCCATATTTGGAAAATATGCTGCAAAAACAGCCTGTTTGGAATTCCTCATAGTTATAATGTCACAAACATGAACACACCTACATATGACTGGCCATTAAGCTTACAGCAGTTTACCCTGCCCATTTACATTGAAGTGATGCAGAGTGTTGTTTCTGCTGACAGAGTTATTGGAGTGGAAGATGTACAGAAAACGATTAAACGTTGTGCTGTTCCTGGCTGTCAGGATACAGATGTGTCATTGCAGTCTTCCAAGGCAGTGGCTGGAGTCTGTTTTTCTGCTACATCCCTGAGGATTTCAGTCTAAACTTACCAGTAAACTTAAACTGTGCCATTCACTGCTTTTTGAATCCGGTCTCATTGCATATGTGAAGGGGTCAGCTAATCAGAAAAGAGGTAATTTACATATAACAATCTTGAGTCACAGCCTGTTTAATTCTAAGGGATAAGGAGAAGTTGGAAAATGGTCATACAGGAAAAAATGATGACTGTTTTTGGTACATAAACCACACAAGTAAGTGCTTCCTGGGGGAGAAAAGACAAATGTAAAATATGGCCCCTTTAAAATCAGTTGTCTTAGAACGCTTAATGTGAAGTGCCCACCGGCAGCTGATTTAGTGCCTTTGCAACCAAAAACAACCAAGCTAAAACGGTTACCTGTATGAGAATAGCATGGGATGATGCACAACTCATGTCAAGTGGGTGAAGCTGATGCAGTGGGTGGGATTTGGCCAAGATTATATTTATTATATATATCATCTCACATAGTGTGGCATGCAGTAAACTTGTAAGACCGCTGTTATTGCACAGTTTGCAGCGGGATTAAATCAGCACTCTTAGATCCTCATCATGTATTGCTGCCGCTCCCACTTTGTCTATCCTTTCTTGTGGGTTTTGCTTTGAAGCTTTACTTTCTACTGTTTCTTATCTCTCTTCATCACCCTTTTCTGTGTTTAGGAGGAAGGGGCGTTGACTGAGGAGGGATCTGAGGGTAAGTCTTAAGACTTTTCTTCTAGAAGTATGTCAGATTTGGTACTATAAATCATTGAAGGGTGCAAACTTCTGACGTCACAATGTTTCGATTTCATTATAACATTTAATCAAACCAGGAGAATCTTTTAGCCACTAGGCCTTAATTTAGCAAGACTTCATGTCTAATAAGGAGGAGCAGCCTTTTCAGATAAGACAACACTAAAGCTAACACTAATGCTAACACTGGAGTTAGCTGGTACAGCATAACTTAAGATTAACATTGCTCTGTAACATTATTTAAACCTTTCTCAACACAAGTTTTTATTTCTGTTATTGTATTAATTCTGGTTAATTTACTGCCACTCCTCTTGACAGAGGAAGCAGATGGCTGTCCTTGACTGTCATATGTGTCAGTCATCATTTTACAAATGGTCAATTCAGTGTGATTGGATTAGAACAATTTTGGAACAGTACATTGAATATACATATGTAAGTGGAGGAAATGTTTACACAGTAGTGGAATATAGACAATAAAAACAATACACCAAGTTTTATTTAATCTTTTTTGAATGTATTTTACATCACTATAACATGGTGGTGCTATGATTAAAGCCACAGTTTTGCACAGATGTCACAGTACACACGGTCTGTTTGTTGCTGATGTGCTTTACTGACTCAGCTGCTCTGTTTCCAGTTCCCTCCAGGTGTGATGCATTAAAGGCCTGCCTCATGCGTATTCCCTGCACGCACGTGTGCCTCGACCGCTTCAACCAGCTGTTAAAAGAGAACAACGTCGCCCTGCCCAAAGCGCCCCCTATGCCCAAGCTGCCCCAGCAGCTGTCCAGGGTCACCCAGCAGCTGCCCTCGTTACCCACCCGACTCAACCAGCTGCCCCAACAACTCACAAGTATTCCCCAGCAAATCTCTGAGCGTGTGTCCAAGCTTCCCCAGCAATTCCCTTCTTTTCCACAAAAACGTCCCACTTTTCCCCAGAAGTTTCCTTGCAGTTTACCTCAGGGGCTTTCCAACCTCCCACAGAGGCTGCCTGCCTTTCCTCAACGTCTGTCTAACATTCAGGAACGCTTGTCCAACATTCCAGAACGCTTATCCAACATTCCGCAACAAATCTCCAACGTTCCACAACACCTATCCAACGTTCCGCAGCATCTATCCAGCTTTCCACAGCGTGCCCGGCAGTGCTATGCCACTGTTCAGAACCGTCTGAACAGTCTCAGACCTGCACAGGATGCCTAAGCAGCAGCAGCAGCAGGGTCGGGACCTGGAGCTGGACCGCCTGGTCCGCCAGTCCCCCCTTCACAACCCACGCACCCCTTCCCCCTCTTCACCTGGATCCACCCTGGACCTGCCCAACGTGCCTTCCTACCCCCGCCTACCCCCCATTAGCCTTACCCGCCAGCACTCAGGCCTCTCCAACCCTGCCTTCCACATCGAGGATGAGCACACCTCTGCTAGACCTTCAGGTGATCTACTCAAGCTGTGCAGTCTGATGCCCAGTAAAGTGTGCAAATGTTTTAGGCACCTAAGCATGTTGTTTAAAACTATTTATCTTGGCTAATAGTGTTTTTTCCCCTTTAAAACAGGCCTTTACATTTCCTTATTTTTGAAAAAGTAGTTGATGTGAACTAGTTTGAAGAATGAAGTTTGGTTCCGTTGTCTCCTGGACTTCAGCCATCACACTGATTCGTTTACTATCATCAGCACATGTGATTTAACATGAATTATTAAACTATTGTGTAGCGGGACCAGTTATTGGATGATGACTACAATCAATAATAGGATTCCTCAAGGAGAGGTTTGGAAATTCGGTTTATTCTGATATTAGTGTTTTTCTGAGCAAATAAACGTACTGCCCAGAGAAACAGCTTTTTAATTCAGATTTTTTTCAGGTCCCTAAAACATTTGCACAATGCTGTATATACGGAACTGAAGAACCAAAACATCACTGTTCGAAAATCAATAATATTCTTTATGTTTAATGTTAATATAACGTTCATTTAAAGAGATTTTACTCCCAGCATTTTTGAAGCTTTTCTATTGGTCCATTTATCAGCGACACGTTTGTTTTGTGGATAGCAACAATATGTGAAATACATGTATAACTTGGGGTTTTGATGCAGAAAGAGTCTGTAATTTGTGGTTAACTTTATTTTGTATCTGTGAGAACTTATTTGTGATAGCTTGTGTTTAGCTACCAAAAACTATATACAAATATTGCATAGACATTTGCGCTCTGATGTGAACATAAAAAAATAAGCGATTTTTTATGCTGTGAATACTAAAAAATTTACCTGATCCGAAATTTAAAACAAGTTTACATTTTTTTATGGATCAAACAACATCATGTATTTGAATGAATAAGAATCATTCTCCATATATGTGTCTTCTGGTACAGGACCAGGCTTCATCTGAGAACCATATCCTGGTGATTTATCCATGTATGATCTGTGTCTGTTTTATTCTGCTGTGGTCACTTCTGCAGCTGGCTCCAGACTCAGCATTCACCCAGCTGTCAATGTGGAAGACATGGACTCAGACATTGAGCACAGAGGGAAGATGACCCACCAGATGCCCCAAATCATCACTCCGCAGGACCCCAACCTCAAAACCCTCACCGTGCCTGGAGCATCGAAAACAGGCAGAACCAGGTTTGAATCTCTATTATGATTATACAACAGCACAGACCAATCAGCACTGTGCAGTATGATACGGTCTCTGAGCATGATGCATTATCGGCCAGCGCTGCAACTAACAGTTAGCTTTGTAACTGATTCATTTATCAGCTATTATACAATCAATATATTAATCAAGCCATTAGGGCTTCTGCTGTTTCTTCTCACATTGCCCCACTGCCTTCACTCAAAGTTCCGTCCATGTAACAGCTGTATTGGCCCCTGCTCTTTGGGTTCTTAGTGTTCTGCAGTCTGTGAGAACAACTGTGAAAATTATAGAGCGTTCTAGATCATTTTGGATTTTAAGTAAATTACACTTAAACACATTTGCTTCTTTTATTTTTCACGACTAATCAACTTTGTTGACTAATCTTTGCAGCCCTTGTATCTCTGCGTTCTTTTGATTCCAACTCTGTATTTTTCTCTCTTTCCCCACCCAGAAAAAGAATGTAAAACACTAGGGCTGCACAGTGATATGGGAATCATATTAATATCTGCAGATATTTTACTTTGTCTGATCAACCACTAAAATAATTAGGAACTGACAGTGGAATCAATCAGTGATGTTTTGATTTCCAGTAGGTGGGACCAGTTTTGTAAGAAAAAATATCACTCAATTGAAGTCCTAGATACATCACTGACTGTGAATGAGTCATAGTCTAGGCAGGTTTTAGTTAGTAGAAATGGGAAAAAGCGGCAGCAGCTCTATGTCAGGACTCTAAAGGAGTCACTGTAAAACAGCTACAAGGTGAAATATATGTTAATATGTCTGTTAGGTTTAAAACATGGAATGGCTTTTACAAGCTTCAGATGTCCACGATTAATCTAGAACGGCCAAAAAACATTCAACGCCTTTGGCTTAGCACTAACATCCTAGAATCCCACCAGCTGTGGTAACAGAAATTTAATGGTCATTTATGGTCTAGCTCTCATGGTCACTAAGGTCACTACTGCGTTTTGGTATTGGCATCAGCATTTCAGCCCAAACTTCCTATGTAAGTGCATCTTTAGAAAACGGAGAATTATTATTTATGTGTTTTATGAGTTTGGTAGTAGATTTAATGAGTTTTATTCAGATTAAATTGTTGTGTCTAATTATGTGATTTTATATTAATTTTTTTGTCATTCTTCTCTTCTCTGTACGCACACACACACACAACAACAACAACACACACACAAAAACACACACTCATACACACCTGTGGATGGAAACTGTGCTGGCTCCAGGGACAGAAAACCACAAAATATTTGGACTAAAATGTAAGATGTTAAATATCAGTCATTATCTGGCCTCATCCCATCATCCCAAACTCATAAGCTCATCAAACACTCTCTTCTTGTGCATGGGAAGCATCCTTATCCACTTCCATTCTGCGTGTACATCCATCCACGTTTTTATTTCGAATTGTAGTGTATTCACCACAGAAAGAACTTTGTTCTCATCAACATTTGAGAATTGCTGTTTGGATTTTTAATATTTTCAGAATTAGATTTTAATTAATAGTATGATACATAGTTAAGTTCTTCAAGATAGGTACAGGAATGACCATGCTACATGTGACTGAGTGACACCAGTGAGTCTCACTGTTTACTGGTTTCTCTCTCACTGGCAGAAAGAAGATGTACTCCTCAGGAGATGAGGAAGAGGAGGAGCTGGAGACCACAGTGAGGGCATGGCCCAGCCAGAGCAGCATCACCAGCGATGACGGGTAAAGCACTCAACTCAGTATAACACTACTGTACAGCTTCAGCAGGTAAAACAGGTGACCTTTATGCATCAGTGTACATATCTATGTCTATACATACAAGTGTTAGGTAAATAGTTAGAAACAAGTTTAATGAATAATTTACAAATTTGTAAATAATAAACCAAAACATTTCACAAAGTAGCAATGGTGGACATTGTAAAGGAAAAAAATCACAAATCCTCAAATGCTGTCAGTCAACCAAGACATGTATTACTTCTTTATGTTTGTGGTGGCGCAACGAGGCTAATGTAACTAGCAAGTAATGGAGCCCCATCATTTAGCCCTGTGCAGACTGCAGGCCCAAATCATCACAAACATACCTTAAAGGTGTTGAGTTGTTAAGTAATTTCTAATAGATTTTCTTATGTGGTTTCTGACGCTGACACACTGTTATCTATAAATATGGACACAATTATGGGCAACATTAAGGCTTCAAGATGGCTCCTAATACTGATTTAGCTATACAGTGTACTTTTGTCCATCTTGTTACAATCCACCGTGAAAAACAATTGAATCAAACTTAAGAAACCTTGGTAAGTTTATAGGGAATTTTATGAAAAAATGTTTTTTTTTGTGAGCTATAGCTTTAAATCCTTATGCACCCATACAGTATATTCCTGTAGGCTACTGCACTGTACTATGCTAAGCTGTAAGTACCATATGTATTGCCTTTTAACAGACTGAAGGAGCGTCCAGCATCCTCTGCCAGTCAGACCAGCAACGTGGTGAATGAGCGTCTGCAGGAGCTGGTCAAGCTCTTTAAAGAGAGGACAGAGCGCGCCAAGGAGAAACTAATTGATCCCGATGACTCGGACCACGATACACCACCTGCCTGTGAGCTGAACATACTGTGAATTCAATAACACTGCACACATGTGGGGGCAAAGAACAAAGCCAGGCCACAGTGGAATACTTAGCATCAGTAACTCTTAATAGTAACACGTGATAAGTGATTGATAAGGGTTTGTATGTTTCGTATTCATTTCCTGGAGCTTTGAAAAGCTCTGTATTGTAAAGTGTTACCTTTTTATTCTAGGCTCAGACACTCTGCAGAGAGCCTTTGCTCGCTCTCAGGTGAGCTGAGGTTTAGAGCTGATGCTGCTGGCCAGACATAGTTGAGAATAGAGTTTGGGAACATCTAGGCTGATCTTAGATCCTTTTGTAAGGCTAGCACTTCATTGGCTTACCAACTGCAGATGATTTGTAGATATTAAACTGTTTCTTATCTAACTTACAAGTAAATGTTTATTAAGAGGGGTGCACACTGCTTTCCTCTGAAGGCTGCTTTTCGCTGCACATGTTCTCGTTGCTAAGGTTCAGTAGTGCTTAGCTAGCACGCTGTCTTATCGACATGCGCAGGCAGAAAGTTCAACTAGTACTAATAAATAGCAAATGAATATGAATATATGTATAAGACCATGACTGCCATGTTATTTCAGCAGAGGATAATGTATTTGTGAATAGACTATGTCAGATGTTAAATGTCAGTTCGCCTTGACGGAACTGCATGGGCGAGAGTGGGACAAAATGTTTTGTTTGCGGGTGGGAGCGGGATAATGATTCCGATTATCTGCGGGAGTGGGATGAAATTTTGCAGGAGCAGGTGGGCGTGGGACTGAAAAAACAGTCCCGCACGGACCTCTAAAATGAGGTGCTGCTTGCAAAAACCAGCTTGGCTAAAAAAAATAAACTGTGCAAAACTAAAGTTGCAAAAAACTGTGTAAATCAGATTTTTAATGAAACTATCACTTTAACCTTTGCTTCAGCCTTTGATTCTCACATTGATCCTAATCTTACCTCAACCCCACCTCAACCTGTTCCTATCCCAAACTGTAAGAGTAATGAGAATTCTTCTGCAGGCATGAATAGCTCAGTTTCCCTATTCCTGCGTATGTTCTGTAGTTGACCATCCAAATTAAATGTGACTGTCATAAATAAGATAAAAAATAAGATTTCTCTCCATATTCTTACTCACCACAGCTCCTGCAAAAGCAGCTCCAGCACCTCCTCCTGAGCCTGCCGAGGAGCCGGAGGCTGAAGAGAAAGCACAGGATGCTCCTGCAGAGGAGGAGCCTCAGGAAGAGGAGTATAGCAGGGTGCTGTGCTTTAAGGTGAAGCGTCAGTCCAGGATGGGCCGCCTGCTTCAGTATCGCTTCCCGGCTAGCATCGACCCCTTCACCAGTGAGACCCTTCCCCACCCTTCCCTCTCTCTGTCTCCCACCCTCTCCATCCTGTTTTATAAAGCCTTCACATGCATGTTATGACGACAAAGTTGGAATTATGTTCAAATGCTTTGTAGTCAAAAGTTAGCTGGCCTAATATTTTGCCACACACAATCCTAGAATTTACCCCCCTATTGTTCAGTTATTCAATCTTCTCTTTCCTTCCATTCCATTCTTCCTGTTTGTCTGCTCTATCCGTACCTTTCGACCATGTACAGCCTGCATTGATTAACATTTCAATAAGTAGCATTGTTTTTTACATTTTAAACACTACCAGCGTAAAGATGTAATAATATCTACATCATATTGCTGCTGTCAGAAAATTGTTTTTAATTTTTTTTTATTAAACAGATGTTTAGATCTGACTGATATTTCAACCCGTTATTTAATATATTTCTTGTACTCTAGAGGAGCAGAATGTTTAGGTGATGCTGGGATACTGCAATAAAATATCTTACTGCATTTGTATTTTCTATTTATAATTTCTCTGTAATGTTGATTACAGGTGGATGCAGTATGTAATAGGTGGATGTAGTCCTAACTTCTACATTTTATAAATGCCTTCATATCAGCATATATGTACATGGCAAATACTGTATATGGGCATTGGTGCAGGATTCTAATATCGGTGCATCCCTACTAGCAACCAGTATTAGCAGTGCTAAATGAACATGTCCGGTGTTCACCTTTTTCACAGTAGTGATAAAATACCATGTCTGCCTGTTTTGGAGCTCCCTTAGCTGAGCTATGCAATAATGTTGATATATTTGTGTGGAAGTGTGTATGATTTACAAAACTGCAAGTGAACTGGAGCCAATCAAAATTCATGAAAATGTTTTTTATTGTTTTAAAATGCAATATGATTGTTTTATACGAATAAAGCTGCAGTTGTGCTGTCTGTTTTTATCTCGGCACGGCCGTCTTTGTGGAGAGGTGTGAATTGTTTTCAAGGGAGGGGGGTTCTCTCTCCCCCCTCTTTGCTCTTTAGCAGCTCAATACACAGAGAGCCAACAGTGTCCTGGTTAATCTGAATACAGTTATGTTATGGGGATGTGGGGAAAAAGTTATGGGGGGAAAATCTTTTATTTGATTATATTAATTATAAATATTTGAGTCGATTTCCTTTCTGCTGGCGGAATGCTGACTAAGAGGCTTACAGAAAGAATTAGGGTCTATGCTGTAAAGGCTACTGATTGTATTGTGTGTATTCATATTTGTCCTGTATTCTTCTCTATAGACCTGGGCTACGTGCTCTGGTTGTTCTTTGTCACTTTTGCCTGGAACTGGAACCTGTGGATGATCCCGGTGCGCTGGGCCTTCCCCTTTCAGACCCCAGACAACATTCACCTGTGGCTAATGACCGACTACCTGTGTGACGCCATCTACATCATGGACATCCTGCTCTTCCAGCCCCGCATGCAGTTCATCCGCGGTGGGGACATCGTGGTACGTGAAGCTGCAGAATCAGAGCCAGTGTAAATTAGAGATTACTGGACTGACAATGCTGCTCACTTTGCAAAATTCTCTGTTTCCAGAGTGACAAGAAGGAAATGAGAGAAAACTACATGAAAGCTCTGCGATTCAAGGTAAGAGCAAAGCTTTAGCAATGCTCAGCCAACATTAGTCGCACTGAAATGTTCTGTTTTCCGTCTCTACGATTTCCTTGTTTACTTAGTGTTTATGTTTGGTTTGAATGGGTCACAGCTGGACGTGGCCAGTCTCCTTCCACTGGAGCTGTTCTACTTCAAAACAGGGATCAACCCGCTCCTCCGCTGCCCACGGCTACTGAAGGCAAGCCTCGCATACACCGCTTTCTGTGTTTATCAGCAAAGAACGAGTTTACCTATAATTGCTTACATTGCTGTCAGTGATTTAATGCAGCTCCAAGGAACTGTGTGTGTGTTCAGGATTTTTCCTCAATTCTCAGACAGTTTCTCATTTTCACAACTGCGTAATATATATATTTGTAGTAGCTACTGAGTAGTTACTCAATAATAAGCCTTAAGCATCTGAGTATTAAGCCTCGAGTTTAATGAGTTTAACCCCTTAAAACACCAGGCTTATTACATACTAAGGTTTATTAAAGCAATAAACCACGAGAGGTTGTGCGTCGTGCCTAAGAACACCCTTCTCTGTGATAAAATCGCAGTAACGCACAGCCTCGAGGGGCTTATTGCTTTTATAAAATGGCAGCCAACATAAAATATGTTAAAATACACAAAGCTTTAGAAAATAATTTAAGTTGTTATTAATAATAGTCGGCATAAACAAGTATTCTGCCAAGAGATATAATGTATGGTATCATTGCCAAGCAACCATGGACTGCTGAATAAGAAGAAAACATTCGGTCTCCCATGACTGCACTCATTTCACAAACTTTTGAACTTTATTTAGTCATATAACAGAGAACACACCTCTGCCAATCTAACAGCGCCCCTCTTCCCACACTGGGGCTAAATCCCAAACAGCTTTCTGCTCCCTACATAGTGCACTACATAGGAATTTAAATACTGACTCCTGCAGTCCAAGAGTGCATAATATTGATAAAAATGACCGAATGACTGACTGAAACACAAACATGTGAAGTGTGTATGTCATTCAAGTGACACTGAGATCAGATTTTAGGACTGGAACTATCCGTTTTATAATATACAGTAACTACAGGGATTACTTCTCAGTTTACTTCAAAGTCAACTGGCTGAGCTATTCATAGGACGTAGAAGTGTGCAAAAAAACTTGGCCATTTAAGGGGTTAAAGTCACTGGGAACCGGTTACTATAATGTAACTTGTGGCCTTAGTGACTTCTGTTATATCACCAATACCTTCAACCCCTTAACTTGGTAGCACTGTGTTATGGGAGACTTAGTTAATGGATTGAACTGGCCATGACTAAACTGGGGGGTAAACTGGGTTAAAAGGGAATTCTACCAAATTTCCAAGATTTCTGCATAATTCAGTTGTTCTTTACAATGGTGGTGATGTCATGATGTCTAAAACACAAATGTATTATTTACTACACGAACCTACACGTCTTTTGAGTTTTTGTATGTAATGTTGATCATCTCATCATACTTGAATACTTGATTTTTACGATAAACAATATGTACCACGATATTTTGACACACACTGTCTTTTAGTGAAACCTGCAGTTGTTCCGTGTTCTGTGTTTCATAGCACACAAAAAGACACCTTGACTGATTAGAGGGCTCATTTGTATACAGCAGTCTTTTGTAGTATCAGTACTGTGAAGGCCAACATAGTGATAACAATTAAATGATTTATTATGCAGGCCTATCACCACTGCTAGCATTTTGAGTCAACTGTCCTTTAACATTACTTAGCAACACTTATTGTTAAAAACCTGTATTAAAAATTGTCCTTTACCAATCAGTTTCTCAGAATCCGTCTCTCCTGCTGTTTTTCAGATCTTGTCTTTCTTTGAGTTCAACATGCGACTTGAGGCCATTTTGACCAAAGCCTATGTTTACAGGTACGCACAACCTTGTGTATTAAATGAGTCAAAATGTTCATTTATTATGATCCTCTTTTCCCTCATCTGTTACCTTCTGTTTCTAGAGTCATTCGCACCACCACCTACCTACTGTACTCCCTCCACTGCAACGCCTGTCTCTATTACTGGGTTTCTGCCTATGAAGGCCTGGGCTCTACACATTGGGTGTACAATGGAGAAGGCAATGCGTATGTATTAATATTTATTTTTATTTTATGTGGATAGATATCTTTTTGGTTGTGTCATGAAGGTTAAAGGACTTTTAAACTGTACTTAACAAAGAACAGAAAACTCATTGACATACTCGTTATAGAAGCCAATGGAGAGTTATTCCTTTAAAGATCTTGTTAGTTTTTGACAAAGGTCTATAAGCATCTCTCAAATATAATAGTGTCTATATTATTATTATAGCATATTGTATGACATGTATTACATATATTATTTTGTATTATATTATTAAATTATTATTAAATATGGTATGTCTTTATAACGCCATTGTTTTATCTCTGAAACACTATCATTCTTTTGATTTGTCTCCCATGCCTTTTTCCTCAGTTATATCCGGTGTTACTATTTTGCTGTAAAGACCCTGATCACCATCGGCGGACTGCCGGACCCCACCAATCTCTCTGAAATCATTTTCCAGCTGATCAATTACTTTGTTGGCGTATTTGCCTTCTCCATCATGATTGGGCAGGTATAGTCTTTATTATTCTAAACTTATTTGGATTAATAGGATGGCTCACTTCCAGTAAAGAGGGTCTTATAAAAGTGACTGCCCTTTTCGATGTTAGATGAGGGACGTGGTGGGTGCAGCCACGGCTGATCAGACGCACTACCGCTCATGCATGGACAGCACAGTGAAATACATGGGCTCCAACCGCATCCCCAGAGATGTGCAGAACAGAGTGAAAACATGGTACAACTACACGTGGCAGTCTCAGGGCATGCTGGGTAAGAGTAAACTGCCTTCCCTCTTAGACCGGCTGCTTGCCAGTCTATATTTCTTTACCTTCTTCTTCAAACATGTACAGTACATGAACCAGGTAATCAAAGGATAGAGAACAGTGAGAATGCCAATCAAGGTGGTGTTGGGAGCTAGAATAAAGCAAAAAACCCTGATGATTCAGTGACCATTGTATTAATGTATTGTTTATTTGTGTAAATACACGTCTATTTCATTTATTTTCTCCTTTTATTTAACATGTTCATGTTACTCCATTTATTACTAACGTGCAGAAATGAATTGGGAATAAAGTTTATTCAGATCATTACAGTTCAGTTCAGCACATCTTCTCTTAGCTGTATGTGTGTTTGGACAAATGATTTATACAGTATCTTCACTGCATATACAGATGAAGAGGAGTTACTTGTGCAGATACCAGACAAGATGAGGCTGGATATAGCAGTGGATGTAAGCTACTCTATTGTCAGCAAAGTCCCACTCTTTGAGGTAAGAACAGCATGTTTTGGGATTTGTCATAGTGGTCTACATTTAAGAAATGATTGTAGGAATTGTAATGATAAACTGTAACTCTGCACAGATCTAGTTTTTCATAGCAATTAATAGCCAAGTACTGCCTAAGTAGATTCATGTCAGGTCTTTCCTCGTATCGCAGTGTTTACTTTTGCTTATGAGACCCTAAGGGTGTCCACGTCTTTGTAAAGTCTTACACTGTGTCCATTATTGGTCTCTTTATCTCTCTATTGTTTTTCATCCGTCCACCTTTTTCTGTCTCTGTTATTTTCTTCCTCTCAGGGCTGTGACAGGCAGATGATTTATGACATGCTGAAAAGACTCAGGTCTGTTGTGTATCTTCCTGGAGACTACGTCTGCAAAAAGGTACCATATGCTTATGATTGCGACACACCGAGAGAGACTTTACATTTTCATAACTACACGGATGATCAAACAAACACGAGGATTTAAAAAGACATAAGGAGTTTCACAACTGACTATTCAAACTCCGCCCACAGATCTGCTCTTTTGTATCAAATGTTGCTATTCTGTTCGGACTAATGAGGAACTGTAGCACATTTTTCACCTCGTGTTTTAAAAGCTGCAAACAGGTATCTTTGTGAGCTCCTGCTGGTGTGAGTTCTTGGATTTTTCTTCTCTTTAAAGATGCACACAAAAGTGATTTGAATGCAAACAGACTCCCCCTGCTGGAGAAACTTCACACTGCTAAACAGGTGCAGGTTACTTCTAAAAGCCACGTCCACCAGCTTAACATGTAAAGACAGTGGTGAATTCACTTTACCATAGTTTTAAAGGGGAAATCCACCAATTTTTCAAACAAAGTCATTCAGTGTGGTTTGATGTGAAGTGCTGTCCCGCAGAAACTTTGATAGGAAGAGTTTAATGCCTCGAAAAGCTCCCTTGCAGAAAGATAATACATGAATGATGATACACAAATGATTATGAATACACTGCTTGATGACTGAGACCTACTTTTCAGTTTTTGCCCTAACTTTTATTTCTTTTTTGATCAGTTTATGGTAGAGAGTTACCTATTGGCCGTTATGAGGTAAAATAGCCTTAAAGTTTTTTTTTCCCAAATGTTTTACCATCATCAACATTACACATAAAAACTGAGAAGACATGTAGGTCCACTGGTCATTCTGAATAGTAAACTAAATGGCTAAATTTGTAGGCGTTTTGATCTCTGATTCATATCACTAAAGCATTGATATGTTTCTCTACAAGGAACCATTTCACACCAAACCACTCCGAATGACTTTATTTACTCAATGATTGAATTATGCACACATTTTGAAAAACTGGTGGAATTCACCTGCAATGGCTCAACCCATAGTCGTAACAGTAAAATAATAAAACATTATATGTACATATTATTTAGCAAGCTATTTAAAATTCTCTGGATTTTGTTTGCCAGCATGGCGATGATCGTTATCATCTTCAGGTTACTTATTGTTAGTCATCACTGATATTCAAGTACACTTTTGCACAGATGTAGCGTAACTGTGCTAATGAGCTAAGTTCTATTCATTATATCAAATGGGATTTTTGCCAATATTCTGTAAAAGCTTGTCCAACCTCACAATATTTGCTATAAAAGAGCACATTTGTGGGGTATCACAGTTCTATTCACTGATAAACTGCAAAATGCTGGCTAACTTATATTAAAGCACTTCTCACAGGCCACATGATTATAATAGGATGTAACCTGCTGTGCTCTGAGCACTGTGAGAAAAGGCATTTACAGTGCTATACCACGTATGTTCAAGCTTGACAGATGTTATAATAAACCGCTTACTTTAGCTTTAATCGTTCTTCTTGTAGGGTGAGGTTGGTCGCGAGATGTACATCATAAAGTCGGGGGAGGTTCAAGTGGTCGGGGGTCCGGACGGGAAGACTGTATTTGCGACACTGAAAGCAGGATCAGTGTTTGGCGAAATCAGGTGACCCCTCAATCTGTATTTATTATAATTCTTTACCTAAACTGCCATTTCTGTTTTCTCTAAGTGCAGCTCGAAGTTCTGAGTACAAAAGGTTGTAAGCGTTTAAAATTTTAGATTTACTACCTCAACTGAAAGTGAAAGGAAGCAAGTATGAATTTATTAGCATCGAGTCTGGTGTGACAGTCAGCCCTGGGCATAGTTCTTTACCCCTGTGTCTCCCTCTCTGGTATGCAGTTTGCTGGCAGTGGGTGGAGGGAACCGGAGAACAGCCAACGTGATAGCACACGGCTTCACCAACCTCTTCATCCTGGACAAGAAGGGCCTCAACGAAATCCTGGTGCACTATCCAGAGTCCCAGAAACTGCTCCGCAAGAAAGCAAAGTGAGAGAGAGTCACAGCATTACTAATCATTATAACTCCACTGACATGGAATGTTTGGTGTGGTACGTGTGCAAAAGTTTTGGGGCCCCGGTCAAATTATATGTTTTTTTTTTGTTTTTTTTGAGTAAAAAATAAGTTACACATCCTCTACAGAGAACAAACTTCTTCACATTTTAATACACAATTACTGTTTATTTGCTAATTTTAATTGGGAAAAAAATAAATAAAATATGGCCTTTGCCATATTTACGACACACTTTATATTTCATGTTTTATTTTTTTCCCAATGTGTTAAACAATAGATAATTGTGCACCAACAGAAATCGTCCAAAATTACTTGCAAAAAATCTTGTTCTAGTAACTTCCATTACAAGATTTTTTGTCCTTCTTAACAGCAACACATTTATCAAAATATATTCAATTCTTTTGGCCAAAATAAAATTGTCAGACTATATTAATATGCAAAAAAGTAAAGAAAAAAAAGCTTTGTTTATTGATTGTATTCTCTATATTCCCCTACTGTATAAGTTCTTCCCTTAGTCACATTTGTGTGCACAGAGAATAAATGTATTCATAACTCTGAATCCTACAAAAATAATCAAATTACATTGAATCGTAGGGAGTGATTTTATGATATGCTTAATTGCTTCCTGAAGAATCAAAATCAAATCAAATTGCTGTGAGGTCAGAGATTTTCCTTCTTATTTTCTACTTTTACATTGCTAATAAGTTCCTTATTGGGGAGTTGTAAGATTGTACACAGTTCTTTGGCATTCTGCCTGAGTGGTGTCTGTGTTAGGTGCTGAAATGTGTTGCTGATGCTGAGGCTGCTGTGTGTTGTGAAGGAAAATGCTGGCGAATAAGAAGCCTGCAGAGAAGAAGGAAGAAGCGAAGGAGCCGGTGCATGTGATCCCACCACGGGCTGAGACCCCCAAACTGTTCAAAGCAGCACTTGAGATGACGGAGAAATCGGGCCTGCGAGGCACGCTGGCCAAACTGAATAAGAAGACCAACAAGTCCAGTGTCTCATTACAGGTACACACACATACACAACAAGCCAATATCAAAGAAGAAAAAAATGACACATCAGAAGTAGTCGAGCAGCCAAGACATTGTCGGTGTTTGAAGTTTCTGTTTCTTAAGTTTTAGGACCAGAGCTAAAAGTAAAACTAGACGTTTACGCAAAATAGCATTTAACTGCATGCATATCTAAATCATCACAAACTTGCTTCAAACAGTGTGAACTTGCTAAACAATCTTAAATAAACTTGCTTATGTGTTTCTGACACTGCGTGACACTGTTATCCATCAGTTTGTGCAAAAGTACAGACAAACCTCAAGCTTCCTTGTAGCTCTAGCGCAAAACTGAAGAAGCAAACTTGAGACACGAAACCTCTTGGCTGCTTGACATGTTTAGATAAAAGGGAAACTTTTTTGCTAAACTGTCACTGTAATTTAATAATGTGAGCTTTGTGGTAGAGCTGACCTTGACCTTGAGTTTTTCTCATCTTTTCCTGACCAGCCGTCCGTCTGTTCTTCTGTGCTGCCCGCCTCTCCAGTCCCTGGCCAGCCCTCAGAGCAAGAACCTGATCTTCTCTCCCAGATGTCAGACAGCTCGATGCAGGGATCTCCCATCAGCCCCTCTGATGAGGGCCAGTCAGCTCAGGAGCGCCTGGCTCATGAAGGGTCAGCACCAACTGAGAGGAAGATAGTGGGGAAAGACAAGACAGAGCAGTAACACAGGATAGTACACTAACGTTCAAAAGTTTGGAATCATATTAATGTATATGAAATAATAAATTATTCATATGTTATAAAATATAGTTTTCAATATTGTAGGTACCATGATGTTAAGTTGTTCGTGCATCTACAGAACAACAAAAAGTTACTAAATGATAAATGATATACTATAATTATTTAATGTATTTAATTTTTAGAGAGTCACCACCTACAAAGCATCTCAGACAGCTTGGAATCTTCTACAGCCCGGTACATCATTCTGGACACAACCAGAATTCCTAACTGATTTATTTTTCAGCATTTCTGGCTTCCTACGAACCTGTAATTAGATTGTTTGTTATATTAAGAAAAACTTTGATTCCAAACTTTTGAATGGTAGAGTATCTCAGTATGTGAATTCAGCTTGAACTCGGCTATTTGCTACTGTTCAGCCACAGGGTGGGTGATGTGGGTGTGGAGGGTCATTTTCCATCTCCATGGCCTCTTTTAGAGGGTCAGACAATGGGCCTTGATGGAATACCCCATAGCACAATGGTTTCCTGTTCCAGTCCTAGAGAGGTCCAGGCTGCTGCGCTTACACTGTTGTGTTTTCCCTTCTCTAACTCTAATCTGGCTCAGATAATCAAGGGTTTCAGCTCACAAGTTGAATCTGGTGTGTCTGATCAGGGAGAACACTAATATGTACGGAGCAACCTTCTAGCATATACAGTAACACAGTCATCCTCTAGGGCATTATATTAGCTCAAGCAGAGGTCATTTGGTCCAGACTGGGCTCAGGAGGTCACTGTAATTATTTATATCAGTGACTGTATGTTGTCCCTACACAATCATGTGTAATGATCTTACTTCCAGATACTGCAATAAGACATCACTTCTCTTTTTACCACTGGAGGTCTTTACCTCGTGAGGTGGAGCCATGTGTTTGCTATAATTTCAATAAGTCCAGCCCTGATAGCAAACTTCTATGAAAGATATCATACAGGAGCAATAGTTCAGCAATACTTTACGTAGCTTTTATTTCTGTGTCCTTGTCTTGGTCTGTGCACTCTTTGCAGAGGCCTTACATCTTCAGGTTTACCACTCTGTCTGCTTATAATGTCCCAATCATGAAGCCAAGTGCCTTAAAGATCCCCAAATTAATTACAGATTTTTTTGTACATATCTGCATAATTCAGTGGCTGAGTTGTAAATAAAGTAATTCAGAGTGGTTTGATGTAGAGAAACTTAACAACTCAGATCTATTTACAGTGGTGGTGATAGGAACCCTGAGTCCTGATGTCTACAACATAAATATAGCCATTTTATTTACTATCCAAAATATCCAAAATATCCAAAATGTAATGTGTCTTGTGATTTTTGTATATGTATGCTGCTGATGGTAAAATAATGGTAAATATGGGGAGAAAAAGTTTTCTTTGGAGGCTATTTTGCCTCACAATGCCTGGCATATACCTCCTGCCATGAATGTATTTAAAGAAAGTTAATTAAAATAAGTTTTAGACCAAAATCTTTTTTTAAAACTACCACAAAACAGTGTCTCAGGCATCGGGCAGTGTATCCATAACCCTTTAAGTGAGGTAGTTTTCAGAGGCATTAAATGCTTCGGATGTCTGTTTCCTATCACTACCACTGTGAACAGTTCCGACTCTGAGTGGAATGGAGCATTTAGTAAAGCACACCAAACCACTCTGAATGACTTTGTTTACATTTTCACCATTTCACAGAGCCCCTTTAAGTTTATTTTTATTCAATAAGTTGTTGTATGTGTCACAATAGAAATTGATGTCTGTAATTTCCAGTCAGTTGTAGATTCCTGCAGGCCATTCCTACCACACTAACAAATTATGGTTAGTCTAACAAGCAGATCAGTGTAAAGTAAAGCATCTACACTGGCCAACTAAACAAATTACGTACATTATTGAATACCGTCTGTCACCCTTTGAACCGCAGGGACACAGATCAGTCTCTTCCTTTAGCAGAGAACCATCAGAACATATATATATACAAGTAACGCAAGCATGAAAGACCGCAGAGAACAGAAAGCATGTTTCAAACTAGACAGATAAACAGGAGCATTATAAATAGCCTGGGTTTATTAAAGGCATGAAGACATGAATTCCTGAGACAGAAAACACATGCGAAGCATTTGAAGATGTCGTTTCACCCCATTAAGACGGAGAGACGAGCACTAATTCTAACATGACTACTCAGCATCTGTCTGCTCGATCAGAGACAATAGAAGGGGTGCGAAACCCCAGAGGATTATCCTCCCTTTATGACATCCAGATGTGGAGGGGGAAAACAGGGTTGGGTGTTGCTGATGTATTAGGTGGAAAGACTGTACTGCCATTAATAAGAAGGAAAAACAAAGCAGGGTTTTGTAACAAGGAACAGATGAGTGAAACGTTTTGCCTTTTTTCATACCAACTTTAGTAAATCATTCTGGGGCGTTTAGTGGTTCATGTTTTTATGTCGTCTCTGATATTAGTCGACTTCTAAAATGAGAGCAAAACGGACTGTCAACATGAAGGTGAGGGGTTACAGAATATAACCTTAAAGGGGCACTCCGGCCAAAATGAACAGTGTAACCATCGCTACATCTGTGGTAAACACGCCTCCTTTCCTCTCACAGCAGTGGTGAAATACTGCTTTACTGTTTACAGACTAGGAAATCCCCTTCTGATGATGTATCTTGAAGGTGGGAGGGGCTTTAAGAAAACTACAAACTGTTGTTATTTTTTCCTGCTCACTAATCTGGCTAATGCAGATAGCTAACATTAATGCCAGGAAGCTGAATATCACATCTGCGTTTATTAGCCTCTACATCAGTGCATGTCTTTATGGCCGTTAGGGAGATCCCCAATGGCTGTTTAACATATGGATATTGTAGTGAAAGAGCACTGATGGATAAAAAGATCAAATGGATACAAAACCATAAATTCCAACAAACTGATGAGGCTGAGGGACATAATATGACATAACATAATTAGATAATATAATGAACAACATTGGCTGGAATGCCCCTTTTACCTTTCATGATAAAGTAATAGATGTCAGCATGATTACTTTGTTTCCATTGATTTTTTTAGTCATATTTCGTGGAACACGTTCGGGGCAGTTTTCACACTTGTTCCCCAAACTGTCAATTTTTTAACCTGCTTGTAAATATGATGTTATAACATAGGTCGCATTTCTTTAGGCAGCAAAACTGTTTTTTTTATATTTAAGTATGTAATTTGCATTGACAATGTATAGCTGTATATTTAAATCATATAATGAATGATAGTAGGTTAACCTGCTGACCAGCTGCCTGCACTGCCTGACCTGTAGATATTATTCAGTACCTAGAAGGACATGTTGCTGCTGAACATGCTCATGCTTGCCGTCCTTTTGAACTGCTGTCAGTGTTGTTAAATAAATACAGCTTGTGCGCCATTACATTTCTGTGCTTTTGTGTTTTCTGAGCATCTCACACTTCACACTAAGTAAACTACTGTACAGCAGCAGATGTGTAGCCTAAACACTCACACAGATACTCATAGGGAAAGGTACTGTTGCTTCTGTGACACTATATGGCTCAAGTAGAAGTAAACACACCTTTCTAAAAACAAGCATAACAGCAGCAGGTGGTGGTGTAACGGTGTGGGGGATGTTTTCTTGGCACACTTTGGGCCTGTTAATACCCATCAATCAATGCTTGAACGCTACAGCCACAATTTACCATCTTCTATTGGCTACTTCCAGCATGATAATGCACCAGGTCACAAAGCAGAAGTTGTCTCAAGCTGGTTTTATGAACATGACAATGATTTCAGTGTTCTTCAGTGGTCCAGTCACCAGATCTGACATCTTTGGGATGTGGTAGAACAAGTGATTCACAGCATGAAAATGCACCAGAAAAATCAAGACACATCATGTCAACATGGACCAGAATCTCAAAGGAATGTTTCCAATCTGTGCCACGAAAAACTTAAAGCTGTTTTGAGAGGCGACAGTGTTCATACATGTATATATATATATATATATATATATATATATATATATATATATATATACACACACATACACCCTGGACAGGTCACCAGTCCATCGCAGGCCTAGGGGAACCAAACCCAGACCCTAATATATACATACATATATGTGTGTGTGTGTGTGTGTGTGTGTGTGTGTGTGTGTGTGTGTGTGTACATAGACAACAGCTGCGGAAACCATCAGATGCATTTAGAATCAGCCATTAGTGGATCCTTTATACTGTGATATCAACCCATTAAAAAAGCTAAAACACATTACAAAACCATCAGGAACCAACCTAAACACTTGTTTTTTTCAGCAGGAAATATAAAGGTTCCCAATGGTTTTACAGGTGACCAGAGGCCGATTCTAAATTTATTTGATGGTTTCCTAATGAGATATAAAGATATTCTACAGGAAACTAGTGTCTCTACTAAAAACTCAATTCCCATTAGAAAGCAAAACCATTAGGTTTTAATCCTCACGGTTTCTAATGATCCCTTTTCAGCCGGGTGGCTAAAAACAACACTTAAGGTGGTCAAAAAACACTTAAGTACTTACAGATTTACTGACAGCACTGAAGTGGAGCTTCTTAGTACATCCTGCATCTATCAGCATAGGAGCTTAAGTTGGTTAGGCTCTATTCTCCTCTTTTAAATTGCTTTTTTGGTCTAAAATAAAAAGAGAAAGCTCAGTGTCAGCTACTCACACAGCAGTACAGACGGAGTAGATGGAGCTGAGCGTGTGGTCACTCTGTAGTTCCTTGCTATTTGACACACTCGCAGAAACTGCGCCATCTGCCGGAGAGAAACAGCATCAACGCTCTTTACGGAAAAACTACATTACCCAGCGTACATTTCGAGCTTTCATGTGATAACTTATCAAGTGATCCTTCCCGGTAGCTCCTCTAATTTTTAGCTTTCGTGCTCATTCATCAGTGGGTTTCATACGCTGTTTACCTCCTTCCTCGCCTGAAGCACTAAAATG